CACTGATTTTGAATCCGGATTCGAACCTGACACTCGGGTTGGCAGTCTAGCTTTCTACCGCTATACCATGCTTTAGTAATATTTTGATTAAACATTAGATGAAAGAAAATTGCGAGCAGAATTTAGATCTAGAATCTAGGTTCTGAATTCCGTAGAATTATCATTGATTAGAGCGTTAAGGAAACTAACATCTTTCAAAAATATTGTACTTTCATGGTCTGCCGTTTTAGCATATACAAGAAATGCTTATTAAATTCTTATGCATTTACTTATTTATTCAAAATCAATTGTGTACTATTTTATTATATAAATGCAACTTTTACGATGTAGGGCCTATTTGATGAATTACAAATAAAAAAATTATTTTTGCAATATTTATACTTAATGAAATGGTTAAGCCCCTTGTTAATAACTAACCAGTTATTCGTCGTAATAACCTTCTAGGAACTAGTATCATCATCTTTTCCCGTATCACTTGGGCAGATAAAAGATGATGTAGAGTTCATTTGTTTCAATGACCTCCGCATATTGTGTACAATGTTCAGCACAACCACTATTTACATATATATATATATATATATATATATATATATATATATATATATATATATATATATATATATATATATATATATTTGTGTGTATATATGTATGTATATAAGATAACATTTAAAATAAGCCATGATGTTTATAGTCCACCTAAGATTACTCTAAAATAAGATCTCGCTAGCTGAAAACAGACATGATATTAATGTATGAACAATGGCTTATGGGCTTTCTAGTTCCGACCCATCCAACACAGCGTCATCCCATGTCAGCACACATTTAGCAACGGGGTTTCCCGGATCGTTTCCTGCTTGTTGCCTTGTAGCCACTCAATCATCGCGGCCACTATCATCCATCTGCTGAAAAATTGATACCGATCACTCACTTTATAGGGAGAGCACCATAATTACTAGCATACCTGGCATTTGATTTTCGGTGGTTTTTTTCGGACAACTGCTGAATATAATTTACAATGGACGCTAATTATTTACGTCATGAGGTAAATGTATTAGCAATGGGAATTTATTTGTAAATAGCGAAGCCGTCACGCGTTGCTGTAATCTTAGAAGAAAAGAAATTCAAAGGTACTAGAAGCGGGGCGCTTTCTGGAGCGATCGATTACCTTACCACAGAGCGCCGGGTGCGTCTCCTGGTTCGGTTTAGTCATTGAATTTAGTGGCCCTCCGTGTCATTAGTGTAGGTGCTCTTTAAAACGAACTTAGGCGCTATAATGCTCACGGCGGTGGGGGTGCAACGCTTCATCCGACCGCTGGGACTTTGGCAAATGCGCCTGGTGCGGTTTGACAGTTGAATCAAGTAGTACCTCTGACCCTCTGTCTATGACGACCAAACAGATCACTTGTGCTAAGATAGACACAGGGGAAATCTGGGCGCCTAATTGCAACCTGCCTGGTTGTTGCCTCTCCAAAATCTAATGTATTCTTTAATTTTATATGTATATATAGACGGGTCTCTAGAACTTCAGGGTAAAAGTACAGTTAAGGATAAAAACATACGCGCACACATACACATACACACACATACACGCATACACACACACACACACACACAGAGGCATACATAGATGTATGAAAACAGCCTGTGAGCTAACGCCATAGAATACGTTTTAAAAAAAAAAAACTCGTCTGAAGTTCACCATTCGCTTTGATGTACACGTAAGCAGCCCTGACGTAATCGTGACCCCTCAAGGTCGCCTGGCCTTCCAGAGCCACTTGGATGATTCCAGATTAGGTGGAGATGATACACCATCGATTGCTTGTCAATACCCAGGCGAGTCCGAGGTTGAAGACTGGACACATGCCCAGTTGATCAGTTTGAACACTGGGTCGATCGGTCTTTGGCATCAGGCTGGTGGGGGGAGGGGGATCATTTCTGGTTAAGTGGGTGTTCGTAAAAACGATGGGGTAACCTGGTTAGACCGGTTAGGTTGGGTGATTGGCTGTGAATGGATTGTACACTCAATCTTTCAACGTTGGCAAGATACTGCTTCAATAGCACTACTGCATTTTACATTACCAGTTTCAGCATACCCATAGATATGATACAGAGGTGTTGTAGACTCAACGGACCACAACATATTGTGGATTAATAGCCTACAATCCATAGCCGCTACCATCCATTGCCACCTACCACCCTTAGCCATTACCTTCCATAGCTTTCTACCATCTATAGCCACCTACCATCTATAGCCACTACCATATATGACTTTCTACCATATATAGCCACCTAAAATCCATACCCACCTACCATCTATATCCACTACTAGCCATAGCCACTACCATCTATAGCCACTACCATCTATAGCCACTACCATCCATAGCTTCCTACCATCCATAGCCACCTACCATCTATAGCCACTACCATCCATAGCTTCCTACCATCTATAGCCACTACCATCCATAGCTTCCTACCATCCATAACCACCTACCATCTATAGCCACTACCATCCATATCTTCCTACCATCCATAGCCACTATCATACCTAGCCATCTACCATCCATTGACCAAGTTAATATTTCAGCCGCCCACCATCAATTAAACCTATTAGCCGCATACAACCATTGAACAAAAAATATATAATTAAATCGCAGGTTGTTTTTTTTCTTAAAACACCAAACGAGGGGTTTGGGGCTTTTGTCTATGGGAAGGGGGGTGGGGTGTCAAAGGGGGCTTAAGTCCAAAGTGGATTTTTGTCGGGGAAGGGTAAGTCCTGGAGTTTATATAGTGGGGGGCTATGGTTAAAGATTTATATCAGCGGGGGGTAATGTCCAAGGGTTGATGTCCAGGGATTTGATGTGTATCCAGGAGCCACTAAGGGTGTCATCCACTGATACGTATAACGCCCTACATCAGATGACGTGGCCTCCTGGCTTTTACCATCCATTGATACGTATAACGCCCTACATCTGGTGGCGTGGCCTCCTGGCTTTTACCGTGTCATTTTTCCAGCGTTTTTGGCAGACGACCTCATCGCTCGTGCTTGCATGTCGGCCACAGGGAACCAAACTATCCAGACAGTTCCTGTCACATGTTCCAGTCTGGGACCCTCACCCCCGGGACGTATTGCTACACAACTATTGAATATATCATGCTGTAATCGCCGAGGGACCGGCATTTGGTCACACTAAGGGTGCACAATCAAGCAATCGTTCGACAAACGTGTACCTATATAAGCAAACTGTCCTTAGTCTAACACTGCTTATCATACATACACAATCAAATGCACTTCTTTTTAAAAAAAAAAAACGTTTGTAATTTACAATTATTAATACCTGAAGTGCTAGCATGTTTTTATAGCTAACGGCATAACTCTAGTTCACATAGTTGAATATCCGAGAGAGGGCGTTATATTTTCACGAGATCTCGGTCCAGTTGGTGAAAAAAAAATCTCATTTGCCAACTCGACATAAAAAGTTGAATCGGAATTCATCGTGAAGCTGCTCAGGCGAGATGTTTGTTGATTAAAATAGGTTTTTTGTTCCGGTCCAAATTTAAAATGTTCGCCTCTGCTGATATTGTTTTTTTCTCCTAATTGTGTGTGTGTTGGTAATGGTTAAAAGAATTGTAATTGAAATTTGGTGTTTTTTTTTCTTTCTTGTGTTCTTTTAGATTTTGTTAACAGTTTGCTGATGTTTGAAAGTAAATCTTTCACGTAAAATATAACATAATTAATCCATTCGGTGCTTGTCGTAATTAGAAGTGGGTGGTGGTTGGGATGGAAAGGGTTGTCTTATGGTTGGGCTGACGAGTGTTGCCTTGTAAGGGGGTCGGAAGGGTTGTCTTATGAAGGGGTGTCTTGGAATGGAGAAGACTGGAGATTATCTTGAAACGGGAGTTGTAAAAATTGTCTTGTTTGGGTAATGAAGGGAAATATTAATTAGGGAGGGGAAGAAGCAAGGGTTGCCTAATTAAGGGCAAGCATGATTTTTCTTGTTTTGGGGTATTGGCATAGCTTGTATTATAATACTTGTATTGTCTGGTGCCTGTTACACGAACCTTTACCGAAGTCTTTAAAAAGATGTTTTTACCCCAAATCCAACTGATGCTGGAATCACCTGTTCATTTTTTTTCCAGAAACAAACTGCTACAATAATCTGATGTAATGCACTTGTTAGGGTGTGCGTGTTTACGTGCGTGTAAGTGTTTGTGTGTGAGTGTGTGTGAGCGTATGTGGGTGTGTGTGTGAGCGTATGTGTGTGTGTGTGTGTCTGTGTGTGTGTTTGTGTCTGACTACACTGGTCTACACTTTCACTGATCACCTTTAAGTATGTGTGTTTATGTGTGAGCGTATGTGTGAGCGTATGTGTGTGTGTGTGTGTGTCTGTGTGTGTGTTTGTGTCTGACTACACTAGTCTACACTTTCACTGATCACCTTTAAGTATGTGTGTTTGTGTGTGAGAGTGTGAGTGTGTGTGTGAGCGTATGTGGGTGTGTGTGTGTGTCTGTGTGTGTGTTTGTGATGACTACACTAGTCTACACTTTCACTGATCACCTTTAAGTATGTGTGTTTATGTGTGAGAGTGTGAGTGTGTGTGTGAGCGTATGTGTGTGTGTGTGTGTGTGTCTGTGTCTGACTACACTAGTCTACACTTTCACTGATCACCTTTAAGTATGTGTGTTTATGTGTGAGAGTGTGAGTGTGTGTGTGAGCGTATGTGGGTGTGTGTGTGTGTGTCTGTGTGTGTGTTTGTATCTGACTACACTAGTCTACACTTTCACTGATCACCTTTAAGTATGTGTGTTTGTGTGTGAGAGTGTGAGTGTGTCTGTGTGTGTCTGTGTGTGTGTGTGTGTCTGTGTGTGTGTGCCTGTGTCTGACTACACTAGTCTACACTTTCACTGATCACCTTTAAGACATTATATTTTTAAATCACAATGGCGACTGTGGTTGTAGTACAAACTCCCCTAAAGATGATGTCCCTGTTTACTTGCAGACATCCAGATCACAGGCCCCCAGTTTGTGGAGAAGAACGGCCTGATCTATCTCATCTGTAATGCCACAGGTCTAGAACACACACCAGACGAACTGGACTGGTTCTTCAACGGCAACAAACTCTCCACACAAGAAAACAAGAAAGTCACCATAAGGTAAGGAAGAATTCTTGTTTGTAAACTAACGACTTACAATATTTACAGGAACAAGGTTGAGGCAATTACCGGGTATAATTTTATAGTGGACTTTAGGGTCTCAATATTCGCTAAACTAACCTACACGCAAACACGTTATGAAGAAGTTTAAATAAGCACAAAAAATATTTTATATAAAAGTACAAAAGCAATGTTTCTCAAAGTAAAAGGAGATCTACACTTTCTAAAGCCCATTTTCTTTAAACAACAAGTAGCCTACACTTACATACAGCTTACACTTACAAGGCTGTAAACACAGGGGTGACAACTCATTTGAGCAGGGTGGAAGATTCACCAGTTCCCGAAAATAGATTGATTCACAAATGGACAGGATGTCCAGACGATTGGTTTAAAGAAAAGGGCAAACAAAAAAATACACATACACACGTATACAAATGGTCGGAAATTCCCGTCGATGACGTCATGTTTGTGACGGAATGCAGACGACATTACTAAATGTAAACCAACACTGTGAATAGAATATTGATGAGAACGTTTCCTTTTAGATGGTTTTCCTTTTAGATGGATGGATGGATGGTTTGGTTTTTGGGTGGATAGATGCGTGGATGAGAGGGTGGTTGATGTGTTGAATAGATAGGTAGATGGATATGTGGATGGATGAGAATGGGATGGATTTTTTTATAGATAGATGGATGGATTGATAGATTTTTTGGTGAATGGATGGATGGATTGGTGGATTTTTTGGTGAATGGATGGATGGATTGGTGGATTAATTGATGGTGGACATGATTGTATAAAGAACTAACAGCTTAGATACTTGTATCAGGGAACAGGTAATTTTATAGTATACTGGGGAATGGGGAACATTTTCTCAAAAGTTACAGGGGAAGGGTTTTGATTCGCCTTCAATCTACTGGGGAATAAGAGATGTTTGACAAATATCTACTGAGTAATGGATTTCATCTTGCAGCGTATTGCATTATGGGAGACTGTAGAAATGACATACAGGGCTGAATACAACATAAAGATAAAGGGTGAGGAGATAAGCCTGTATCTTAATTCAATCACAAGGAGATAGGAGGGTTGATCTATGGGGGGTGGGGGATAAGTCTTCACACGGATTGAGGGGTGGGGGGGAGTGAGACACGTCGTTATACTGTCTGCAAGGTAGGGGATAAATGAGTAGCAAAAGTGGAATAGGAGACAATTTTTGTACGGTGTGCAAAGGGTAGGGGCGGGTAGATAGAACAGGTGGGGAGGAAATGGGGGGGGGAGGTGAGATGAGGTGAGGTGAGGTAGGGAGAGAGAGACAGGTCTTCATACGGTCTGCAAAGGGAAGGGGTGGGTGGGGATGAGGTGGGGAGAAAGAGAGAGCGAGACATGTCTTAAGACTGTCTACAAGAAATGGGAAAGGGTGGGGAGGTGGGGAGTAGAAGGGAGGGAGAGGTCTTCACATTGCCTGCAAGGGATGGGAGAGGGTGTCGAGCAGAGGTAGGGAGAAGATGGGGAGGAGAAGGGAGGGAGACAGGTCTTCATACAATCTACGAGGCTGGCGGGAGGTCTGTGGGGTGGAATTGAAAATGAAACAAAGTTTGAAGGTTGAATAATGGGTAAGTGTAAGGTATAAATGCGGGCCAGTCTGGCAAGTCAGTCAGCTGTAAGAACAGGAAGATGGCCAGAAAGATGTGTCGGCTTGTAAATAAGTTTCATTTACGGTCGGCTTGGTGTTAAAGGCGGGCTAGTGGGGTCTCCGCTAACTAAAACAGAAATAAGGGCTACGCGTCCGTCAGCCGAAGGAATCGGGTTTTAATTCCAGTTCAAGCGATATTCACTGTCGTCTTTCATGCTAGATGCCAAGGGAAATAAATCTTATTTTATTCGAACGTAGATTTTTATCTCATTTTTACTTTCTCGTATATACGTAGTATAGAGAAAGTATTGTAATCGTGCAAAAAAAAAAAATCGAGATTTTTACAGATCTCGACGTTTTACACCTCACTGATACGGAAAAACATAATTTTGCAATCTTGTCCGTATGTCTGTGTGTGTGTGTGTCTGTCTGTGTGTGTGTCTGTCCGTGTGTAAACACGATAACTTGAGTACCGTTACAGCTAGGTTGATGAAATTTCATATATAAGTATTTTATCAAAATCGTAGATCCGTATCAACTTTTGAGCGATTTCCGATAACCGGAAGTGGTACTTTTCCTACTTTGAATTTTTTAAAAGCCTATAACTTGAGTACTATTTCAGATAGATAAATGAAATTTCACATGTAAGTAAAAGATCTAATCCTCTACCTTCTGTTAAATTTTGAGTAATTTCCGTTGACTGGAAGTAGTAATTTACGCTACTTCCAATTTCTCAAAAAACTAATGTAAATTTTAAAAGTACTAATAATATTGCGCACTATTATGCGCTTTTTTATTGGGCGTTCACTTGGTGTGCAATTAATTTGTCTACGAGATTTTATTCTATTTTTAAAACTTTAAGTATTTAAAATGGATTAAAAATCATGTCTATAGCCCGAGTTCCCATCCCCTGTTATTTTATATAAGAACTAGAATACCCGTCATCCGTTGGATAACTGTGGGTTTCGGGGGTCATCCATCAAAAAACATCACGTCTGTCACTCAGAGGCATAGCGACCCTTCCCGGCGCCCGGGGACAAAGTTTTCGATTTGAACCCCCCCCCCCCCTCAAACTTTTGATGTGCACCCCCCCCCCCTCTCAAACTTTCGATTTGAACCCCCCTCAACCTATCAATTTATTTTTCCAAACCATTTTGGCGCCCCAACATATGTCCCCCCCCCCTTCCCCCCTCCACCTCCCCACCCCCCCCCCCTTCCCCCCCCCCCCCCCCGCCTCCCCTCCCCACCCCCCGCCTCCCCTCCCCACCCCCCCGCCTCCCCTCCCCACCCCCAGCCTCCCCTCCCCTACCGCCCCCCCCCCCCCTCCTCGGTACGCTACTGCAGTGTCACTTATCGTCACAAAAAACAGACCCCACATTCAAATATATGTTTTTTTATCTTTTAAAAACACCGAAAACACCGATTTCGGACTATCCCTTCATAAACTGACGTCACAGGTGACCTACTCAACTCTACTTCACCTGCCCAGTGTCCTGCCAAGTCTCAGACAACATGTTTTTATCGTTTAAAAAACAATTCCAGCCGAGCATGTATCTGACCACACTATCCTTTCATATGCTTAGGACAAAGAAACAGATGAACTCTACTTCACCTGCCCTGTATCTTGCCAAGTTCAGATAGGCAACGTTATCATTCACATCTAAAAAAAAAATTGAAAAAAAAAATTTCATTGACATATTGGTCTAGAACCCGTGCCTCCTGCATGAGAGCTGACTACGCTACCATTTTAGCTATTTACTCGTGACGTCACAAGTGAATTTTTATACTATACTATGTGTCTCCTTATGCAACTTGATTTACGCGTATAGATTCTAGATCTAGATCTAAAAATAAGTCTAGTAGTACTAACTTTCAAATTAAATTTTATCTTAAATAAGCCAAACAAAGATTTATATAAAATAATTAAGGCCTGAAATAGATTCTAGATGTAGAATTTACATTGAATCTAGTGACCTACATCTAGGCTAGATCTAGATCTATAGATCTAGGCTAGATTCATAAATTTCCTTCGATAGCTGATCTTTAGATCTAGAGAAATTTATCGTAAAACTAAATGAAAAAGACAGTTGAAAATTGATATAAGTGTTGGAACGTAATAAATACAGCAAACGGACGTATTGTTAAAGTTATGACCGACAGAAAATTAGATTTAGAACGCGTTAAACTTTTGAATGGGAACACAATTTTCTTCAATAGACGCCGCCATTTTATTGTACTAAAGAGTAAACAAAAACCTGTGACGTCACGGTCCCGCCGAGTCTAGTGGCTTTTCAAATATTTTAAAAAAAAATGGGTTATTCTGCATAGGAATAAATCAATAAATTAATTAACGTCTTTAAATAAATTTGTGATCAACAGTCTGTCTGCATTAAAAAATTATTCTCTACCTGCATACCATTTTACAGCTTTCCAGATAGAGTCGAACATATCACAATTTTCGATCAGGCAAACAAATAAATATTCAAACATGTAAACAAAGTTGACTTTTAGTAGTATACTAGAATACCCGTCATCCGTTGGATAACTGTGGGTTTCGGGGGTCATCCATCAAAAAACATCACGTCTGTCACTCAGAGGCATAGCGACCCTTCCCGGCGCCCGGGGACAAAGTTTTCGATTTGAACCCCCCCCCCCCTCAAACTTTTGATGTGCACCACCCCCCCCCCCCCCCACTCAAACTTTCGATTTGAACCCCCCTCAACCTATCAATTTATTTTTCCAAACCATTTTGGCGCCCCAACATATGTCCCCCCCCCCTTCCCCCCTCCACCTCCCCCCCCCTTCCCCCCCCCCCGCCTCCCCTCCCCCCCCCCGCCTCCCCTCCCCACCCCCCGCCTCCCCTCCCCACCCCCCGCCTCCCCTCCCCTACCGCCCCCCCCTCCTCGGTACGCTACTGCAGTGTCACTTATCGTCACAAAAAACAGACCCCACATTCAAATATATGTTTTTTTATCTTTTAAAAACACCGAAAACACCGATTTCGGACTATCCCTTCATAAACTGACGTCACAGGTGACCTACTCAACTCTACTTCACCTGCCCAGTGTCCTGCCAAGTCTCAGACAACATGTTTTTATCGTTTAAAAAACAATTCCAGCCGAGCATGTATCTGACCACACTATCCTTTCATATGCTTAGGACAAAGAAACAGATGAACTCTACTTCACCTGCCCTGTATCTTGCCAAGTTCAGATAGGCAACGTTATCATTCACATCTAAAAAAAAAATTGAAAAAAAAAATTTCATTGACATATTGGTCTAGAACCCGTGCCTCCTGCATGAGAGCTGACTACGCTACCATTTTAGCTATTTACTCGTGACGTCACAAGTGAATTTTTATACTATACTATGTGTCTCCTTATGCAACTTGATTTACGCGTATAGATTCTAGATCTAGATCTAAAAATAAGTCTAGTAGTACTAACTTTCAAATTAAATTTTATCTTAAATAAGCCAAACAAAGATTTATATAAAATAATTAAGGCCTGAAATAGATTCTAGATGTAGAATTTACATTGAATCTAGTGACCTACATCTAGGCTAGATCTAGATCTAGGCTAGATTCATAAATTTCCTTCGATAGCTGATCTTTAGATCTAGAGAAATTTATCGTAAAACTAAATGAAAAAGACAGTTGAAAATTGATATAAGTGTTGGAACGTAATAAATACAGCAAACGGACGTATTGTTAAAGTTATGACCGACAGAAAATTAGATTTAGAACGCGTTAAACTTTTGAATGGGAACACAATTTTCTTCAATAGACGCCGCCATTTTATTGTACTAAAGAGTAAACAAAAACCTGTGACGTCACGGTCCCGCCGAGTCTAGTGGCTTTTCAAATATTTTAAAAAAAAATGGGTTATTCTGCGTAGGAATAAATCAATAAATTAATTAACGTCTTTAAATAAATTTGTGATCAACAGTCTGTCTGCATTAAAAAATTATTCTCTACCTGCATACCATTTTACAGCTTTCCAGATGGAGTCGAACATATCACAATTTTCGATCAGGCAAACAAACAAATAAATATTCAAACATGTAAACAAACTTGACTTTTAGTAGTATATATATAGATAGATATTCGAGAAAGTTTAGGGGAGATCACTCCCGGTTTATTTTATTTTTCTCAGTGATTTTTTTAAAGCACTATTTCTAACGTATTTTTAATAATATATTTGAATATTAAATCAAATTGTTTAAATATATTTAAAACTAGATGAAATTATTGGGATTTTTGTAATATAATGCTAATCTGTAATTGATTTTTAAAACCAAATATTAAATCATATCAAAACTTTAAGATACTACTGTACTATGTCGCTATCTTAGAAATACCTCTTTTATCAACAGATCAACTAGATAATAATGCCATTTTTAAAGTGTTTTACAGTCCTTAAATTTCATGTCTTTTTGTATTTTAATTTTAATTTATTCATCTTATTTTCTATTATCATTTCATTCAACATTTAGAAATATTACATCTTTAATTATGCCCACTCGTTTTAAAAAACAAAATTACTAAGATGTGTCAGTGAATTCAAAATAAAATGTGTCGCTGTCACATTCCTGTGTCTCTGTAGTTATGTGTCGTGCTGTCTCCTCACAGTGTGTTGGTGATATAAGCTGAAAGACGTCAAGGAAGATGAGTTTTTAAAACAAAGTCGAAAAATAGAATTCAGAGACTTGGTGTTTAAGAAATGTATCACGGTTATATTGAAAAGTGCTGGATGTATCAGAAATACAAAGATTGTATTAATACAAGTTCTGAATTTAGAAGAAATGCAAACATATTATAAAAGCAAGTTCTGGATTTATAAGAAATGCAAAAATTATATAAAAGCAATTTCGGGATATATAAGAAATGTAAACATTATATTAATACAAGTTCTGAATATATAAGAAATCAAAGACTATCTATATCAATACAAGTTCTGAATGTATAACAAATGTATAAAGATATATTAATACCAACTCTGGATGTATAAGAAATATAACACGTTATACTAACAAAAGTACCGAGGCCCGTGGGAGACATTAGTACAACAGCAATATGTGGCACCACTGTAGACGAAGTACGGGTCACGTAAGTTCTATTAAATTGTTGATTCGTCTGCCAGCCTGCGTGATTAGCCCTTAATTTTAGGTTAATGCGTGTTTTCAATTTAGGTTTGCGCACGTGCTTCACTTCAAATAAACCACGACATTCCAAAATCTTGCAATTTCGTTTATAAAAAACTTTTTGTTTTTAAATGTGTGGAGTTGTTTCCCCTAAGTGGATTGGAGGAAATAATACTAGTGAAATAATCGGGAAAATCCAAACGAAAACAAACAGAAAGTTGTTTGGATTTAAATCACGTATTTACAAAATCCGTTTCTTGACTTGAGTTTCTCGTAAAAGTTTTCGGTAACGGAAATCTTTGTTTTGAATTCCGCTCGATACATCGGGGAAAACATGCTTTTTCTTTAAGCTCTACCCAAACAAGGGAGGCTACTCACTTTTTTTTTACCGCGACACATCCGCCCCACGTTTTGAAGAAGAAAAATTGTTAGTTTTTAGCTTGCGTCTAAAATTGTTTGCTGCGTGTGCAGCTCTGTCTGTGTGGTGGGGGGGGGTGCGAGTGAGCATAGGGTGAATTTTGTTTTCCAATATTTCTGATCACTCTTGCCATGACAATAGTAAGGGGCGCTGCAAGTATAAGTCAGGCGATCTCAGTTAGCTGTAATTGTTGTATCAGTCCTTTTGGTAGTTGCATCAAGAACGATAACTACATACTTTTTTTTGTTAGAGTAGCTACCCCTTCATTTTTTTTTTACTATTCTTTTCCTGAACCGGATCAATTTTTAAAAAAATAAAAACTACTACTGTACAAGAAAGAGTATTAGAGTATCATACAGAAATTGGTACTGAGGGAACATTAAGTATGATTAAGTATCCTCAATAACAATTAGAATACTGAGGTATTATCAATACTAAAACGTATAACGTATATAAATAATGAGTGGGGAATTTAGGCTAGATATAAGTTTTGATATGTAGAAAGTAGTAATGTTATAATACATATCATGTGATGTAGTGATAGTTTGTGATACTTTGTTGTAACTTTTACAACAAATATCAAATAGAAAACACATCATGCTGGATTGTAGCGTTAACTTGTTAGTGTATGTATGTGCTTGTCTAAACGTTTTCCAAAAATTAGATTGAGTGTACGAGCATCAGCTCTTCAGTCCACCAAGTGTGTCCCGAACGTCACAGAGATCAGTAGATAAAAATAAATATATGATGAATTAATGGGATGATTTTTGTGTCTGTTTACAGAAATATGGTGTCGATTACGTCCAAGACAATAGCGAGTGTGTTGTATCTGATGAATTAATGGCCCGATGTTTGTGTCTGTTTACAGAAATATGGTGTCGATTACGTCCAAGACAATTGCAAGTGTGTTGTATCTGATGAATTAATGAGCTGATGTTTGTGTCTGTTTGCAGAAATATGGTGTCGATTACGTCCAAGACAATAGCAAGTGTGTTGTATCTGATGAATTAATGGCCCGATGTTTGTGTCTGTTTACAGAAATATGGTGTCGATTACGTCCAAGACAATAGCGAGTGTGTTGTATCTGATGAATTAATGGCCCGATGTTTGTGTCTGTTTGCAGAAATATGGTGTCGATTACGTCCAAGACAATTGCAAGTGTGTTGGAGATAGCAGATGCCCAGATAGAAGATGGAGGTCTTTACGTGTGTCGTACATCCAATCTGCAGATAATAAGTCTGCGTGTCTCTGTGCTCAATGGTAAGTGGGGGAGGGGAGAATACTGGGGGGAGGGGCAAATACTGGGGGTAGGGGGAAATACTGGGGGCAAATACTGTAGGGAGGGGGAAATGTGGGGAGAGAGTAAAATTCTGGGAGGGGGGAATACTGGGGGGGAGGGCAAATACTAGGGGAGTGGAAATACTGTGGGGAGAGGGTAAAACAGTGGGGGAGAGGGGCATTTACTGGAGGGAGGGGTCAGTGACCTGATGTTTGTACACAACGATGTTATGGGGATCTAATATTTGGTGTAGTGGTAGACGCCACTGAGTACTGTATTTTATAGAATGGTGGGATGAGGTATTCCGTACAACATTATGTACAACTATATTTTAACATCATTATATAGTATAGATACTATAATAACATCCTTATGTACAACTATATTCCAACATCACTACGTAGAACATCATTGTATGTAACATTATTATATAGAAGAATATCATACTAACATCCTTATGTACAACTATATGCCAACATCAATACGTAGAACATCATTGTATCATTATGTGCGACACTATTATGTAGCTTACATATAATGCAAAGAATCACAAAAACAGAACTATGTATACTTCTATTTGCTAGTATTTAGCACTAAAACCTTACAATAATTAATACAAACATCGTCGCCTTAACTCTCACCTCCTACTCCCAAATCCCCTCTCAGACTCTACGATCCTCTTAAAGTCTTTCTCTCCCTCTCTCTCTCTCTATCTTGCTACTACATCACATGTTTAGCAAACACCACATGAAACCGACGAGCCTGTTATCGATAACCGCCGATTAGACAATATGACACCGAATTAGTACTCAGCCCAGACAGGAAATTGTATAGAATATTGCCCTTAGCGGGCGGTCACCCAGTAATTGATGACGTCACCTGCGGCTCCGGCCCAGCTAAACACAGCAGGCGTCAGTTGTGATGTCGTGAAAGGCTTCGTGTTTGTTCTAGATCATTGAAAAGAAGAGGTCAATTAACCGTATTTGGTAATTTTTTTATCGATTACTTTTTCTTTACATGCAAGACATGTCTTAGAGGGTGCAAGGGACAGAATTCCATTAGCAGAAATAACGGAAGTCATCTGGCGGCCATATTGTCACGTGCCACTCACTATCCTCACACCCCCCCCCCCCCCCCTACAGTTCCAATATTAGTTGTAAAGACCAAGTGTTAAATAAGGCATTTAATTCCCCACCAGGGGTAAAAAAAAGAAAAATGTGTTGGGATTTAGTGGGGGGGGGGGGAATAGTTGAGTACTCAGACAGTGTAAGGTTTAAAAGGGGCTATTTTTAACTATGAATGATTTTAATTTCGGCCGATCAATATCCGCTCATATTATGGATCTCAAGTGGGAGAGGGGGCTGTAGCAACTTTAGCATACATGCCCATCATAAATATTTTTTATCTAAGATGTATGAAGGGTTTCTTTCACCCGCTTTAGATGTAAGATGTAGGCTTGGAAGAACCTTTTTACAAGGGTGAAACATGAATAATAATTTAAGTTTCCATTAATGTCTACATATTTTTTTTAGCGCAATTTCCATTCTGGAGAATTGCGTTTATTAACGCGTCATTTCTGGATGGATGGATGGATGGATGAATGTATGGATGAATGTGTGTCCGGGCTTTAAGTCGTATCTCCTCCTCAACGAAGCAATATCGATGACTAGTTCCAAAAGCAATTATGTTAAGCAAGTTACAAGAATGAGCATAGGCCATACAAATTCCGGGTTTCTTTCATGTATTTCCCGGAAAAGCCAAAAAACCTCGAAAAAAAGCAGTTTTTGGCCCATATCTCGTCAACCAGACCACTTAGCGACTTGAAACATGTACCAATCGATTCCTGCCATAATTTAGAGCAATATTGCCGAAGAAAGTTTTCAAAAATATCCTTTCGTTCGGTCACAAAAAATTGTTTTTAATTAATTAAAATTTGGACCGAATTAGTAGGCATTTTTTCCAACCACACCACACGCGTCATCACGTTCAATAGCTGCACCATCGCGTTCTATGGCTTCGTCATCACGTTCAGTAGCTAGGCGCGCAATGGTTTTTAGTCATGTAACTCTATTGTAAATAAAACATGTAAAATACTGACATTTTTTTTAATAAAAAACGTTTTAATAACTAACCAATGGTTTTACTAACCCTGCTCTTGATTTACGCTACGACAGAGCTATTTTTAGATAACATAAGGAAATTGCGCATAAATGTCACTAGACTTTTTTAATTAACTTGTTTCTTTAACCGAAAACAATAATTGCATCATAATTATATTTACTTTTGTATTAAAATTACATAAAAAAAAATTCATAAAAAACGTTTTAATAACAAGCTTTTATGTAATGATGCACTAAAAAGTAGAAAATAAATTATAGACTACTATTTAAATAACTATAAAGAAAAGCGTGGGTCACTTTAGTATCTATTGGATACCTTTACTAATGTTAAGGAAGACACCCACGCTTTTCTTTATAGTTATTTAAATAGTAGTCTATAATTTATTTTCTACTTTTTAGTGCATCATTACATAAAAGCTTGTTATTAAAACGTTTTTTATGAATTTTTTTTTCAGTACTTAACATGTTTTATTTACAATAGAGTTACATGACTAAAAACCATTGCGCGCCTACTGAACATCACGTTCAGTAGGCGCGCAATGGTTTTTGAACGCAGCCATTACGTGATGGCGCAGCTATTGAAGGTGATGACGCGTGTGGTGTGGTTGGCTAGACATGCCTACTAATTCGGTCCAAATTTTTATTAATTCATAAATAATTAATTAGGCATCCAATTAAGTCAAATTTAGTTTCAGATTGCATTGTCTTCATGTCTTGACCCACGTGTCAAATGTGAAACGTATCGGTCAAGTAGAAGTTTCCGAATTTTCACTCCAGCGTTTCGGTCTAGACAGACTGTCGACTGACGACTGACGACTGACGAGGAAGTGAGTTAAATAAAAGCTTGTAAAAAAGTAGTTTTATATCGCTTATCTTTACCTTGGCATTAGAAGACAGAAATAAAATACATTTCTATATCGTCATCACCATTATTTTCCGTTCGTGCCCAAGACACAGGGGCAGATGAAGTATGGATAGCGTTGTCAGCACCATGCCCATCCTCCTTTTTATCCCTAACTTGAGTTAGGTACCCGTCAGAGCTGGGTGGTCTCAGGGACGTTCCACTTATTTGAACCCGGATTCGAACCCGAGTCTCGAGACTCGGGTTAGCAGTTTAGCTCTCTACCGCTAGATCACGCCGTCCCTACCTTTCTATATAAACTAGATAATTGGTCATGAATGTGGGTGAACATTCGGTTACTAAAGCAGTAGATCGTGTATCGACTGAAGGCTTTCATCAGACATACATGTTCCTGGTACTTAATGAAGTTCCTATATATTAGTCACCTTCAATCAATTCAAGTCATTAATTTCTTAAAATGTGCATCGCTTTAAATTCTTAAAATGTGCAGCGCGTTTTAGAACTGGTAGTCTAGTCTCAATATCACCCTTGTATATATCCCTTACACAGTCGCTGTAACAGCATCTTAAAAAAAGTGTAATGTTTCCTCTATAGACAATATTTAACCTCTTTTTATCATCTACTTCTCCCGTCCCTCTATTATCTACTCCTATATCTTCCTCTATTGAACTCTGACCTCATACTTTGATGCTGTTGTCGTTACTTTCTACTTCCGGCCCATTCCGGAAGAATTCGTCTCCCGTGTCACGCTCTAAGCTACTTAAAATCTCAGAATTTCGGGACACGGACTCACGGAAGTTTTAATATATTCTACAAGGTTGTTTTTGTATTTTGTTAACCATACAAGGTATTATGGTAATGGGTTAAGAAATCGGTTAACATCTGCATTTTACGTAAATATCCTTTATATTTTTCAATTGAATATTTTTACTCCGTCCCATTTTGACTTAAAAAGTAACGGAAAGATTTCCTTTCCACTATTATTCTGTTATACCTTGACCTAGAAAAGTTATGGCAAGATTTTTCTTCATTCAATAACTCCGCTTCTACTTTGAACTAAAAACGTCATGGAAAGATTTTTTTTCTACATTTAATCCCACCTACTTTTACCTAAAAGCGTTATGGAAAGATTTCTTTCTACATTTACTCGGTCCCACTTTGACACGAAAAAAAAATCTCACAAAGAGGGCAACTTTGAGAAGATGGGAGCTGGCATACACAGTGACGTCACTAAACGACGTTCAGGGTCTCTAAGACTTGGGGCTGTAATAGTCTTAGACACAGACCACGTGACGTTAAACGATCTGTACTTGACTCACCGTTTAACCCAGAATTCTTGACTGCCCTAAATTCTTGATCTTTTTTTTCCCAAGTACGAACTGCATTTCCTATTGGCAATCTACTTCCTATTCTTATTCTTTGTTCCATTTTTAATATGATTTACTATATTTCACTTGTCATTATGGATATATATATATATATATATATATATATATATATATATATATATATATATATATATATATATATATACTAATCTAGATTTTATATTTTATTTAAGCTTGAAATATAAATGAAATCATAATTTTAAAAAATTGCAGGTATCAACATAACAGCATGAACTAGTGCATCTTCCTGCCCGATAATCCAACATTATTTACACTAATCTTACAGTATGCTAATCCCATATTTTCCATTTCTTTTTCAGCGGACTCATTCCCTGTAAAACGAGGTAAATATGATTTAGTAATATCATTTAGATTACATGGTGTTAGGTAGACAGGGTGTAGGTAGGCGATGATGTTTGTGATTCACATTAATTATGTAATTATCTTCTAAATTTCTACCCGCGTAAATGAATAAAACGAACATGTAAATGTGTTATCCTTTTCACGAACACACATAACAAAACAAAGAACACATACTCAAGATAGATGTTAAAGTTCGGAGGTGTAAAAAGTCGAATAAAAATATGAATATTAAAAAATGGTTGACAATACAGCTTTATCAATCCAAATAATCACTTTATGGATTAAGGCTTATCAATTATAAGTTAATTTAATTACGTTATACTTAATGTCTGATACTTTGTTCAATACACGCTTTTATCCTCACATTCTCTTACACTCATACGCTCCCTCGCACACATACTCAAACTACATACACACCCACATCCTAACACACACCCTAACTCAGCACAACCACAATCTCAACCACACTTTAACTCAGTCAATCTAATATTCTCTCCCCCACACCATACGCCCCACACACAAACCACACAGACACCCCCACGAATTTAAACTACTTCTTAAAAAAACGAACAGAAAATTAAGTTTCCCATTTTTTTGACGCTAAGCCTAAACCCCAGCAATCCGCTCCCCCCGGGCCCATACCATAACAGGATACGTCCGTGAGACGTTGGTTTCCCCGCCCGTCTCGCGGCCTTCACCTTATTAGCTCCTGCTAAGTGACGCCCACCAAATATAACCCTTTAATCTTCACTGCGCGGAAGTTTCCAATACACTGGGGTATTGATACAAAAAGATGCACTTAGTCTGCTTGAAGTCACAAGAAAGTAGTACCGCTCTCTTCCCCACTCACCCATACCCAAGAAACGCCATTGATATTTATAATAGAAAGTGTCAGTCCTAAGATGTAAGTTTTACGTAACTTTAAGCGTGTCCGTACATGGTCAGATAAGAAAAACTCCCCATCATTTGTCACATATCGTTACAAATTACTATACCCCCCCCTCCTCGAAAATAAAATGACGTCACATTTGTGCCTGTTCTTACATTTTCTTTTTTTTTCTTTAAAAACAACTTCTCCTATCTACGATATTAATTGGACTGTTAAAGATATGGTCAATGTGTATAACAAATTAAAACGTGAATTTAACTGCTGTGGTTCGATTTAAAGCTATTTTTAAATGCTAAAACTTGACGTCACGCGTTCTTACCTCCCTTTCTTTATCATCGCACATCGTTATAAAAATCCCCCCCCCCCTCTCCCTCAGCTAAGAATGTGACGTCATTTAAAGACGGTCCCTTGACGTTCAACTGTTTCCTTATGAGAAGCTTTGATGATAGTGTCCAGTTTCTTATATTATCAATCGATACTCTCGTTGGTTGGTTGGTGCTACTTACAACGTCTAGACGACGTGTGTGTTAGTGTGTCTTTATTTCCCAGACCTTACCACATATTTAGGGCCTACATCACAAATATTACAGTGTTTACAGTACATGTTATAGCTGTTCTGATGTAATGTGTGTAGTGTGTAGTAGCATAATACGCCTTACACATGTGTTGAGAAAAAACAACTCGTGAGCATTTCCTCTGTGTGGTAGACGATTCATTGATTCGCTATCTCAGCCCAGATTTCATTTCATTGAATTCGTTCAGTGGTTTGAAAATATTGTAATCCCACTAGTTAAACTGGTGCTTGTAGAAGATTAAACTCATCGGCGGATCCACGATAAGGGGCGCATGAGGGTATTTCAACACCCCCCCCCCCAACCCAACCCATTTTCCCGCAACATATTTTAGTATAACATTGGAGACATTTTTGGTTTATTAGCGACACTATGTATGTGTATACACATACACACACAAACACACACACACATATATATATATATATATATATATATATATATATATATATATATATATATATATATATATATATATATATAGTTTAGTGCCCTCAACCGAATAAAAAAAAAGAAAGTATAGAGCAGCCTCTGATTAGACACCAAAAACACAGTATTAATTAGCACATAGGACGATTAAATGCTAATGGTATACTGAGGAAGTTTACTAAAGACATCACGGTGCCAGCGACAAAGCAGAAGAGTTCCTGCTGTCCGGGTATCATGGCCAGATCACTCTGTAACAGATAATTATCAATTAGTGGGTCTTTTTTAACGAGCTGTTAATTGTCTTGTTGACGGTATGGTGTAACTGGCCGTTGATAATTTAATTAAATAGAGCATAAACTAACTTGCTCGTGGTCTTCAAAAAAAAAAAACAGGTAGGCAGTGGTAGATGAATGTGCAAGTTTTCTATTTTATATTTTAGGAACATTTGCAGGGAACAGCGACAAGAAAAGAAAAGACAAAGACGAACTAGGCCAACATGCAGAGCACAGCTACAACACGGCGCATGCGTCAGTTCGACACCGGCATCTTCTCACTTCCGTCTTGTCCGTCTTACTGACAGCCATGTTTTGCTTACATCCAAGTTGAAGGACAGTTTTTTCATCGCCTGTACAAAAATAAACACAAGTGTGAACTTTGAACTCATCGCTGCGATACCACATGGTATCAATAGTGAAGCATTATGGGACATGATGTAAATAATCTCTAAACAATAAATGAACTCTTTGTTTTTATTTGAACTAAGCACATTCCATTAATTTGAATATTTTACAAACGTAGATGTTATTGTAGCTTCTACTTAAATAGTTCACACGATTAATTATTTATTTTTATATTTCTAAATTTTAGGAACTATAAAATATTGTGTTTTGCTTTTGTTTAACTTCTTTAAAAAATTATTTTTTCATGAAAAATAACAGAATTAAATGAATTAGTTAAAGTTAAATAAATATTAAAACTTGTTGTATCAAGAGGTTAGGAATTTTTTAGTCGGATGTCATGATTGTATCAATCATCAATCATGTTTAATTTGTTCATCGTTTCATACGAATCGCATCAAAAATAGGTCACTATTACAACTCTCAGATAATATTATCATAGTCCTGACCTTATATAAATATATTCGTCACGATTGCTTCAATCATCCAATTGTGTCAATCATCCTTACATATCATGGTTGTGATTGTATCAATCATTAAGAATGATTGCGTCAATCATTACACTCAGTGCTGGAGCCCCTATTTGATGCCACAGTGTATGTAAGAATGTGTAAATAAATAAATAGTCGCTAGGATGTTGTTGCATGCAAGTACATTAATAAGTTCATGATTTGATGTCCGTATGTAATTATAATTATTATTGAAATGAAAGTAGGAATGTGTATGATAATGATGTCATTATTGTTATATTTTGTTCATGTGGTCAATGTTCGTGGTAGATGGGTCACCACTGGTCAAGAATACAAGTATAAGTGTCGCCAGTCACCACTGGTCAAGAATACAAGTATAAGTGTCACCAATCACCACTGGTCAAGAATACAAATATAAGTGTCACCACTGGTCAAGAATACAAGTATAAGTATCACTACTGGTCAAGAATACAAGTATATAAGTGTCACCAATCACCACTGGTCAAGAATACAAGTATAAGTGTCACTACTGGTCAAGAATACAAGTATAAGTGTCACTACTGGTCAAGAATACAAGTATAAGTGTCACTACTGGTCAAGAATACGAGTATAAGTGTCACTACTGGTCAAGAATACAAGTAGACGTATCACTATTCGTCTAAACTACCATCACTGGTCAAGACAATATGCCAATGTATCACCCAAGATTGTGTCACCTATAGTAGTTATATAATCCTGTAAGTATATAATGTTTCACCACTTTCAACACACACAAATGTAGAAGTCACCACGAGTTAAAACTACAAATATATGTGTCACAATTTATCGCAACTAATGAAATGGGCCGCTTGAGTGTCAAGGAGAAAAAACGGTATGATAATAATAGTCCACAGCTGACCCTAAAACCAAAGCCATTTTGTTGATCATATTGAAAGGAAACAAATGCTTTACGGTATTGATAAATGCCATACGGCTTGTCTACCGATGAAATGTGAAGCTGCTCCCCTTATTTGATTTAACAAAATATCTCAACATGTATAACTATAGTTTTTTTAAGAAATAGCTGAATTCTGCCAAAAGTCATTAGTCGTCTCAAGTTGTCTGTTTTTATAGGAGAATGTAGCAACCAATGATTATATGACATCAAAACAAGAATACTCTCACTCCAAGTGCTGCAATTGATCACGACCAGACTAGCGCAACGGAAAATGCGCACAAAAAATGTGCGCAAGGGAATTTTTTTAAACTGAGCATTTATAACATAAGCAAAATAGATCACGTGTACATTTTAGCACAATTAAATATTTTTCCACGGATTATTACAAAATTAAAGTGTATTAGTAAAGTTCCTATTTTGCGCATTTTTGAATTCGCGCAGTTTTCTGGAAATCGCAAACAATGGATAAGGTAACAACAGAAATCGACACACCCGATAATTGACCGATTAGTTATGATTTTTAATCAAGCCTTAATAAATAAATGTTTATAGTTCTAGTTTAAAGTATTAGTGCTAATAGAATAACATTACTATTTGAAAACAATGCAACGTATCAGCTTTAGATGGTTTTGTTTAGTGCTATAAAAAAGTTTTATTAAGAATATAAAAATATGTTAATACAATAAAAAGTTCTGAAATGTTTAATTCCATAATTTATTTATTTGTATATCTGAATAAAAGTTATTTCCCTTATGACTCTACTGGCAGTTATGAATCTTTGTTTAGATTGTTTCTAAGTTACCCGGTGTTATTTTTACGTTCTCTTCATTTTTTCTTGTATTGCTATTGTAGTATGAATGGGCATTTTGTTAATTCATTTAATTAAATAATATTTTAATTATTATTTTAATTACGCCCGTAAATGTATGTTAATTTATTACTTGTTATCACAAGAAATACTATTGCATTCTAAAAATGAGCTTTGGGAAATAAAAAAAAAATCCTAGTTTTCTTAATCCAAAAAATCACGTTTGCGAATCCACATGGGTATCCCATGGTACATCATATGTTTTACAAATAAGCAATTTAAAAAACCGAATCATCATTATTACTGTTTCGTATAGTTGTTCAAATTGTTTTCGTCTACTTGATACGTATTTACAGTTTGTTGTTGATAAAGATATGTTTATGCTAATTACATGAACTAAAACACCTGAATTGAATCTACCCACAGTTTCACTTGCATATTTAAGAAATTTATTTTTAATTTAACATCAAAACCAGTTCACGAAGTACATTTATCAGTCAATAATAACAAAATAAATTAATTCGTTGTTTTTTTTTTCATATTTTGATATTACCTCATTTTTTGTCTACTCTTTAAAATCACCAATGTTATTGTAAAATTAATTATTTTACATACTTTTAACGATTTTGTATTAATTACATATTCTGCATATTATTTCAAAAATTTTGTATCATAAACCACTGACATTTATTGTTCTATTTCATTTTCAACATGTTACTTTTATTTTTGAGTAATAAAAATCAATAGGCGCGTAACAGGTGCTTGTAACACATGCACGATAGGCTAAATAGTTTTGTAACATATTCACAACAGTATAGGCTAAATAGTTTTGTAACATATTCACAACAGTATAGGCTAAATAGTTTTGTAACATATTCACAATAGCATAGGCTAAATAGTTTTGTAACAAATTCACAACAGTATAGGCTAAATAGTTTTGTAACATATTCACAACAGCATAGGCTAAATAGTTTTGTAACAAATTCACAACAGTATAGGCTAAATAGTTTTGTAACAGCAATGAGCTAAAGTGGTTTTAAAAATAAAACTTATATACTGTAAAGTTCAGAACACACAAACGCTATAGACTTTGAGCTGTGAAGACAAGCTGCTTTTCTCAGGTGTATCTTTAGGGTACTTACACTATATTTAAATGTATGTTAACCGGATCGTTCTGTATTCTAACCCATGCCTGTTTTAGCTTAGACTTTCATCACAAAAATAGTGTACTATAATAGATTGATAATACCAAGTTTTGGAGAGTATTTAGACGTGAATCTGCTACACTAAGTGCTCGAGTAGGCTACTAGTGTAGCAAGTGCTGCCGCTGCTATGGCAGGTGCTACCACGGCTGTAGCAAGAGCTACCTCTTCTTTAGCAAGTTGCTATCATGGGTGTAGGGAGATGTACCACGGCTAAACCAAGTGGTAGTTCGGCTCTAGCTAATGCTACCATGGCTGTAGCAAGTGCTACTATAGCTAGTTTAACTTTATCCAAATCGCTACACCAGATTTCTAGAATAGCTAGAATGGCTTTAGCGATAGCTGGAATGGCTGTAGCAATAGCTAAAACAGCTGTAACAATAGCTAGCACGACTGTAGCAATAGCTAGAACGTATGCAGCAATAGCTAGCTCGGCTGTAGCAATAGCTAGCTCGGATGTAGCAATTGCTAGCTCAGCTGTAGCGATAGATTGCTCGGTTGTAGCAATAGCTAGCACGGCTGTAACAATAGCTAGCACGGCTGTAGCAATAGCTAGCACGGCTGTAGCCAATAGCTAGCACGCATGTAGCCATAAGCTAACACGGCTGTAAAATATTCTACCCTGCCGCCTACATCTGTAAACAGCAGTAAACAACAACTAGTAATCTGCCCAACCTTGACCTTCTCACCCGACCGAGTTAAACCTAACTAAGATTTAGAATAACTGCCATCGTGTCAACAAACTACTGCTAGCAGATTGTTGTCAGCACGTTTCGCCCCGGGCCTAGATTGTTTTAATGATCGAATCTCGCGTTAAATAAGGAGGATGTGACGTCAGGGAAAAGATGGCCGCGCGCGAGACGCCGGTTAGTCGTTATTTCAACAATAGCTGACTTTTTCAAAATATTATAATTACCTTACTTTTTAATTCTAAAAATAGAATTTTCAAGATTATTCCTCGGGTTCGTTGATATCTCCTTTAAAATCAATCACTTTAAAAAATCAATAAAAGCCACAGAGGCGTAGCGGGGGGGGGGGGGGGACATATGTCCCCGGGCGCCGACCTTAGGGGGCGCCAAAATGGGTTAGAAAAACAAATTGAAAGTTTGAAGGGGGGTGCAAATCGAAAGTATGAGGGGGGGGGGGGCTGCAAATCGACAGCTTAAGTGGGGGTGCGAATCGAAAGTTTGTCCCCGGGCGCCGGGAAGGGTCGCTACGCCTCTGATAAGCCAGTAAATAGGAAACCATCTTTTCCCGTTTGTGCACTTGACATATGGGGCTGATGAGGTAGAATTTATCTGTTTCAATGACCTCGGTATATGTGGGGATAGTATTGTCAGCGCTATGCCCAGCCGCCGTTGTTTCCCTAACGTTGGTCAAGTACCCATCAGAGCTGAGTGTACTCAAGAACGTGATGAAGACTCGAGCCCGGGATCCGAACTCGTAACTTTCGGGTAGCACTCATAAGCTCTACCATTCAACCACGCCGTCCCCAAAATAGTAAATACTCACAGATGATTGGTTATTACCTAGCAGGTATCGTTATTTTATAAGTATAGTTGTCATTTTATATTTGCAAGTAGACTATTGCCACTTATTGTGCAATGGTTATATTGCGATAAAACGATTAATTTTTACAATCCTATTGTTAACATTTAGTGTATGAAACATTTCTATTGTAAAGCATGTTCAGAGATTTTAGACTGCTGGGCTTATTTGGGGTGTCATCATATCACATAGCCCAGTAGTGTCACAAGACGGGGCGGACCCTACTGGGTAACACCCGACCTAGTGACGCCATTGAAAAATTGGGTTGTATTATCGTAATCTCAAATGATCAAGGGAAATAACTCCATTTAGGGAAACCATATATGATGTAGATTGTATGAATGATAAAATTCTTTTATGAACAACAGTTATCCCCCATTACAATGTCATATTTGATTCGTGTACATTTCACCACCTACGTCACCCATTTTAGCCCACATATCATGTCACAATTATTCGACTAAGGGTTAACATGGATTCGAATCCTGATATTCCCATAGTTAAAATGTTATCATCCATTTGTTTTTATTATTTTGTAATGAACAGAATTATTAATTGCGTCCAAATTAATAACCAAGTAGATTGAATCTAAAACAAAAAAAAATGATATCATTAATTTTTGTTTTGTTTTATTAATTAAAAATCAACTGCGGCAATGTGATGTATTACATTTGTTGATTTTTATAATTATTTTTAATTTGATTTGTTTTTCGTTACAACTTGTTTTACATGACATTCAATACTTGACGTCACAGAAATGTTCAAGGTGTAGCCCAACTACAATAAAAACTGTGCTGTGTATTGCCTGAAACGAATGAAATTGTGATTTTATTTTTGTCTAATTAATTCGTGAAAAAGTCACACTTTTAGTTTAATTAGTTGTGCTAGTCAAATAATATACTGGGATGTTTTTTCTTTTTTAAAGCTAAATAAAAGTAGACTTGTAAATGAGGATAGATGTTTATTAATTTGTTGCTGATAGTAAGCTTAAAAAATAAGTTGTATGTCAGTTTGGTGTACCGTTAAGGATTACTGTAAGTGTGCTTAGTGGTACAGTAGGGTTTGTTGTACATATTACAGGGATAATTTTTGTAGCTAAGTTTTGTTACAGAAATATTTTTGTAGCTAGACTATGTTACAGAAACATTTGTGTAGCGAGATTTTGTTACAGAAATTTTTGTAGCGAGATTTTGTTACAGAAATTTTTGTAGCCAGATTTTGTTACAGAAATTTTTGTAGCTAGATTTTGTTACAGATACATTTTTTTTTTGTTACAGAAATATATTTGTAGCTAACTTTTTTTACAGAAATAATTTTTGTAGCTAGATTATGTTACAGAAATATATTTTGTGGCTAGATTTTGCTACTGGAATAATTTTGTTGCTAGATTTTGCTACAGAAATATTTTTGTTGCTAGATTTTGTTACAGAAATATTTTTGTTGCTAGATTTTGTTACAGAAGTGTTTGTACCTAGGCAAGCGTGACAGCTAAACAAGCTGTTGCCTTGTAATAGCACACTGTGGACGTGCGTGAGTTATAAAGGATATCATGTTTGTGAGCAAAATAAAATACCTCAGTATGGTTGCAGGTGATTGTAAATTATTTTAATTTTTACCATGATTAATTAATGATGTTGATATTTTGTTCACGTATTTATTTTACAAGTTAGAGATGTACCGCAGGAATGGATGCATGTGTCATATTAAATATTCGGAAAATTGTAAATAAAATATTTGTGTTTGTTACGAAACGAGTTCTGTGTTTTTACTTTTAAAAAAGTAAGTTGTGTCAGTTGTATTTAGATAACTACTGATATCATTTGACATAGCACAGCTGCTGATAACCACTGATTCAAGAACTGAATCAACAAGTGGCATGACAAGTGGCATGACAAGTGGCATCACAAGTGGCATGACAAGTGGCTTGACAAGTGGCATCACAAGTGGCATGACAAGTGGTATCACAAGTGGCATGACAAGTGGTATCACAAGTGGCATGACAAGTGGCATGACAAGTGGCATGACAAGTGGCATGACAAGTGGCATGACAAGTGTCATACTAGGCACAACATTTAAAAAACATTGAAACCATTGAACATTTATCACAATATAACAACTGATATGACAGTGGATTCAACATTAGACATGAAACTGAGATGACTACCGGAAAAAAAGCCATGAAACTGATACAATACAACATTTATCACAACATAACAATTGACATGACCACTGACATGACAACTGACATAACAACTGGCATGACCACTGACATCAACCACTGACATGACAACTGAAACTCACATAACCACTGACATGACCACTGACATGACCATTGACATGACAACTGACATAACAACTAACATGACAACTGACATCAACCACTGACATGACAACTGAAACTCACATAACCACTGAAATGACCACTGACATGACCATTGACATGACAACTGACATAACAACTGACATGACAACTGACATGACAACTGACATAACAACTGACATGACAACTGACATGACCACTGACATAACAACTGACATGACCACTGACATGACAACTGACATAAAAACTGGCATGACAACTGAAACTGACATGACTACTGAGATGACTGCCCTAAAGACACAAAAGGTAACAAATCATGCATCACAATACAACCACTGATAATGCAGCTATACCAACTATTTGGACAAAAAAGATGCAGCAACAACCAAAAACTTACATACAATCAGCAGGATCAATAATTATAATTAGAAAAATCATAAAATCGATTTACTTCATGTTAGCTAAAAAAATGTGTTACGTCCCTTACATTCATTGGATAAGCTTATTGGACTACATGAAACATAATTAAAGAATGTGATAGTTTGAGCTTGGTTTTCGATAAAGAAATAAGAACGTAAAGAGTTCATTTAGTGAAAATGTGTTAATAAACCTTGGCTAATTCTAATTTTACAAAGCGAAATGGTTAGCTAACAAACCAAACTTTTTTACAATGCTTATTTTAGATGTTTTATTTTATTGCAAGTAAATACTGTCAGGCTAAACTCTAGTATAAGGGAAATAACAAACTAAAATTTATTTGGCATAGAATTTCATGTTGCTCTACCCTGCACTTAACACTGAAGTGCGACACTGGGATTACTTTTTTAAACGGAATTTTTTTTATTATTTTTTTCTTTAGACTGTGCACGATATAGAGTATTACGGGGCTAATCATTCAGATAAGATCCTAAAGAACATAATATAGTTTGATTATGGCGCCGCCAATAAATAACACAAAGAAACATTAAACATGTGTCAGGTTGGTAAAGCTCATGGTTGCTAAAACGAAAAGTCCCGAGTTCGAACCCTGAGTTCAGCAAACCAGCAAGGAAGCAATGAGAGAAAACCTTAAAAAAAGTGCTTGTAGTTTGTTCTTCGTTGGACAAATGCTATGGAAGCAAATGCATAAAGAATAGCACGCAGAAATATGGCGCATAACAAGTTGACACGTAATACTGAACTATGTTGGAGGAAATCTTTTCTAACATAGCTATTGAGAACAACGAAGGAAAAAATTGTAAACCCTCTTACGCCACACAAAACATACGTTTCGTAATATATTCGTAATAATTTATTTTCATATAATATGGTCGTTCATCTTTTTACAGTTTTAATAATAACACACACACAAATAAATCTTTAACAATTTACTTCTTTCATATCTAAAGTTAAATTAGATTGTTATGTATCCATGTTTATAATAAGGATTTAATTTGAATGCAATATTTAAGTTTCAAATCTCACAACTGAATTTCCGTTGAATAAATGAATATACAATCAGATTGAAAATGGGATTATCATTTCTGTCATTTGGGATATACTAACTGTAAAGCTTTAAATAAATCCCAATATTAGAGATGGGTCAAAAACGAGATTCGAGATTTAACCACAAACCGATTGAAAGACATTTAGACATAATTGAAAGCTGGTAGCAGCATGCGCTATTATTTCTTACTTTCACTTTATATTTCTGATGAGGTCATGTGTAACATAGCACATGTTCTACATTGTAAACAATGTAGGATCATCAGGTAAACATTATATTTTGATGCTTGTTTTTAATTATTTACATCCAAAATACAGTCGCATTTTACGTTTCGCTTAATTAACTCACACTCTCGCATCATGCAAAAAGGTGTAGACCAGTCGAGAAAGCCAAGAAAATCACGATTCAACATGTATGTCGTAGTTAGGCGAGGAAAGTAATTACACTAGAAACAAAGACTTTCCCCACCTTGCACCTTTATAAACTGACACTAAAAGCTAAGCTGGTACACACAAACCAAGACTCGACAATGAATGCTGTTTACGTATCTGCTGTTCTTTTGGCCGTCACTATTGGAAGTCATGCGGTATGTACACATTTTATTTTAGTGACATGCCAGTTAGCAATTTTTTAATAAGGGTAGACTTATACATGTAATGAACATTGCTTTCTTCTGACAGTCTCTTACCAATCGAGATGCCGAAAAGCCTGGGATTGAAAGCTGGAAAGAAAAGGTTTCAAGAATTATTCAACTGTCGGAGAAAGGTGAACATATCTTAAAAGCTGTGTCGTATAGCATAATTCAAACTTTCAGAAATAACTACTTCTTAATATACTCATTTAAATGCGTGTTGCCTAGAAAACAGACGTTTCTCTGACCAATGACCTGTATGTAAAAACAGTATACAGCGGTATCTCGACATACGAGTGCACCGACATACGAGATTTTAGAGATACTAGCTGGTAGTTTAGACATATTTTCTTCGAATTTTCAAAATTTGGTGAGATTTCATTAAAATTAATGCTAAATTTACTGGTATTTCGTCACACGAAAATTTGAAAAAATGTCGATAGTATTACAAAAAATAGTACTATTAGAGTTATTAAAAGAAGGATCACTAATTATATGATCAATAATTTTATGATCAATAAATATGATTTTTTTTTAACCTCAAGACCTCCGCAGTGTTGTTTTTTCAAGATGGCCGCCGTTGCTTATTGTTGAGAAGAGTGCCTGATGCATGCAACTTAGATACACACAAATAAATAAAAAGGTGTATTGATTTAGAAGATGGGTTTTATTTCTGTTTTTTTTTTCCATAACCTTCCTTTTAAAGTTGAGCGGTAAAGCGGTTCCGATTTTAATCCCTTAATCTGACATTTCCAGAGTTTCTTCCAGGCATCTCTTCGGGGGGGGGGGGGGGGGGGGGGGCTGAGAAAATATATACTTTTAACAGTGCCCCCCCCCCCCCCCCCCCCCCCCACAGATCTACGATTTTTATATAATACTTATATAAGAAATTTCATCAAACTAGCTGTAACGGTACTCAAGTTATCGTGTTTACACACACACACACACACACACACACACAGAGAGATACACACACACAGACATTTGCAAATCTCGATTTTTTTCACGATTACAAGACTTTCTCTATAATTCGTATGTACGAGAAAGTAAAAATGTATAGTTTATGTAATGACGCGGTCACTCTAGGTCAGTTTTTGGTCACTTTAAACTCGATTATTGTGATTGGCTCTAAATAATTTTCCGTTAAAATAGTAGTAAATTGCAAGCATTGAAGAACCATTTCCCTGCTACTTAGTTGCAATATCCCGATCAAATAGGTGTGAGGAACAAACGATCAATTCCCACTTTGCTTAGATATAGATTTTTTAAAATTAAAAATACTTAACAAAAACAATAGGCGTGGCACTTTGGGGGCTAGAACAAATTAATGACTTTTCAAATAATTTAAATTGAAAAAAATGCTTTGAAACAGGGGCGTAGCGAGGGAGGGGGTACGGCCCGCACCGGGTGACACCATTTAGGGGGTGATACCAAGGCAAAAAATAGCAAAATATATCCAGAAAAATGATAATTTCACTTAATTAAATGATTAGTTAGGGTAAATTAAATAGTTTTTTAAGAGCAAAGTGGACAAATCCCGACACGGGTGGAGGGGGGGGGGGTGACAACATGACGTAAACCTGCTAAAGATAAAGAAAACATGCAACACCCAGCTGAATTTATAACCGAATCTAGATACAAATCGTTAGTATTATCTGAGCACAGTTTAAAGCAATCACCGTGGGGGGGGGGGGGGGGACGAGAGGGTGGGGGAAAATTACATTACTCAACGTTGCAACATAATATGCCTGAAGAAAACGGGTTGGTTGAGAATCGTAATAACCTATGTTAATCCGTGTATTGGGGGAGGGGAGGTGAGGGAAATCAAATATAAACAGAAGAAAATAAATATTTGAATACATAAACACATGCGTATACATACTTACAAGTGTATATGGAATATATATATATATATATATATATATATATATATATATATATATATATATATATATATATATATATATATATATATATATATATATATATATATATATATCCCTTACGGGCGGGGGGTGTCGCACCGGGTGACACCCGACCTCGCTACGCCACTGCTTTGAGATACAAACAATATAACAAACAAATTAAACTCGTAACTAGAGGTGCCACTTTACATAAACTACTCTGTTGCTCTTGTAGGTATAGATGCCAATAATCTGAAAGCTCTATCTCTGGACCTGGCCGAGTCAGTTGAAGCTGAACTTGCTAACAAAGGAAGTAAAGGTAACATTGTAAAATGAATTCGCTTGTTTACAATGTACTAAACCAGATATTTTGCTTATATTTTGCGTTTCAAAGTTATAATACTAAAGCTTATTTAAATTATTTAAATTATGTTATGTATAACTTTCAATAGTCTCTATTGATGAAGCCAAAGCAATAATTATGGAACTGATCGAACTAACGGGAGATATTTCACTTGAAGAACTATTGGCTGGTATAGTATAACATTTTTACAACTGAACTCCTATTTTTATATTTATTTATTTTTCTAATTTTTAATGTAGAAATGTATTGATGTGTATATAATCTGAAATATAGCTCCAGTAACCATTGATGCAAGTAAAATTTCAATGGCATTCAAACTATTGCGCAAACTACTGGAAAAAGAAACTGCTCTTGAAGGTAAAATTATCTTTACTATAACAAAAGATGTAGTTAAAAAACAAGTATAAAGCTTGCGTTACATCACTATCAAAACTATCAAAGCTATTAAATTTATGAGCCATACTAACCCTGTAGTACACATTAAATGGGTTAACCCCCTTATGTGACGCCGGATAGAATCTAAAAGTATTGATTTACGCTTATCATTATTGATTGAATGAATAAAGAAGTTGCACAAAAATGTAATAGTGGCAAACAAATATCAGAGAATTGTGTATATCTTTAATATTTGTTTTAAATTTCAACTCCAAATTTTTTTTAAATAGTTTTAGTTTCTACGCTCAATGGTTTCTACGCTCAAATTTAACAACTTCTGATAGTTAAAATGAAGTCAAAATTTAATTGAAATAGGGTGCAATTGTAAATGTCTGGTCGAAATATGTCCTTAAGTGATTAAAGGTCTTTCTTTAACAATGTTTCATTTAAACTTGCGAGGATAAACCATATGGCGTTTATAATCGATATCGCTCAACACTATTCGTTGGTTTTTTTTACTGTCTACAGATTAGTCTATTAAAGAAATATTGGCCATTCTATTAACACTAGTATCATGGTACCTACATTACTCACATACTTTAATCTTATTTTTAATGAGCTAATGATTGAAAACGTTATATAGAAATGTTGTGATAAGATAGTCCACAGCCCAACTCATAGGCTTGCATTCGTGCGGCGTCAATTCGGCCAATGACGAAACGGCCCCGTCAAAACGACCCCGACAAAACGACCCCGTCAAAACGACCCCGTCAAATCGGCCCCGTCAAAAGGGCCAGCGACATATGGACCCCGTCATATAGGCTCCCGACAAATAGGCTCCCGTCATTTAGGCTACCGACAAATAGGCTCCCGTTATATAGGCTCCCGACAAAAGGGCTCCAGTCAATAAGGCTCCTGACAAATAGGCTCCCGTCATTTTGGCTGCCGACTTATAGTTTCCCGTCATTTAGTTTTTTCCACAAAACGGCCCCCGTCATTACGACTCCCGACAAATAGGCTCCCGCCATTTAGTTTCTCCACAAAACGGCCCCCGTCATTACGATTCCCGACAAATAGGCTAGCGTCATTTTGGCTCCCGACAAAAAGGCTCCTGTCAATTTGGCTCCAGACAAAAGGACCACTGACACAGTGGCGTAGCTACCGTAAAGCTAGCGTAAGCAAGGCATGGGGGCCCAAGGCACATAGGGGCCCTTTTCCCTCATAAAAAATTAAAACTTTTACAATGGAATTTTAATATTTGTTACATATAAATAATTTAAAAAAAGAAAAAGGTTAAAAGTTCCAAAAAGCCCCCCCCCCCCCCCCCCCCCCCACCGTTTCGGCAGTGGGATTCAGTGTTTGTGGGTCAAACAGAGCCCAATCGTTATAATAACACTACAGGCTATATCACTTTGTCGTGCAAGACATTGAGAGAATCAGCCTATAAATAAACTTTTTAGCAGTAGTAGGCAAGCATAATAATATAGTATAAATACAAAATCAGGACATATAAAATACAAAATGTTGCCTTCAGAATATTTATATATTAAAAAATATCCATCGTAAGTAGAAGTTGATCTCTTCGTTTAACTCCTCTGTAGCCTAACGCTTGAAACTTGAAAGTTTGTCCCCGGGAAGGGTCGCAACGCCTCTGGGGGGGGGGGGGGGGGTGACACCATTAAGTGCCGCACCGGGTGACACCCGACCTCGCACTGTGCTTGTAGGTTATCAAAACAAAATGCTGTTATCATGTTAACATCATGTATATCGTACATTTACACTTCTGTGCTCGCTTTTAAGCAACATATCTTTTCTGTTGTAAATTAAACATTATTAAAACTTTAGAATTGGTGGAATTTAGCTGTTAAGGGCTCGATTTGTTTGTGAATTAATGTTGGTTCATGAAAAAATAATTTCATTCGGGCATTAAAAAGAGGTTATGGTGGTATTGGAGGTAGGACACAATGGTTACTTTTATGCCAATATCATTCATTTTTCTGGAGCCAATATGTCGGGAGTCATTTTGTCAAAAGCCAATATGTCGGGAGCCCAATTGCCGGGAGCCAATATGTCGGGAGCCCATTTGTCGTTGTCGGTAGCCAAAATGTCGTGAGCCCATTTGCCGGGAGCCCATTTGTCTTGAGCCCTCATGTCGGGAGCCAATATGTCGGGAGCCGCTTTGTCGGGAGCCAATATGTCCTGAGCCTATTTGTCAGGGGTTAATATGTCGGGAGTCCATTTGTCGGGAGCCTAAATATCGGGAGCCCATTTGTCGGGAGCCTATATGTCGCAAGTCAATATGACGGGAGCCCATTTGACGGGAGCCAATAAGTCGGGGCCCTTTTGACGGGGCTATTTTGACGGGGTCGGTTTGTCGGGAGTCGATTTGACGGGGTCGTATTAACGGGGCCGTTTTGACGGGGCCGATTTGTCCCGGGCCGTTTTGACAGGGCACCGCTTGCATTACCTGGGATCTTCTTTTAATGCTATGGAGAGAAATAGGCCTACTCTACAAAGAGATTTTTATGGAACCAGTGGAACATCTGCTGTCGTCTGCGTATCATCTAAAATAGTTTTAAAATAGAGGCCGAATTTAATTAAACTTAAAAAAGAAAATTTGCATGGAAGAAAAATTAATATATTCATTTTATAAATCGGTTAAGAAATTTTTAAATAAATAAATGACAGAAAATAATGTTACTTTTTGCACGCAATTTTGAAATTCTGTGCCTCTACAAATGTTATACGGTAAAGTATGTGTCATCAATGTTACGACGTGTGGTCCACTATGTATACCATTGTTGTGTATTGCTACAGCCGAAGACAAATCGACCACTGGAGTGCTCTCAGCAATATCGTTGATATCCAGAGCCATCGCTTCAGGTGTGGATGAGTTGGGTAAGACCATATCAAATACATTAGTGGTGTTAATTAATAGTTGTTGTAGTGTTGTCTGCGTTATACATTTTTTAAACAAAAGGATATATAAACACATGTATTTAATAAAAGGGTATTTTATCGATTGAACTCAATCTATATAGTATCAAAATTTGGAAATCTTGCTCAAAACCCTAAACTTGATCTTGAGATAATTATAAAACTGAATGCGTGCATATTTTAAGCTTTACTTTATTTAATGATTAATAAATTAAGCTACGTAAGCCATTATTATCATTGCATTCACTAAAGTAGCCGTTTGTTTTTTAAAACATAGTACGTCAACACAGCACACGTATTTTCATTTAACAAATTTTCAACTATTTTAAATACATTTTTGAAATTTGAGGCGCAGAAAAAAAAAAACTATAAGCTCCCTATAACATCTTCTTGTTTTAAAACTTGACACTGTCAATAATAAAATAAAAGACTACTTCAGTAGATTGGCCAATCAAGTATTATACATTTTTTTAAAAGTTTGTAACAGTATATATATATATATATATATATATATATATATATATATATATATATATATATATATATATACATATTTATATATAATGGTTTCAACAACTATTTTTATTGTCCAACTAAATTTGTGTTACTTCTTGTAAAGTGCTGCACCTTGGACGCAACCACGGCATTGAGCGAAGGATAGGTAATGAACGTAGTAATATTAATTATTTCATATATGCTATTGTAATTATAATTAAATTTCATAATTTTGTACTTGGCCTGTATAATATATGTGTGTATATATATATATATATATATATATATATATATATATATATATATATATATATATATATATATATATATATATATATATATATATATATATATATATATATATCTTGTTTTTCAGCTGCCTCAGATGGTCCCGTCATTATTATTATTGTAACATAAAGATTTACTGGAATAAATTATAAAGAGTACATAAAAATCTTCGATATTGTTCTCTACATTTTGTTTAAATTATGAACTCGTGTTCTTTTAAATATTAAGCTCACTATGTCGGGTTTACCCACATAGCACATAGAGTAACCACCAATAATAATTTTTTTCTATTAATATGTGGATGGCCATATAGAGATCCCAACCAAATTTTATAGGCTGATTCACTGCATTGCTTAACAAAACTGCGGCAGCGCTTGTGGTCTTATTAAAACGGGGTGGTCCATTATCGACGCCACCCCCCCCCCCCCCCCACACACACACACACTCAGCAACTGTGGTGTTATTAATACGAGCGGGCCCTATACGCCTGTTGTGTTATTAATACGGGTGGGCCATATTCGACACCACCCCGCCCCCCCCCCCCCCGCCCCCCCCCCCCCCAACACACACATACACACTGAATGCCACTGCATGTACACTAAGAAAAGACTTGCACATGGGGCCTTTTTTGAAATTTTTGATCCTTTCTACAGTAAAAATAAACTTGATTTCCATTTTTTTAAATAATTATTTATATAAAATAAATATTAAAATGTATTAACTTTTCTAAAGAAGGAAAAGGGCCCCTAAGTGCCTTGGGCCCCTATGCCTTGCTTACTCTAGCTTTACGGTAGCCACGCCACTGAATCACCATGGTTCAGTTAAGTCGTTAAAGTTTCTTTAAACTGAAATCAATTAGCATTGACATCTTGGTTTATATTTATATTAACAGCCAGTCATTTTTTTCCTTACTAAAACCAGCACAGATTCCGATAGGAATATTGCGCAAGTGCTTGCTATACACCGGTTGACATAGGCCTACCTCTGGAAAAAATCTAATGTTTGTAGAGAAAATAAAGCTATGTGTATTAGGGCTATTTTTCGTTATAGTTATAGTTAAATGCATCTCCATGAGCTGGTGAGTGACACCATAATTTGCCAAACCGAGTACACCCGGCCTAATACGCCACTGGGCACGAATATATTATCATTTTCTCATGATCTCATAACCAGGGCGCCGCCCTGCGATGTTGCAACCGTAGCACCGTTAAAACGACCCGAGACAAAACGACTCGTCAAAACGGCCTTATCAAAGTGACCCCGACAAATCGACCCCCGACAAAACGACCCTGTCAAAATACCCCAGTCAATTTAAAACAAAGTACTTTTATACTTATACTTAAAATAATATAAAACTAAGGCCTACCGAACAAGAGCTGCTACGTTGCAGTGGCGTCGCTAGGTCGGGTTAATATATATATATATATATATATATATATATATATATATATATATATATGTAACTAGGGTAAGTTACTAAAGACTATGGTTAACAACGTATTACAGTCTGATGCAATAGTGCAGATGGTAGACTGATAACGAACACAAAGCCAAGGCGTATTTTGGAAGCGATACGATAGAGCTGCGCAGTTCAACAGGCTGATGTAACGCGTGGAAACTATTACATGTACGTGGGAGATATATAAGACGACGTATTGGAGTTGAGAAACCGGGGCAGTATCAAGTTGGTTACTGAACGGGGTAGACGTGTGTGTTATGTGAGGATAGGAATTATGGACACGTGCATTCTGTTATGTGAAGACTAGTGAGGACAGTGGGGGTCAGTTGGTTCATTGTATTCTTATGGAACATTGTTGCATTGTTATGTGGAGCATTTCTTTTGATTCATGTAATAAAGAGATCAATGTAAACCTGCATTTCCGAGTATCTATATTGTGGTCGATGTTGTGTGCTGGTCAAGGGTAGCACGAGTAAATACACTCGGTGACACTTGGCTCTGTCAGCAGTGAAATCGGTAACATTTGGCACTACAAGCAAATAGACTCGGTAACATTTGGCGTTGTCGAGCAGAAGAATTCAACTAGACCTGCCGTTTTAGGCACCCATTATCAACCTAGTTAACAACTGTGTTTCGTGTGTGTGAATTCGGATATTCAGGAACAGGGAAAGCTATTCTTACATACACGGTAGGAAAGGTCTTTTTTTTTTACTCAAAGAATTAAAATTAGAATGTCTACTCTGGACGAGAAGCAGACCCATATTGTGGTCCTGCCCAGAGAGTCCCACATCAACAAATTTTACGGGGACGGTGATCCAGCCTTAACCAACAGGTTTAGTGAAGAGGTCAAAGCTGCCTGGGCCTCGAGATACATGGCACCAGAGGAAAGATTAAGATTGTTGATGGGCAGTATAGGAGAGACGGTTAGGGCAGAGGTCAAATGCCACGATAAAACCATCCAAACAGATCCAGATAAGGTGCTAGATCTAATTATGGAGACCTTTGGGGAGAGACGGTCGGGATCGCAACTGCTATCGGGGTTCGTAGGCTTAAAGCAGAGAATGGCGGAGAGTGTGATGGAGTATTCACACCGAATGAACAGGGCCTTTGATGCGGTAAAGGGCAAAATACCCGACATTGATGTGCGCCTACTGAGGGACCATTTCATCGAGGGGCTAGCAACCCCTATCTTAAGGAGAGAGTTGAAAGAAGAGGTCTACAAAGACCCACAGTTGACCTTCCTTCAGGTCAGGAACTCAGCGATCCGCAGGTCCGAGGATGAGGACCAATCGAACTGTTCGGTAGACAAAGTCTCTGTGCCGGAACAGAAACAATCCCCACCCACAGGGACCGGCACGATGGAAACCATGATGGCTCAACTGTTGGCCCACCTGGATAAGGTTGACCAACGATTGGAGAGGTTAGAAAGCAGGTCAACAGCAGAGAATCAGGGCAAAAACGGGACAAAACATAGACAGGTTGGACAGCCGCGACCTGCTGGTCCATCACTCCAGTGGACAGCTTACGGTCGACCAATCTGCCTGTCCTGCTCACAACCCGGACATATGGCACGGTACTGTCCGGTGAAACGATCGCACTCTGTAAGGCAGGTCAAGGCTACAGAGCGGCGAGGTTATGGCGTAAGAAACAAAATGTGACAAACAATGAAAGAGTCTCAAACAAGACTCGAAGAGAAATTATCAGATATTGAAAAAATGAACTGTGAAATGAACTTGAATGTTAAAAAGTTTCAAGTGAACAATTTGTTGGCTAAGAAAAATGATGATAAGGAAGAAATTGGTAGACTTAATAATGAGATCTCAAGGTTAACCATGAAACTGGATAGGGAAAGTTTATGCAAATTAAAAGCACAGGAGAAATGTTCATCTGTAGAGTGTCTGTTATCTGAAGAAGAAAATAGAAAATTTGTACCTGGTTTTGCAAAAATTGCCGCAGCGTTGCATGACTTAGTAAACAAAATGACAAAGAAACACAGTAAAAAGAAAAAGAAAGGCAAAACACAACTGATAGGTGAATTATGGACTGAGGAATGCCTGAACTCGTTTAAGCTACTGAAAAATGCTTTGACAGAGGCGCCGATATTAGGATACGCAGACTTTGACAAACCATTTCGGCTAGAAATTGACGCCAGCTCTAAAGGTCTGGGAGCTGTGCTATCACAACAACGGGAGCAAGGTTTCAGGGTTATTGCGTATGCCAGTCGAGCTCTGAAGGAATCAGAGAAGAACATGACAAATTACAGCGCCATGAAACTAGAACTTTTGACATTAAAATGGGCTGTGACTGAAAAATTCAGGGACTATCTATTAGGTGCTACATGTGTGGTATACACTGACAATAACCCCCTGAGTCACCTACAGACAGCAAAGTTGGGATCCATCGAACAGCGATGGGCAGCAGAATTGGCACTCTTTGACCTGGAGATAAAATATCGCCCGGGGCGGTCCAATGGCAATGCGGACGCTTTATCAAGGAATCCTTACGAGAGACCGGGCGATGAGGAAGAAACGCTGACAGGAATAGGTGAGGTCAGAGCGTCAACAGATATCCCTCACGGGGTGCAAGTGAAGCAAAACGGGCAGACCGGGGTGGAGCACACATCCACAGAGCCCCGACATATGGACATCAGTGATTTTAATTGCCTTAATAATAAAGAGATAAGAGATGCCCAGAGAACGGATAGTGGCTTACAGCCGCTGTTGAAATACGTCCAGGAACAAAAATTCCCAAGAAGAAGGGAAAGAGAACAGTTTGGTCGAGAAACAAAGAAACTACTGAGTCAGTGGGACCGTCTCAGTATAAAGGATGGTGTTCTCATGCGGAGAATTCATGACCAAATAGACGGGACAATACACCAGGTGGTGGTGCCTGGACAATTACGAGAAGAAGTGCTAAAGTTGGCACATGACAGGGCGGGACACCAGGGTCAGAACAGGACACACAAAATATTACGACGGCGGTGCTACTGGCCCAATATGGAGATGGAGGTCAAACGCCATTGTGAGGCTTGTGTGAGGTGTCAGCATGCGAAAATGCCAGTTGTCAAAATGAGACAGCCATCAGGACACTTACTGGCGACAAAACCACTAGAGATTGTGGCTATGGACTTTACGTCGTTGGAGGAATCATCGAATGGGACGGAACATGTGTTGGTGATGACTGACGTATTCACCAAATGGACTGTCGCGGTGCCCACACGAGATCAGACGGCTAAAACAGTGGCAAAGGTCTTGATAGAACACTGGTTCACCAAATATGGCATACCAATACAATTACACTCTGACCAAGGAAGGGCCTTCGAGTCAGAAGTAATTAACCAACTGTGCAGCCACTACGGGATCAACAAATCTAGAACAACCACATATAATCCTAAAGGAAACGGACAGTGCGAACGGTTCAACCGCAGCATGCATGATTTGCTGCGTACTCTAGAACCTGAGCAGAAAAAACGTTGGCCTGATTTTCTCCCAGAGTTGGTATATCTATACAACTGCACCCCCCATGCCACAACCGGCTTTTCGCCACACATGTTACTGTTCGGACGGGAGGCTCGACTCCCTCTTGACTTGTTCCTAGGAAAAAAGGAAAGTATGACTAGCTCATACACCGCACTGGAATATGTGAATGAACATATGAGACGAATAAGAGAAATGTACAGGGTAGTACAAGGAAGACTAGAACATGAAGCACGGCGAAGAAAACCGCGGGTACAGACAAAAGACCCGCCACTCCAACTAAACGACAAAGTATTACTGCATAGCCACCCATTAGGCAGAAACAAAATCCACGACCTCTGGGGACAGGAGATATGGCAAGTCGTGGAGATGCCTAAAGTAGCAGGTGGCCCCTTTAAAATAAGACCCACCAATCACACCAAACCGGATCGGTGGGCGAATATTGCTCAATTAAAGAAATATTGGCATAGTCAAGAAGAGCATTTACACACAAAGAAACCTAAGACAATTAGGGAACCGGAAACTACAACGGAAATTCTCATACCCATCCCGGAACCATGTCACCATAAACAGCACAACAGCGATACACAAGTGGAGGATAACGGCAACAATGAGGATCCCGGTCCTCCCAGAAGCAGAGAGACAGTAGAACAGCAGATAAGTGGTCCGCGGAGAAGTTTGAGAAACAGAAAGAATACGAAATTTTTCGTCAGCAACCATCAATTCTTTCATGGTCGCGCTGGGATGAGAACAGACTGTTCAAAAGCTATCAAAGTGAACTGGTGAAGACACCAAACGAAAAAAGGTGGATGTGAATTCTAGAACTGCTTTGTGTCTGAGGAATATGATGTAGACACATTTGATATGTGAAATAGGGATAACTGTCAATCTTTTACGAATGTGACGACATTGACAGTGAGTGGAACAATACATTTTTTTTTACGGTGTTGCGTTTGACATTGAAGGAGTGCACCTGCCAAGCGTTGTTTGTGGTTGAAAACACACAAAAAAAAAGGCGGGGGTGGATGTAACTAGGGTAAGTTACTAAAGACTATGGTTAACAACGTATTACAGTCTGATGCAATAGTGCAGATGGTAGACTGATAACGAACACAAAGCCAAGGCGTATTTTGGAAGCGATACGATAGAGCTGCGCAGTTCAACAGGCTGATGTAACGCGTGGAAACTATTACATGTACGTGGGAGATATATAAGACGACGTATTGGAGTTGAGAAACCGGGGCAGTATCAAGTTGGTTACTGAACGGGGTAGACGTGTGTGTTATGTGAGGATAGGAATTATGGACACGTGCATTCTGTTATGTGAAGACTAGTGAGGACAGTGGGGGTCAGTTGGTTCATTGTATTCTTATGGAACATTGTTGCATTGTTATGTGGAGCATTTCTTTTGATTCATGTAATAAAGAGATCAATGTAAACCTGCATTTCCGAGTATCTATATTGTGGTCGATGTTGTGTGCTGGTCAAGGGTAGCACGAGTAAATACACTCGGTGACACTTGGCTCTGTCAGCAGTGAAATCGGTAACATTTGGCACTACAAGCAAATAGACTCGGTAACATATATATGACGGTCAAAGCCCCAAGTCGGCAAATGCGCGCATTGGCCAATATGGCCTCTCATTAACCGGCCAAATTCCGAAACTTTACTTCATTTCGGCCTTTGGTTGGCCAATCCGCGGACTGGCCATGGTGGACCGGCCACAGTCTAAAATGGCTCTTGATTTCGGCCTTTGGCTGGCCAGTCCGCGGCCTGACCATGGTGGACCGGCCAGTCCGAATTAGAAGAGCATCTGGCTAGGGACGACCGGTCAAAGTCCGAATTAGAAGATCATGAGCAGATTTTGGTTTTTTTATACCGTAAGGATCATAAAAATTAAGTCTTAGTTGATTATTATTTAGAATTACATTGTTATTTTTTCGCTTGCAGCGATTTGTTGTGCACTAGGTTGTGCAATTGCAGCAAATGTAGCCTTGGCCGCCGGTCAGTGATTGTGAAGATGCGATGGTTCGTAGTGATTTTTCTAAGGCCAACTGGCGACAATGAGAGCAGTTTTTCGTAAAGAATTGAAAACTCATGTCTAGCATATAGTTGTTTAAATGCACCATGTTCCGTTCCTAGCTTGTAGAAAGCGCCCTCGACGCTCATGACAAATGCACTGACGCTTCGAGGATCACCGCGACCTTTGTCAACATCTGGAATACGGATACGACAAGTATCTCCCACTTCAGCTTGTTTAAATTTTGTTAGCATCTTGGCTAACACTCTCATCCCAATAAGCTAATTCATTTGTCTGCATCCTTGTAATCATGTTTTGAACATCTTAGTTGGCACATTCTACTGAACATTGGCTTTGGCTATCCCTTGGTTTTCTGTGAAATAGTTTAAGTTCATGCCACAAGTTCTTTAGTTCAGAAATAATTTGATTCACAAATTCTTTTCCATTAGGATTTGGATTATCTATTTTGGCAGCCTTCTGGTATTTCTGTCTTTGATCAGACGGTCCTTTTAGTCCATGTCGCATTGCATATAGAATGCTATACAAACAAGAGCCAAACAATAAGTTACTCAAAATGAAACCGCACCCAGAATAATGAAAACGCGATCACAACTTAGTCTAGATAGGACATTGGCCAGGACATCCAGGCCAGTGCGCGCATTGGCCGGCCAATGTACAAAATACACCCATAGTGCTAAGTTCTTTGGGCTTTGGCCAAGAGAACCGGCCAATGCGCACATTGGCCGGCCAATGCGGGCTTTGGACGCTATTCGGGCTTTGACCGTAATATATATATATATATATATATATATATATATATATATATATATATATATATATATATATATATATATATATATATATATATATATATATATATATATATATATATATATATATATATATATATATATATATATATATATATATATATATATATATATATATATATTATAGGCTATTAACGATGTTTATCTTTAGTCTGTTAATAATACAGTTCGGTGTAGCATTGTTTTCTCTATAGTTATCGCGTTTACGTCATGGTGTCACCCCTACCCAATTGTAATAATAGTTGATTCCTACTTAAAAGATAAACTTTAATTAATTATTAACGGAACTGGCAAAAAAGCATTTTTCTTATGTACATGTTGCCTTATTTTGCATTTGTGTCACTCTCCTAAATGGCGTCACCCGGTGCTGTCCGCACCCCCGCCCTCGCTACGCCTCTGCGACGTTGTATTATTTAAAGATATTGGCTAAGCTAATTCTTAATGGTGTAATATTCAATCAGGACATTTCGCCGGGAGACTTAGTCTCTACGGAAACCGTATTGACAACAGTGTTTCTTCCAGACTTTTTTCTCGGGGGGGGGGGCACTTGAACTTTTAGGGGGGGGCGGTAGACTTTCTTCGTGGGGGGGGGGGGGCGGACACTGTTAAAAGTATATATTTTTTATACAAATTATATAAATTTCATTTCGTTCGGGGGGGGGGGGGGGCGGTAAAAAAATTTCGGGGGAGCCTAAATGACGGGAACCTATTTGTCGGGATCCTTATTGAAGGGAGCCTATTTGTTGGGAACCTTATTAACGGGGGCCCTTTCATCGGGAGCTTATATAACGGGAGCCTATTTGTCGGGTCTAAATGACGGGAGCATATTTGCCGTGAACCTATATGACGGGGTCCATTTGTCGCTGGCCCTTTTGACGGGGTCGATTTGACAGGTTTCTTATGTTGGGGTTGTTTTTTTTTGGGGGGGGGGGTCGTACTGGCGGGACCGTTTTGTCATTGACCGTTTTGGCGCCGCAAGGTTGCAAACGATGGCTCCGACGAGCACTTCTCAAGCCACTGAGGCGGTCGCCGAGGAAAGTTTTACCTAACCTTGCAGAGGGTTATCAACATACCACTCAAGGTTTTCACACAGTAGTGTTGACAAACCCGCGCCCCAACAAGATCCAATAAATATGTCGTCATTTTTTTTTTTACATTAAAGAAACTCGAATTATAATTCTTGCACCCACCCCAACGAAAAAAATGCCTGAAAGGAACCCTAATTACTTGACAACGGTCGGTCGATGCTATTATTTGGTACATGATCACGCATATTAAATCAAAATAACACTTTTTTTCCATATTAAAATGAGTAATAATACAGTTTCATTTATACTTAGATCGCAGCATTTTTAAAATGCATACTTTCTTAACCTCTACTTTGTCATACAAAATAGCACATAGATCTACAAAATTTTTGTAAATAGCGTGACTTCATTTATGTAAGACAATGGTTTAATGTTTGTAGGGAAAGGGGTGTGCGCAGTTGCATGATAGGCCTAGATACGCCTCTGATAATATTAGCGGAAATGACCTTTATTCTCGTGACCGACTAGATATGGCGAATGTTGAGTGAGTCGATTATCCCACACAATAAAAGTGATGTGTCAATTTTATAATAAACTTTTTATCAAGCTTTTGTTAATTTTTTATGACATTTAAATTTATCACGTACAATAGATCTAGCCAGACAATATAGAGGGTCTAATTTTAAATAAATATGATGAATATTAGTTTAGATGAAGTTGTTGAGCAACAACATTTCACGTTCAATGAAATCGGGTCCAACAATGAAAATGTAAATAACGCGACTGTGGTGAGTAGCAGCAGTGGAGGGAACCAAATCAACGTCCCAGGGACGTCGTCTGATTCTTATCAGCTCGCTAGCGAAGTTCACGTTGCTTTCGCTCCTCAAAGTAGCAATCACAGTAATTTTAAACCAGAAACTCATAGGACTCCGAGATCTCCTACCAGGGGAAGTGGTCAAGGATTCAAAGAAAATTCACCACTTCTAGGACCCAGGTCTGATTTTGAACACTCAACTGAATGGAATTCATTTCCAGAGGATCCTCAATTTGAAGAAACAGTATTGGCAGCTGAATTAGCCATTGAGGCCAATGTCTTTCCAGAAAGAATTTTTCAAGGTTCAAGTGGAAGCTATTTTGTAAAAAATGTAGAAGGGGTAAGTTTTATTTTGAATAAGTTATAGATCTAGAACTAGTAAGTATAATTTACTAGATCAAGTATAAGGAAAAATGAGCAAGTTTCCTAGTGGAAATCTGTCGACTACTCAACACAATGTGACAAACCACTCTCCCACTCCTGTTTCACCCCACCTTCAAAAACTCCCGACCACCCCATGATTCTTAACACAACACTTACCTACTTCCTCAATTTGCTTTTGGTAATCTCACGATGTAGTGATGCAAATTATCCTGTAATGTTTGTTGAGTTTTGTAAACATTCAATAGTGAATATTTGACAGTTGAATAATAAGTTGAGTCGGAGTATTACATTAATGTTTTAACTTCATTTTAAGTTTAATTGACAGACAGCAAAAATTTGGCCTAGTAGATCTAAGCCTAGATCTAAATGTTAATAATGATTTCAAGCATAGTAGGCCTGTTTTTGTTTTTTTTTAAACACGGAAATAAAAACTTGCAGAAGATTTGCGACAACTAAATCTAGGCCTAGAAATCTAGTAAAATGACATGATTAGATTTACTAATACTAAAGTGGTGAGGACAACTAGAACAATGTTTAGTAGCAGCTATAATTAGCACATGCACGTAAAAATAATTAGCAACACAAAATAATTAGCTAAACAGTATTTAAATTCCAACTAAAGTCAATCTATCCAAATTTTGGAAAATATGGTGCCAAATAAAATATGGTTTACAGTACTTCCTGTAGTTTCCTGAACAGAGTGACAGACTACACCATAGTCTTACTGTTTATTTTATTGCTGTACCTTTTTGGTACAACAACCGACAATATATCGTGAGATTACCAGACCAAATTTTTCTCTTTTTAATTTTAGTAGGCCGGATGTTAAAGCATTTAGCAAACTTAAGTAAATTAAGAAAATAAAAACACATTAGGATAAAATTCTACAATTTATTATGCAATTCCCACCCTAACACATTTTAAATCATACCCTTTTCTCACATCTAAACTCTTGCCATTCTTCCAGTTCCCATATAGACCTACAAAAGTTGCCTTTGGTGGATGCTTTGGGGAGGTGGAACCAACTTTTATTGCAACTTGTTTCATTTCCTAATTTAACTTATTTCATTGCAAATCATATACAACCTACGTAAGTCATCAAAAAACTAAATGAATGGTTTAGGGCCTAAAATAAATCATCTTAAAAAAATAGTAGGCCATATGCCTAATTCATTGTTTCTTTTTAAATTATATTTAATGTTTTTTATTAAATGATTTCCATACAACATTTTCATCTCAAAGTGTTTATATTATTTATAGCAAAAAATAAATTTACCCTTTCAAACAAATCGGCCCATGGGACAGTGAAGTACAGTTTACTTGATACTGTTACCTCAACATTGTCATTATGTCCTGTCACCTTTACTCTTCCAAAATTGAGTCATGTACCCATCAGAACTGCCTAGACTCAAATGATCATAAGGATGTCTTACTGACTTGTTGGTTCTGGTGCTCTAACTGGCCATACCTTCCCATATCATCTATTATTTATACTGATTCAATAACTTCTAAATATGTGGCAAAATAAAGACAATGCCTATAATCAGATTTTTTTTAGCTTAGAATAGAAAATAATGAATTACTTTTATAGTCTTGAACTGGAAAATTTGTCAAGGATATCCTATTGTAATTGTAAATTGATATTTTTTAACCTAGTAGAAAAAGCCAATGAATATATGGTTGAAGTTATTGCCGAAAGAAAATAAAGCATTACAATACTTTTATTGAGAAATTCTGTTTTGAATACAAATAAAAGTAGAAGATTCAGTCTACAAAAATGATTTAAGAATAATCCCTAACCCAACACTGGCCTAGACACATGGAAGATTGTGTTGGGGGTACATGCACATGTAACTGTATCCAGAACTACACAAGACTAAGGCTAGATAAACAATTAGTTTTATTGCAAGGTTAATATTTAATGTGTCTGATTAATATAAAGATTTCGTGTTTAAATCATAATTTAATAAGTAATATTTATGAAAGAAAGTTATTGTTCAATAGGAGGCGTTACCTACAGAAATCATTGTTATTAACCAATAAAGCTTCTCACTACATTTTATAGTAATCTAATTTTTAATATAAACAATACCAAAGATTACGGGATCCATTTCTTATTTGCTAAACTTCAAAATTTGAGACTATAGCTTATTTATTAGGTGCTTAAATATTGAGTTCATAATATTTTGAAGATTCTCGGCTATGTATGACATTTAGTGCTTGATAGCATTATATTATTACAAAGCCAGACAGACTAGTCAGACTTGATCTGTTGCTGCTTATTTTATTTGTGACATAATTGTAATTAAATTAAAAATGTGTCGTACGTCTCACAATTGATATGACAATTACTAATTAGTCTTTGTTGAAGAACAATGTATATCAGCATTTCAGAATCAATTTATTGTGTTGCATAATCAGACACAAAAAACGGGCATAAATTACTGTAATTGTTAAAATGCATGGTAGGCTATATGTCAACTCCAACAATCCCACATAGAATACTGGACAATTGCCAAGGTCATGACATAAGACATAATTGAACATAAGACTAATTTTGAAATGGTATTAAAAAGTTATCTTATTTTAATTTAATTAACACAAACTTATTAGTCATCTAGAGCATACTGCTGATAATGATGACATTATTTCTAAAAATGGATGTATAACAACACCTCCATCAGTGTGGTGAATTCTACATTATATTTTTTATGATGATGTAACACCAGAAAGCCATTATGTCTATTGCTAGTCACAGTTATAGATTATTGAAATGGTGGGATTTATCCACATTTAGCAAAAACATAGTGTAAAAAAGAGAATTAAATCCCTTGTTCTGACACTCAACTGGGCAAAGAGTTAACCCATTTCTGTAGCCTCATTATATTAACAAAATTCATGGGTATGTCATATTTGGTTCTATAATGTTACAGCTTACTGGTATATCTGCTTTTTATTAAGTTACTATCATTTTACAACGTTAAGTATCCAAAACCATTAAATTGACTGATGATGGATTAAGTATCATTAAGTTTAGATATTAGCGTTACCTCTTTATAGTTTTACATATGTTAAAGACAACTTATTTTGATAAGCTTGATTTAAATTGCACTCATAAGAATATTGATACTGTTTTGCTGGGTCATGTTTAGTCAGTTTATGTATTTCTGTAAAGATATGTGAGGATAGCTTAAGTAATGTACCTCTTCATATGTTGAATGAAAGATTTATTTGAACATATAATTTTATGCTCTGATTTTCTTAGTCAGCATTTATAATGTATTCAGCTTATCTGCATAATTTATGCAGCTGTTAAACCATAGCATTTTTGTCTTGACATTCTTGTTTAATTTTCTTTTATAAGTTAAGGTAGGCAGACTGCAAATTTGACTGGAAGTAAATTCAATTTCAAGTAAAATTAATTAGCCACTGGTTTATATTGAGAAGTTAGAGCTGATAATTTTAAAATGTTCCAAGTATTTAGTCCAGAACATGAGTAAGTAAGCAAAGCTCCTCTTTAGATTAAGCTACTACTGGGCAAGAACATGAGTAAGTAAGCAAAGCTCCTCTTTAGATTAAGCTACTACTGGGCAGAGGAAGTAGAGTTCATGTTTTTGACCTTGACATGTAAAGGTATTTCTGTGGCCAGCACAATGTTCAGCCACTTTTGCTTTCCCCATAAGCAAGTCAAGTGCCAATCAGAGCTGTCAGGACTAGATTTCTTACAATAGGTGTTGGTGATGGTTGAGTACAATTGCTAACCAGAAAGTCTTAGTTTCAGTTCCCTAAGTCAACCTTGAATTCACCCAACTCTGACGGGTACCTAACTCAATTTAGTGTAAGTAAGTTGGCACAGCATGAAACTGACCACACTATCAGTTTTATACGCCAAGGTTCCAAAAGAAAGGTGCCCCAATGACTGCTATGACTTGACTTTGTTAAAGTAGTTATTGGTACTGTCATATCTTTTTCAATTATAAACATGGACGCACTATAAGTGAAATACAACTGTTTGTAGTATTTATGTGCTGTTTAAATTTAAAGGTGACGCTAATTGTATATTTTTTAAAAGTTATTGTTATTATCAAGTGTGCATGATTGAAGATTGATTTTTTTACAAGCTTGTTCTTAGGTCATAATATTTCTTATCAAGTCTTGAACTCAATGTTGCCTATTTGTATACATTACATCACAAAAAACGTGTTTCTAAGTTATAATTAGGTAAGTTAGTAGATAGCAGTTTGTCTGGTGAGCTGATATTTAGTAATGTTACTTCAATGTTCTTGTGTCAAAACAACTGCTAATAAGAGACAGATAATTGTCATTTAGAATTAACATCTTGTTATCTGCAGGTCTGATTGAATTTAATACAAATATTTAAAGCAATTAAGTACAAAAGGAATGAAAAGAATTAAAAAATGCTGCTAAATTTTCTAAAACTGTCAACTAAAAAAAACTTCTGATATACCAAATAATAATAGTAAAAATGAACACATAATAAAAAAAACTCTTAATAACAAGCTTTTGAATACCAAAAGAATACATTTTTGAAACCATTTTTTGAAGAAAAAAAAATTTCTTTAAAAAATATAAGCATAGAAATTTATAACATATTTTAAATTTTAGTTATCTGAAGCAAGAAATATAAATGTATTATTTTCTTACTTTTATAGTGCATTTAAAATTTTAGTATTATAAAAGTGGGTTTTATTCAACCTAATTAAAATGTAAATGTTAACTTTTTTAAGACAGCTCCTTAAGCATGTTGAGTACGTTTTTTTTTTTATTTTAACTTTTGCTTAAAAATCAATGTGAGAAAAGAATATTTAACCAAGGGAGGCTATTTAGTTATTTAGTATTAGATACAAATGTTTTTACCTGTTGTTTCCCCTTAAGACCTTTGAACTCTGACATTGTCGATGACGGCAACAGAATTAAAATAAAAAATACTTTACACGACACACTTCCTGTCGCCGACGAACCATCATTGTGTTGTCGTAGGCTATTTATATTCGCGCACTGTGAATCGTTAATGCTCACCGACAGACTACACATACCATCATAAACATCTGTTACCACAAGCTTATAGCTAAGCCGATAGCAGGTGTTCAATTAATTTCTGTGTTGTGTAGAAGTAAGGACAAGCTCAGTCGTGTTTCCGTACTCACTTTCTAGATCTAGATCTAGAGATCTGATTATTTGAATAGATTCATTAGGCTACTGGACTATCTTTATTTTTAGAACAAGAAAAACTTTCATTTTGTCATTGGACGTTTTCATTAGCCGTAAAAAAATAGATCTAATTTTCCCGAATTTATAGATTCTAGGACTAGATGTAGGCCAAATGTAATGATCTTGCCTAGTCGGCCTAGTCTAACTTTTTAAGTAACCTGAGGCCTAGGCCTACATACATTAGTACATTACACATAAATCTTTTATTTTAGGGCCTATTAATTAATTTGATTGAGGTGTACGTCTACTGTTTGTTTAATTACTTAGATCTAGTAGTTTAATCTTATTTTTACAGTACATTAATTGAAGTAAGCCTATTGAATATTGATCAATAACTTATTTATTTAGGAGCCTAATTACTAATTAGGCCTATTATAACTCTGCTAATCAAGATCTTCTATTAGTATTATTCGACCTAAAATAAATATTAGGCTCTAGGGCCTATAGGCTAAATCAGCTAAATGTTTTTTTTTGTCTTATGTATGTTTTGAGTTTCAACAATATTGGCCTAATATTTATAATTTATAATTATAGGGCCTATCTCCTTCAAATTATAAATAAATTAACTAAACAAATAAAAGGGCCTAACTCATACAATTAATTGTTGGTTTTTAACAATAACCCCAGTATAAGTGTGCCAAGAGTTTTTAACACATAAGTGTACATCAGAGACTTTTTACCACGCAAGTGTACAGAGACTTTTTACCACATTAGTGTACATATACTTTTAAACACACTTTTTATTTATAGTCCTAGCCATATTTGTTCAAAAAATACCAACAGCTCTAGGTTTTACAAAATTTGTGTCTAAAGATAGGCTTAACACTCAGGAAAAATCTTAGTAAATTTAGGCCTACTGATAAGTCATTGTTTTATTTTTCCAGATTCCTTTTTTATTCCTTAAATTCTCTGGTACTTATTGGTTAAAAAACTGTTTCAAATGCTATAGGGGCATCTATTCTCCATTAATAATATAGAAGAACAACAAAATGTTAATCATTGAGCCCCATATGGTTGCTGCATATCTTATCTTTCTAATAATCTTTGGCCTATTAACTTAATAAGACTACTTAGTTAATGTATGTAGATTTTGTTATTTTTAAAGTAGGGCTTTTTTCCATTTATACATTATACCATTTAGATAGGAACATTTCCAGGCATAAGAGTTTATCTATAATTGGGTTTTTGTATTGAATAAATAATGTTAGGTTATTGTAATTTAAATATTTTTAGGGTATTTGGTAAATATTAAACTAGATAACCTCTAAATTAAAGTGATATGTGATAAAACATTTATTTATATCTGTGTAAAACTAGGTGTGACATATATTTATTTTGATCTACTAAAAATTAAGACAGTCAGTAGCTATTTATAAATGGTTTGATATAGACCTAATTATGTTTCTATTGTACTAAAAGATTAGGATCTGTTTCAATATTAAAAATTATTCTTTTCAAAATAAAAAGCTGGATGAGGAGTGAAGACATTTAAAAGTCCTTAGACATGCCATCAGTTAAAACAAACATAGTGACAGGGTCTGTGCATTACAAATACAATGATGGTTGACAAAGCACCCGACACTGAAGATTTACATACTGGATCAGTGGACAGTGTGCCTACCCATTCCACATCTTCACAAACCAGAAATTTTGGAGATTATGAATCAATAAGTGGGCCTGTGAGTTACAATAATTTTCCCAAAGATCCCATATTTGCTGGTGTTGTCAGAGAGGTTGAACTCGCTATAGAACACGGTATCCAGCCTATTCTTAGCGCTAAAGGAACAAGTGGTTGCTATTTTGTTCGAGACCGAGAACAGGTACAAGAAGTTTTTGTGTTGTGTTTAAGATTTTGGTAGTGTTTATTATGTAAAGTCTATGCAGATTAAAAGTTTTATTTGTGGTAAATATTGATTTGATATATCGATAGAAATAAAGAACAAAGCGCACACTTGAAAATTGTGAGAAAATGTGTTAACTAATCAATTCTTACCACACTGTTAAAAAATTAATCTATCATGTTTTATTCAGATTCTTTTGTTTTGCAGTCTTTTGTTTATCTAAGTTCTTTATCATCTTAAAGAAAACTTCATGTCAACGAAAATTCATACCGTGGGAGTGAAATTATTTTTTATTAACACTTTTATGGTGTTACAACATGAGAATATATATTTATATACAAAATAGCAAGTAGCGTACAGCTACAGACTGTTAAATATAATTTACAAAGATAGAATTTTTTTTCTTCCTTTCCAGAAAATAGTAGCAGTTTTTAAGCCAAAAGATGAAGAACCCTATGGTCAGCTCAACCCAAAGTGGACAAAGTGGATGCATAAACTTTGTTGTCCGTGTTGTTTTGGAAGGAGTTGTCTTGTTCCCAATCAGGGTTATCTGTCTGAAGCTGGGGCTAGCTTAGTGGACCAGAAGTTAGGTCTTAACGTTGTACCAAACACCAAGGTTTGTCATTTCCTCATAATACACCTGATATAACACGTACCCCGAATATAAGTATTTTAGTTTTACTGTTATTTGTCTTCCATGTATTGCACCATACATAAAAATATCTTTATCTATACTCTTGACTTTTCATTTGAAAGCTAAACTCTGGAATTGTATTTGCTTTAATGGAGCATAATGAAATTTTTAAAAGTAAATTTCTGAGGTTTATTGTGTGTTTAATGTATTTCAGGTGGTCCGGTTAGCAAGTGAAACATTTAACTACAGTGCAATCGATAGGGCCAAGGCAAGAACTAAGAGGAATATTTATAACAAAGTGCCAAGGGTTGGAAAACATTTCAACAGAATTGGATTACCACCAAAGGTTTGATCATAAATGTGTCCTTTAATTGTAGAAAAGCTTCAATATTTTGTCACTTTTTTCTAACATTTGACTCTAAATTTGTCAATTTTTGTGTTTGTTTGCTAATATTTTTTCCATTAATCTTCTATCACAGTAAGTAATGAGGGGTTGATTTTCAAAATGTTTAAAGTTATCCTTCTTGCTTTTATTAAGTCTTGTCAATACGCACTCTTAGTAATTTTTGTTTAGAAATCCTTTTATGGTACTGAAAATAATTTCCCATATTCAAGCTTAAGTAACTTGCATGTTTTTTTAAAGTTGAATCCTCATATCCATGATTCATAATAGCCCATTTGCGCACTTCTCACTCTCCCCCTCTCTCCCTGCAGGCTTTGAGTTCAGGATGTTCAGCAATATATGGAGAACTTAAAGATAGGGACTTTAGTTGAAGTTAATATGTTGGTTTTTTTAATTGTATAAACTAAATTATATTTAAAGAAGGAAAATATAAATAAAAGCATATTCGAATGTAAAAACATACTTTAAATTTTTCCACCCGGAAAAGTGTTTCTGGTTGTGACAAGACCGCAATAATCTATGACGTCACAAGTCACATGTTTAAACTACAGAAAGTACACAACACGAATGGTGTTATCTTCCCAATTTTAGAATAGGAAGAAATGAACCATTTCATTCAAATTTGATTTAGATCTAGATTCTATAAATCTACGTATCAAGACATACATTATGAAATGTGTACACTTTTCTTGGCCAAAACTAATACCAAAAAAACTAATAAAAAAACGATAAATGCTATTTAACAGCCGGATTTTTATCGGAATCATTTAAGTCTCCTTAATCAGTGTGTGCATTTAATATGGTGTTGTGTCAACTAATAATGTATATAAAATCTAATTGGTTTTAATTTTTCTAATAGGTATTGGTAGCCTATGTTATTTTAAATGTGTCAGATTTTTAGCTATTTATTTATTTCTTTGCTTTGTCACTAATATTGTTCAACATGTAGTAAAGAACATTGCATTTTGACCAATGACTATTTTATAAATTATTTTTTCCAAACAAGTATAACATTAAAAAGCCTATAATATGTAGGCCTATAATTCATGTGAAACAGGTACCCATGGCTAGTGAATACTAATAGACTTACTGTAATATTTGTTTTCTGTTAACTAAATGTATAGTTAACACTACTATCAAGTGTTCAACTTCTTTTATCTGTAAAACTATCTAGTTAATGTGTCCTACATGAACATCTTTTTCTTTTGTCTATAGACCGGGTCTTTCCAGTTATTTGTGAATGGCTATAAAGACGCAGACTATTGGTTGCGGAGATTTGATAATGAAGCACTGCCAGAATCTTCAGCAAAAAAGTTTCAGCATTTATTTGAACGTGTTGTTGTACTGGATTATATAATTCGTAACACAGGTAACTAGCATTTATTTGAATGTGTTGTACTGGATTATATAATTTGTAACGCAGGTAACTAGCATTTTGTAACACAGGTAACTAGCATTTATTCGAATGTGTTGTTGTACTGGATTATATCATTTTGTAACACAGGTAACTAGCATTTATTTGAATGTGTTGTGTACTGGATTATATCATTTTGTAACACAGGTAACTAGCATTTATTTCAATGTGTTGTACTGGATTATATAATTTGTAACACAGGTAACTAGCATTTTGTAACACAGGTAACTAGCATTTATTTGAATGTGTTGTGTACTGGATTATATCATTTGTAACACAGGTAACTAGTGCTCATCTTGCCAACGATTAGGTTAGTGTGTGTCCTTGTATCTTGCAAAAAGATGTTACTGATTTATTTGTCTACTCCAAATTCAGATAGAGGAAATGACAATTGGTTGATAAAGTATGAACCAGCCTCTGCCAAACCACAAAGTTCTGCTCATATTGATGGTGAGGTACGTATGATCCAACACCACAGGGTGTATGGTATGACATTACGAAGGTGGCACATAACAGTGTAACACAGTTATTGGGAAGTTACAGTGTAACACAGTTGTAGGATTATAATAACATATACTATAATGTTATAAGTACATGTAAGTAGGGACAGTGTCGTCTAATGGTAGAGGGTCAACTGCTAACCCAAATGTTTCTATTATGTTATAAGTACATGTAAGTAGGGACAGTGTCGTCTAATGGTAGAGGGTCAACTGCTAACCCAAATGTTTCTATTATGTTATAAGTACATGTAAGTAGGGACAGTGTCGTCTAATGGTAGAGGGTCAACTGCTAACCCAAATGTTTCGGATCTTGGGCTTGAGTCCGCAAGAGGACACTGAGTCCACTCAGCTCTGGTGGGTACCTCACTCGTGTTAGGGAAAGTAAAGGCAGCAGGACTCAGTTCTGATCACACTCACTTCATATGCTGAGGCAACTGAAACAGATGAACTCTACTTATGGACAGTAAAGTTTGAAAGGGTATTTAATTTACATTTAAGGAGGGAACAGTCCCTGGAGTTTATAAAATCATATGTTGTATGAAGATAGCCCTATGTCATGTTTCTTATATCAATGTTTCCATTGTTTTGTTTAGGACTCTGATTGGAGCATGGTAGAGAACCCAGAAATCTCTGTTGCTGCTATTGATAATGGACTTGCTTTTCCCTTTAAACACCCAGATGAATGGAGAGCTTGTAAGTCATTCATTTAACCTCTTGTTTGGACAAAATCCTCCTTCTCCCAAACAAAATTCTCATTAAGATAGGCTCTTGTGTTCATTCACAGATCCATACCATTGGGCGTGGCTTCCCCAAGCAAAAGTCCCATTCTCTCAGGAAATACAGGACCTTCTCTTGGCCCAGCTTTCAGATATGAATTTTGTTCAAGATCTTTGTGATGACCTGTATGATTTATTTAAAGTAAGATATATTTATCATTTTATTTTACAGGTTATTTGCATTAAAACTATTACTTTTTTTTTTAAATAAGATCCTTAAAGACAAAACCCAATAAACCGGGAGTGATCTCCCCTAAACTTTCTCGAATATTCTTATATAACTTGGAATATAGACATGATTTTTAATTACCTAAACTTTTAAAAATAGAATAGAATCTCATAGAAAAAAGAATAGTTCACCAAGCGAACGCCAAAACAAAATGTGCATAATAGTGCACAATATTATTTGTACTTCCGGTCAACGGAAATTTCTCAAAATTTGACAGAAGGTAGAGAATTCAGGGATGTGACTTTTCCGAATTTTAGCGGAAATCCGATTTTTCCGTTTCAGTTGCGATTTTCCTCCGCTGATTTAATTTTCGCCGAATTTTCCCGCCGACTTTCAATTTTTGACGATTTTTTTACGAAGTTTTAAAAATTAGGGGAAAAAAACGGAAATGTCTTCTACGGAAAGGGCCGACATGCTCATTCCACTTATTCGTATTTAAATTTAAATCGACAACTACTGTACTTAGGTCAAACGGACACTCGAATATGCGCATTTCTTTTCGATTGGTCGATTGCGCTAGGTCTGACGGTGCTAGATCAAGATTAAATGTAGATTCGGAATTTCGGCGGACTTTCGAATTTTTCAAAGTACACTTTTTTAGTCCAAATTTTCCGCTGATATTTTCAGTTAACTATTTAACAAAAACACGGAAAAGGTAATCTAAAATAATGCAGCTATTCAATTAAAACTTACATCTCTTAAGCCTGGTAATCTAGCTATCGATATAGCCTAATTTACCTATCGGTATTTTAACACGCCTAAATCTAGAGTTTCTCTCTGATTCTATTTTATTTCGCAATCTCAAATTAATATCCTTGCAAAAGGTGACTACGAGGACTAGACTAACCCGCCCCATCTCGTAGTAACGGTGGCTCTTGTGACCTCACCGTGACCCCAAGTACGTGTTCGGTACTGCTTGTGGAAAAAAAAATGACGTCACAGTCAATTTCAAATAGCTGTTCCTGCAATACATGTTTCGTAGACCTACAGATTAAAAAAAAAATTAAAATTATAAACTCAACGTGACTACGATCGTGTCTTGTTTGTGGAAGAAAAAATACGTACAGACTGTTTTTAAATTTTTAGTAAGGGGTCTTCCATAAATAACGTCACACTCGTCATATTTTAATATTTTTGTATTTTAAAAAAGTAATGTTAGAAACAACTGCATTTTAGCCGCTATTACGCGTTTTGGAAAACTGTTGTAAAACATTGTAATAGAAATTGAATAAATTACCCTATGTTGGTCGACCCTCAGTCAATATTTTAGAAAAAGATCGGTTTAAAAAAATTCAATTCGAGGAGGGGGGTGGAGGAGCATTTGTTGGCTGAGGTGTGACGTCATTATGGGGGTGGGGGAGTCTGGATTTTGTAGGAGAGAGGGGAGGTAAATATCGTCAAAAAAAATACGTGGATGACCCCTAACAATTTACATCTATTCCAAAAAAACATAAATATCAATGTGGCTTGGTTATCATTATGATTTACTTTGGTTCACACGCCAGACCCTATCTAATTTTAGCTAACCTGATCCATTTCATTTTTCCATCACATGAACCTAATACTTTCAAATTGTAACTAATCTTAATCTAGGCTCTTTACAGTTGAAGACAAATATTTTTACCAATCCAATCTTTAAAAGAATATATATTAGGCATTAGGCCCCCTATTTAAAAATTAAAAACAGGAGTACATCTAGAATCTACACTAGATTAGTACAGTTTAAATTAGCTTAATGATAATGGTAAAATAAAACTTAATTGCTACTTTTGTTACATTGTAATTTTTAAAAAGTTGTTTATAAGGTAAACATTAAATTGCAATTAGACAAGACTTTCAGTGTTATTTTAGAGTAACATAAACTTCTTGTATTTAAAATATTAACTTCATTAAACAATTAATTAGTACAGTAACAGTATGAAGCTGCTTAACCGCGATAAAAAGTAGATAAAACATATTGAGTTATTATCCGAAGAAAATTTCCTAATTTTTTTTCCTGGTCTGGTCACATCCCTGAGAATTAGATCTTTTACTTACATGTGAAATTTCATTTATCTATCTGAAATAGTAGTCAAGTTATAGGCTTTTGAAAAATTCAAAGTAGAAAAAGTACCGGTTATCGGAAGTCGTTCAAAAGTTGATCAGGATCTACGATTTTGATAAAATACTTATATATGAAATTTCATCAACCTAGCTGTAACGGTACTCAAGTTATCGTGTTTACACACAGACACACACACAGAGACATACGGACAAGATTGCAAAATTATGTTTTTCCGTATCAGTGAGGTGTAAAACGTCGAGATTTGTAAAAATCTCTATTTTCTTATTTTTTGCACGATTACAAGACTTTCTCTATACTTCGTATATACGAGAAAGTAAAAAAGTCTAATACATTCTAATTTTTATGAGCAGCCAGTAATTTACTTATTTAATTGTTTTGTTTTGTTTTTTCTGTTATACCTTAATCCTCAAGAAATCATTAAAAATTAATACTTATTTATTGAAAAAAAGAAATCACAAAACTTGCTCTATCATAAAAAAAAATTTATCCCAGTTGCAGTGGTCAGTACAGCATGTTTAAAAAAAATTTTGAGCATAAAGGCCGGTAAAGGGCTAAGAAACTAAAAATATTGCTTACAATATCAGGATCTTATACATTTGTAAATAAATATAGATTTAAAATCTGTTTAACTATAAGTTTTAGCAATATTAACTATTGATTTCAGAATGATAAAGGATTTGATCGGCATACTTTTGAAAGACAAATGTCTGTAATGAGAGGCCAGGTATGTTTTATTTTAATTCAATTTGCTTTATGCTAAGTAAATTCAATTTACAAGACTCACATCTTTGTTAATTTAAATCCTACTCACTAAACATCACCATTCACCAGGCTAAAAAAACAGATTATTCTCATCTGTTAATAGATATTAAATAACCTGCATGCACTTTATTTGTGTTGGTATAAAATCTGATTGACTAGACCTCACCATTGAGTATAAACTGTCTGCTGTTGGTTGTCTAGATCCTGAACCTAACCCAGGCATTAAAAGATGGTAGATCTCCTGTCCAGCTGGTACAGATGCCTGTGGTCACTGTGGAGCGCAACAAGTCAGCGGTGGGCCGGACACGAGCAGATAGTGAAGTCTTTACTCAGAGTTTCCAACATAAAGCTCCTTTCTTCTCTTGGTGCTGAGATTCTGCGTCTTGTATCTGCTTTTTAATGTTGAACCAATGTATCATCTTTAAACTAGTTTCGTAAGAAATTGATGTGTAAGATTAAGACACAATTTCTTCAAAAGTGTAACTGGTTTAGTGATAGTTTGTAAAGTGAAAGCAGGTACAAAGAGTTAATGACATGCTGGAAGTGTTATGTACATGACAAGGATATATATTTTAACTTAATTTATGAAGAACCTGCCATGATGAGTGAGACTGAATGTCACCAGCCAGGACTGGGAAAACTTTTGTGTCTTTTTTTTGGTATTTTTATTCTGTTGCGCCCTACAGTTATCTGTGAGCAAATTTTGCTTGTAAACTATTCATCCACTCCTTTTGTTAATGCAGTAAATAGCTAGATTCTCCTAGCATACACAGACATGTTAACTGCTTCAGTGTTGGAGTTCTTATTCAAAATGCTTTTGACGAGTGAATGCATTTATTTTTATTCTAAGACCGTTGATTTTTTTTTCCAATCTAGTAACATTTTAAAATTCAAGTATTATTTGAAATTTTAAGTCATCATTTATAAGTTTAGCATGTAATTTGATATTCTGTAAATTTTTATCACAACCTTTCAATTGTCCCTTTCAATCAATATTTTAGAATCTAAGTATGAAGTTAATGTCACAAAAATATTACCTCTTATCAATGTTTTTCATGTAATGAATGGTTGGGATTAGGTGGCTATAATCAGATATCTTAAACAATAATGGTGATTGTGATCCTAGCTGATAATGTTCTCATGATCTATTTACAAAAAAAAAACTATTTGGTTTTTTATTCAATTTCCCTAACATCAGTGTTTATAATTTCTTGTAATTTTAAAAACTATATAAAATAGATTATATAAACACCAATACTAGCACAGTTTTGCTAAAAAAAATTTATTTATACACAATAAGGACTCTATGATTCATACTTACAGTATCCATGAAATGAGTACCATATGTACAGTAATTTGAGTAATTTAGTTACATACAACTTATTTTGATAGGCTTGTTACCTCTGACTAGTGATAGAAAAAAAAATAAGCAACCACTTCCTAGCCTTAGAAATCCACATTTTCCATCAAGGCTAGGCATCTGTCCATCATTGAAACTTGATAACCATGTTTGTTAAAAGATGTATATTAAATATGTTGGAGTTTGTGTTACAACTCTTTACTGGTGATTTCTGGTCTTTTTATTGTCATTCAAATTGTGATATAAAATTGTATCAACAATGTAGCTTTCCTTATTTTGTTGGTTTTTTCTGTTCTGTAACTGTTGAGAAACTTGTGGACCAATTATCATTGAATTGATCTGAAACTTGGTTAGTTTTTGTACTTTCATGTTGAGTGTACATTCATCAGCAACTGCTTCATTGGGGTAAAGTGACCATGCAGTACCTGCCTACACATAATGACATACCAGATGCCTCTGTAGGCCTAATAGAAAAACATTTATTTATACAAGCTGTGCTCTTTATCTGAAACCTTAAGCATTATAAGTAAGTCAGCCTTTATTGTCAATGCTGGTGAAGCTTCTTATCATGAACATCCCTTACTTTATTGGACATTTTAAAAAATATGTCTAGTTCTGTTTGGCTTACTAATAGTTCTATACCTTGGCCGAGATGTTTCAGTCTACCGAAGGTAACTTCTGATTTGCTGATAGTTTTATTTTACAAATTGTGTTCCATGTTGTGCTTCTAATAGTTACTGTAATTAATTAATTCAATTCTTGTGTACATATTCATTATTGTGCCTTTACAAAAATGTCCAGAACCTAGTACTAAACTTTCTTTCCGCACGAAAATCAAATTCAGTTCATTTCACACAAAAATTTTAGCTACAGCCTTTGTGCTTCAGGTGATAGGAAAATACTTTTTTAACAGCTATGTCCACATGGCACCCATCATATTTTTGTTTCAAGTTGTGTGTGCATTCTCATTGATTCAGCACTGTAAATTATGCATTAAAGAAGTGACAATTTCATTCCACATGTTACAAGCAGGTGTCCACTTAATAAAGAATTTTTACTCATTTCACTACATTTATTCTTAGTTGTTTTTTTTTTCGCTTTTAAATTTAAATTGCAAAGACAATGTCAGTAAGAAAATATTCCTGTTAAAGACCAAAAAAGAATTTTTGGAACTGGAATATAGTTGCTCATTTATTTGAATTCCACCCTCCCCCTACAGAAAAACTCACATAACAGAATTTTGTCCTGACCACTTTTGTATTCAAATTGCAAGTATTTGTAAAAAATTTCAGTGAAAATAAAACAATTTAACTACTGGTAAGGATTTTAAAACTTTTTCTCTGAATGACTAAAAAGTATCAAAATAACTGTTGTTCCCTTTGGCCTAGATTAACAGGAAACTATACTAAAAACATGTATTTCTTTAAGTAACATTTTAGTTTATAGTTTTAGTAATAAGTAACCATTTAACTTAAATTTGGGATCCTTGTTTTATCTGCATTTTAAAATCTTAGTAAGTAATAATATAACTTAGGTAACACCCTTTATTTAGATATCTGGTACTATATGAAGCTCTGAGCTACTTATTCATAATTCAAAATAATGATCTTGCTGTGTTAAATCTTTAGTTCACAACTTATTTAGACCACTTATAAAATACCATGTTCTGGTGCAAATATGGCTAGTGTATATACAAAAAGATGTATGTCCCATGACATGTAACTACACAAAAACTAAAAACAACTTTCTTAGAAACATTTGTTGTTCTCTGTAGACTTTACTCAGGTGTTTTATTCTCTAACAATTCTCACCTTTAGAATCAATAGAAATGATGTACTGCTTCAGTTGAATATAAGATTGTTAACATGATTTTTCATCAAAATAGACAATCTACTCAGGTTTCAGCCAATCTGTATTACTTATTTTGATGACCATGGAAATCAAACTATTTAATGGATGGCAAAATGAATCACTAACAGTATTTAGTTTTTTTAAGAATTATATAGAATGGATATGATACAAAAAATTAACTACTTTTATTAAAATGATCAAACACGTTTATTGTGATTTAAGACAATAAATTATGTATGCGGCAGTTTTTAAAATTAATTTGCATCTCATAAAAATGTGTTTATTGACATGTTAATCATGTTGCAGCTCTCAACACTAACGAGAATAGCTAGCAACACAAACCTAAAATTTATTCAAAGCTTTCTTCGATTTTTTCGACTCAATCCTAACAATCGAACAATACTTTGGATCATGTATTTGACTGTTTCACTTTCTTCTGTAAATTCCTGTAACTTTGTCCGCTCTAGCCCTTCTCTCAAAATAGCTATGAAGAAATTAAGTACCAAGTACTGAGTAATAAACATGACCATGAGGAAGTAGAAGGGCCAGAGAACATCGACAAGGGTGGACATGTAAACATAGTTGGCTTCACCCAGGATGAAGAACAGCAGGGAATAGAAGCTTCTCCCAATGGTCATGTACCCTATCACTTTAGAGCCAAAGAGCAGATTGCCAAGTGCTGCGAGTGCGATCAAAAGTAACAGTGAGATGATGGAATAGCCAAAAATCCCAGGTGTGATCACCTCCATTGTTCTCAAGAAAATTATTAGGAATGGGTTGAACCTGCAAGTAAAGAAAAAAATTCAAATCAGAGATCTTTTTAATATAAGTAAATAGGATTTTAAACTTCAGGAACATTTAAGTAGAATCCTTCACAATAAAAGCTGGTTCCAAATGTTTGTTGCCAGAAAGCATATTTTTCAACCAAAATTGAATATTTTATAACATTTATGAAATTAGTACAAAATGACTTCCGGTTTTTATTAAGGCTAGAAATATTCAAACAAATAATTACTAGTAATATAATAGTAGTTCAGCAAACACTTTTAATTTGGGTTAGTAGATTCTAGAGATTGTTGTGATAAGGGATGTTATATTATTTATTTTAATATAACTACAATACTGGGCTATACACCATTGACCACTATTGTGTATTTTATCATTGAAAACTATTGTTGAGACTTGAATTGTTTTACTCTCCATGGCCAGGGGTCGGCAACCTGCGGCTCTCCAGCTCCTTGCATAAAGTTTAAACTTGTGTTGCTTTACAGTATAATTTTTGTTGTCAGTTTTGAAAATAAATAAAATATAACCATTAAACAGAAGAATAAAACTCATCAGAGAGCAGTGCAAATATTTGCACTAGAAAGTATACGGATAGCCGCTTGGGCACCAGGCCCAGCCGCACATCCATGTTATGGCCAGCCTCGTGGCGACTATTCCAAGCTTGCTACTGCCCAAGTGCCAACTTCTTCCAATATCGTTAAATGTGGATTGTTATTGTATTCAGAATGCATTTACATATCTGTCAGTAATTATTAATTTGACGTGAGTGACGTAGCTTTTTTAGTTATTAGCTTCCTACTGTTGAACCGGGTACTGGACAGTGGGGTACTGGACAGTGGGGTATGAGTTTACCCTGCGTTCAGTGGGGTGAAAGATAAGCTTGGTGAGAACTTAAGGACAGAAGCGACGATACATGGTAATCAAACCGATATCCAAGATAGTCGGAGTTTGCCGTGGTGAGGCCTGTCTGGCTAATGGGAGACACCCCCTGAGCCGGTAATGTCCGTAAAGAAAGAAAAAAAAAGTTAACTGCTTCTAAAGTGGATTGGGATAGTAATATATTTTTATTTTTTGATTACTAATTTCATTATTCTGGCGAAACAAGTGTATTTTTTGTATGAATAAATATTATTTCATATTTAAAGCTATGTATTTTAAATGACAAATCAAATTTATTTACCTATTCCTAATCAAATAATAAAATATTGAAATAAAAAAATGTTAGTGGCTCTTTAAAAACTGGGAAATTTTGAAAGTTGTAAATTTTGGCCCTTCCGTCTCAAAAGGTTGCCGACCCTTGTCCATGGCCATTCCAGTTGACTTCAAGGAGAGGTTGAGGGCATTTTTAAAAAAACAGTTATGTAACCACATCTTGTACTCAAGAAATACAGACTTTTGAGGCAGCATTTCTGTCTCTCTGCCAATCCCCCTACCATGCCCACTCCCAAATTTTAAACTGAGACTTAAACTTCAGACATTCCATTGATACTAATATAAAAAATATATATCTCTTTTTATCACACTAGAAATTACACACCACAATAAAAAAAAACAGAAAAAGAAAATGTTTACCATGAAATGATGACCTAAAGGAATTTAAAACAATAACTTGTAATAAAGGGTAAATAAGCAAAAAAAACTACATACGTGACTACTTTTACCAGCTTGACTATGACAAAAGCAGCCAAAAATCCCATAACTACATGGAAATCAAAGTTCCTGTAAAAAACTGTATGGAAGTCAATGAAGTATGCATGACCGAATTTATTTAGTAAGTCCAAGGCATCTGTGAAGGCTATTAACCGTAGGTAGTATAGGCATACAGCTACGTAGGACAAGAGGAGAACAATCACCTAGGACATGAAAGATTTGAAATTTTAGGATCTATGCGGGTAAAAGTTCACTTATTTTTACATTTGTATAGGTTAATTATTAGATTTGGGACTGACTTATAACTGTGTGAATAAGGACAGATTTATTAGCTATACAATTTTAAACCTACAGTTGAACATTCACAAACAAATTTTGTATGTGACACAGAGTAACCAAGTTCAAAGTGTGCTTAGCATAAAACGTAAAGTAAATTCTTATAAAATTCACCTCAATAATGTTCCAATAGTTCTTTATATAACAGTAAAAGCCACTCATGTAAAGTGCGTTAAATTGTATTGCAGTGTAGAACAAGAGGCAGACGAAGGTAACCCCCTGTGGAAAATATTAGTTCACAATTTTTTTACTGTTTTATTTTTGAACACATAGATCTAGAACGTTTTTAAAAAAAAATAATTTTTAAATCGTTTCACTCTTAAACAACGCAATAAAAAATATTTTTAAAATAAATAGGCTCATACCTCTGCTAGTACAAGCCATCTTTCTTTTCTCTTCTCCCCTAAATAAAATCTGGCAGAGTTGACATGGTAATGAGGAAACAGCCCCCCAGTTACATCAAACTCAAAAGCTATAACAACATGTGTGAACAGATCAGAACTTGGGTTGTACAATGTAAACTCAACAAACACACATCTGTGGAAAAAATAGAAGCTGGTTATACTTGTGTCAGATGTGTCCAGTTTGTGCAAGAGTTCAAGACCTATCCCTGACTAATGATAATCATTTAAAACAAGAAACTTTTGTGCCAGATCTCTTATACATGTAAGTTCCTACATATTTTATACATGTAGTTTCCTAAAAACTATAATCTTTGCTCAAATAATATAATACTTTAACATATATTTTTAAAACAGTTTTTTTAGATTTTAATAATATATTTTGTGTAATTTCCATGCCTACCTAGTGTGTTGGTCTATCCAATCCTTTCTGCGAAGTTTTTCTAATGAAGTTTTACAAGACTTATAATCTTTCCTTGATAGAATAGCCACATAGCCACCTCCTGTATACTTACTAAAATAACCTTTAAAACAATGTGGTAAAGTTTTAGCTCTAGGCAAACCATACATATTCTACTACAAACTACATCTTATTGTAATTAGTGACAAAAAATAATTAATTGCATGTTAATGAAAGGCAAAAAAGTTAAAATCAGTTTAATATTATTAAGCAAAGTACCTAGGAAGGTGGAGTTCACCTGTTTCAGAGACCTTGGCTAATGAAGAGACAATGTCAGCCTTATGCCCAGCTGTGAGGAAGGTACCTATCAAAGCTCTCATACATTCTACTGGTAGGAACTTGAATTTGAACTCAAGTTTGATAATAAGGGTAAATCTATTTTTTTTTTACCTCTGAAGGAAGCAGTTTTAAGCTCTTCTGCAGTCCTGTAGACATACGGGGAGTCTTCCATGTCCACTTTGGTAAGATTGGAAGGGTTTTCCCAAGTCCCCTCGAAACTTCTTTTTTCTTCAACCCCATTCTTCATAGAGAGTGAACAAAATTCTAATCCATAAATATCACGAATATTTTCAGGAATTCCCAGACAACCACCTGAAAGTTTTACAGCAAACTTGCTTTACCATTGTATTTAGAAGTTTTTATTCAATAGCCGAAATACAAGCAAGTTATTTCACACAAACATTTACATAAAGGATGCAGATGAAGGTTTGTTTTCATGCAGTTCACAACTATATAGCAGCTTTTGAAAACTTGTTATGGGGATTCTTTTTATGGTGGAGTTATTTTGTATTTTCTAGCTATAAATATTATTAAACAAACTTTAAGTGATACAAATATTTTAGATTTTAAGGTGCTTTTTATGACAGACCTAATTAATTTTATTGAGTTAACTAGTTTTTTTGAAACCAAAATTTGATGAGAGATTTTCATTTGAATGATAAAGAAGTGCAGTAAGCTGATGAGCTTTTAGAGCAACTCACTGGTGTCTGGTTCAACCCTGGCCTGTCTGAGACGAGCTGGACCAATCAGGTAGGACGAGTCAGGTGACATTTTTTCATGGTCGTCTGCCACTAAAGGCAGTATAAGATAATCTATGATGTAGTCCCACATGTCTTCCACTTCACGGACCTGATGGTAACAATCAATACAAACTTTAAGGCATATGTAGGCCTATCTCATCAATATGATGGTAACATCAATACAAACTGTAAGGCATATGTAGGCCTATCTCATCAATATGATGGTAACATCAATACAAACTGTAAGGCATATGTAGGCCTATCTCATCAATATGATGGTAACATCAATACAAACTGTAAGGCATATGTAGGCCTATCTCATCAATATGATGGTAACATCAATACAAACTGTAAGGCATATGTAGGCCTATCTCATCAATATGATGGTAACATCAATACAAACTGTAAGGCATATGTAGGCCTATCTCATCAATATGATGGTAACATCAATACAAACTGTAAGGCATATGTAGGCCTATCTCATCAATATGATGGTAACATCAATACAAACTGTAAGGCATATGTAGGCCTATCTCATCAATATGATGGTCACATCAATACAAACTGTAAGGCATATGTAGGCCTATCTCATCAATATGATGGTAACATCAATACAAACTGTAAGGCATATGTAGGCCTATCTCATCAATATGATGGTAACATCAATACAAACTGTAAGGCATATGTAGGCCTATCTCATCAATATGATGGTCACATCAATACAAACTGTAAGGCATATGTAGGCCTATCTCATCAATATGATGGTAACATCAATACAAACTTTAAGGCATATGTAGGCCTATCTCATCAATATGATGGTAACAATCAATACAAACTGTAAGGCATATGTAGGCCTAGCTCATCAATATGATGGTAACATCAATACAAATTGTAAGGCTTATGTAGGCCTAGTAATATAAGTTAATATAACATTACATTTCAACATGTATGCTATACAAATCTAGGAAAAATAGTAACTTAATTTTATTAGAACATGTATTTACACATGTCCCAAGTGTAAACGCTGTGTAAGAAATTGGTAGGCCTATATATTAGAAGCCTATCAATAATTTCAAACTGTTTGTCACATGCATTTCATAATTCATAGTAACAATAAAGTATAAGTCAAGTTTAAGATTTACTTGTTAGAATTTTAAGGCACACATAGGTTTAAGCCTACTTCTAAGAGTAACATTACATTTTTTTACATTGTTGCAACATAAGTAAGAATAAAATATACTTCACTTACATCTGCAAGTAAACTTTCCCCTGCATCCCACTGAAAAGAGAATCAGTTATATAAATTTAATGATAAATAGAAATAAATTTCTGGTAAATGAAAGAGATGATAAAGCCAATCTTAAAACAAGTTAGATATTGTGATTCATTTCTGTAGGCTACAAAATATCAAATTCCCCCATAATTTGACAAATTAATTTAACTATGGAAAACAAACTCAGGCTTACAGAATGTAGTGGCTCTCTTACGCCCAGGTAAACTTCTTTAGTGAATTTAATTTGCCGGTACCTCAGGTAAACGTCCAAGTGTCCGTGTACGACAGAGAGAATACACACCATAAAGACAAGGTACAGAACAAGATCCCTCAGCATCTGATCCATTCAAGGAATATTTTGTTAAAAAGTTATTTACATTTTTAATTCAAAATTGTAAACAATTGTATAATGCTTTTAGATTTTAATAATTTAATCAAGAAATAAAGTAAGGTAATATTCCTAAGCTGTTACCTTATACCATTAGGTCAGGTAAAGCCATTTCAGTAAGCGAAGGTGTCATCCCATCCCATAAAATAATTTAGAATTTTGCGTTTGTTGTCAACCTTTTCCCATTGTTTTGTAATATTTTTAATTGAATAAAACATTGTTTTGATGGCAAAGTTTCTATTTTTTAATTTGATGTGACCTCGTAAATGGTGTCACCCAGTGGGACTCACACTCCTCACCCCTGACTGATGACATAATGTCTTATACATTTATAATTTTCAATAAGAATTTAAATGTAAAATTGTAAAGATTTTACTGACAGTTAGACAACATCACCTCTTTAGCATCATGTTCTATTTTTAGCCTTTTTAAAATCTGTTCCGCCTCTGCAACGTTGAGAGGTACTTGGTAGATAGCTTTGGTGGAAGGAGATCCGTATTTCTCATTGATGAAGTTCTTCTGGTTGACAAGATGCAGGCCTTCATCTGCAAGAGAATTTGTATCAGTCATCAGGTAAAACAAAACTGTAGTTATAGACTGACTATATTGCTATGTCTTAGGGCTTGAGGATTGGATACACTGAACTTAGTGATAACTACCTAACAAAAGATCAACTAACTGTGAAGTAAACATGTTTTAGTAAAGTAGAAGAGCTAATGGACATGTATGACTGGTGAGTGTAAAACTTTCAAACCATGCTGTAAGTTAAGCTCTCCTTCTAGACCAAACCATCCATAAGGTGGATGACGTAGAGTTCTGAAGTTTCAATATGTCCAACCGTCTTAACTTTCCCTAATGTGATTCAGGTACCCATCAGAACTGAGTGGACTCTGGGACTTTCTGGGACCTTTGGGCTAGCCCTCTGCTATGCTATCATACCGTCCTTTCCGCTAAGTTGTAGTATTATGATAATTTTGCAATAAAATCAATAATGGTTGAGTGCTATTTATTTAAAATACTATTTCTTATATTTTATCCAACTAGTTCATTATACAGATATCAACAACAAATATTTTTACTCATTGCAGTTACAAAAAGCATATTCTCATAGTTACCCATGACGTACTCAGTTTTGCAAGTGGCGCCTTTTCTTTCAGTGTGTACGTCTGCTTAAAGATGAGCACAAATACAAAGACTATTAGGATGACTTTAACTGGCTGTACAATAAATACATTGGTAAAAAAACCACTGAAGAAAGCTAAAGCCCAGTCAACACTCAATTCATATCCAAAACTCAGACCATACAGCATGATGTAGTAGGCTAAAAATAAGTTGAATGATCCTAGAATCACCCAGGCTATTATTAGAAACCACCAGGGCAGCCTGTAAAAAAAAAAAAATAGGTGGTTTATATAAGCATTCTTTATTAATGAAGTTTATTATACTCTTGCTGATAAGTCAAACACAAATCTGCATAAAACTATCTGACAACAATGTGTAAACTACCTATCAATTTAACTAATAATAACTCTCATAAATTTAGTTTGAAGAGAAAGTATTTGATTTGTAACAGTTTTTTATCAATGATTGGGCATTTCAATTCAATTTAGAAAGATAAGAAGTAGAAAAGTTTGTAGCTACGAGGCACAATTTGCTTTTGTTATTTACAAGGCTTAATTTGAAAAGTTCAAATGCACACAGATTACATGCAGTCTTCTCAAGTCTGAAACACACACGGGGCTTAAAAATTAAGAAAAATATTTACATGAATGTTTTTGCATTTTCTGGAGAGGTATCTTTATCCTGGTCAGATGGGACGTTCACAACAGTTTCAGCCAGTCTCTGCTTCAGTAGAGCTTCAGCTGTAAATGCAACAATTTGTTTCATGCTCATGAGCAGAAAGTTACTACAAAACTTGATGTGGCTGTCTAGATATCACTTTAGTTTAAAATATATTTTTCATGTACTTTTAGTACATTTTCTGTTTTCTTGCTCAGGGTCTATGAGTAGAGCTAATGATATCATTATTTTGAAGACATAATATTTGTTCATTTAGAATCTTCACATTTCATTTTCAATTTAAGAGAGAGCATTTTTTATATCTGTATACATCATTGGAATTGTTTTATAAAATTGATATAAAGTAATTTGTAAAAATGAAATTAATGTATGTTTAATGTGTCAAACAATTAATATATGTATAATGTGCCATACAATTAATGTATACATAATGTGTCATACAATTAATGTATGTTTCATGTGTCATGCACTAATGTATATTTAATGTTACAAATGTGAATCTTTAGAGACAGAAATTCAGTGGTTGTTTTAAAAAAAATACTCACATATTTCTAGTTCGTCGTCTACTGATGAAGACCCAGCATTAAAATTTCTATTGGTCGCATTATCTGACTCATCCACTTCCTCACTTTCTGCCCAATCACTGGCCACCTCCGCTGATTCCTCGCTGCTCTGCTTTGGGCTGTGTACGGGTAGGTCAAGTACAACACGGTTTTCTGCTACATATTTTTCGCGCTCCATTTTAGTTTGAAACATTTCTTTTTCCTCTTCCGTCAGTTCATCATTTTTATTCTTATGTGGTTTAGGGGCAATCCTGTGTTAAAATATGTGGTTTAGGGGCAATCCTGTATTAAAATATGTGCTTTAGGGGCAATCATGTATTAAAATATGTGCTTTAGGGGCAATCCTGTGTTATATGTGGTTTAGGGGCAATCCTGTGTTAAAATATGTGGTTTAGGGCCAATCCTGTAATAAAATATGTGATTTAGGGGCAATCCTGCGTTAAAATATGTGGTTTAGGGGCAATCCTGTATTAAAATATGTGCTTTAGGGGCAATCATGTATTAAAATATGTGCTTTAGGGGCAATCCTGTGTTATATGTGGTTTAGGGGCAATCCTGTGTTAAAATATGTGGTTTAGGGGCAATCCTGTATTAAAATATGTGGTTTAGGGCCAATCCTGTATTAAAATATGTGATTTAGGGGCAATCTTGTGTTAAAATATGTGGTTTAGGGGCAATCCTGTGTTATAATATGTGGTTTAGGGGCAATCCTGTATTAAAATAGGTCTGAACTGCAATAACAATTTTAAAATTGTATTTTTAAAATAAAAAAGTAAAATCAAGGTACTGTAAACATCTGGGTACTCACTTGTTGAACATTATTACCAGAAGAAATCCTATAATGCTCATAATAATGGATGTCTCTATACCAATTATAATACTAGTTAAATGAATTTTCTGTTCAAAAACTTGGATAAATTGTTCAGCATCATCAGGATCAATAGTTTCAAAAAATATCAGATTAAAAATCATTAGACACTGCAGCATTGTCAGGCCGGTCAACAGCCGCTGGACCTGAAACATTCAATCAACACATAATTAAGTCAGTTAATGAGATTAATCAACAGACATAATTAAGTCATATAATGAGATCAATCAACAGACATAATTAAGTCAGATAATGAGATTAATCAACAGACATAATTAAGTCAGATAATGAGATCAATCAACAGACATAATTAAGTCAGATAATGAGATCAATCAACAGACATAATTAAGTCAGATAATGAGATCAATCAACAGACATAATTAAGTCAGATAATGAGATCAATTAACAGACATAATTAAGTCAGAAAATGAGATTAATCAACAGACATAATTAAGTCAGATAATGAGATCAATCAACACATAATTAAGTCAGATAATGATATTAATCAACAGACATAATTAAGTCAGATAATGAGATTAATCAACAGACATAATTAAGTCAGATAATGAGATTAATCAACAGACATAATTAAGTCAGTTAATGAGATCAATCAACAGACATAATTAAGTCAGATAATGAGATTAATCAACAGACATAATTAAGTCAGATAATGAGATCAATCAACAGACATAATTAAGTCAGTTAATGAGATCAATCAACAGACATAATTAATTCAGATAATGAGATCAATCAACAGACACAATTAAGTCAGATAATGAGATCAGTCAACAGACATAATTAAGTCAGTTAATGAGATTAATCAACAGACATAATTAAGTCAGATAATGAGATCAATCAACAGACATAATTAAGTCAGATAATGAGATTAATCAACAGACATAATTAAGTCAGATAATGAGATTAAACTCAAATGTTTTCATTTGTAAATAAACCTGTTACCTCAACATACACAAAAATAACTGTATGGCGCGTAACATGTTAACACTTAAGAGAATACTTAATTATGTTGGAGGAGATCCGCTCCAAAATTACAATTAAGAATGAAGAAAACATGAAAAAGGAAGCCTGATTAATATTCACAATAAAGTACATAAAGGTCAACACAAAGTTTTAACTTTGGATCCCCAACTTGTTATCCCTGAGTCCTCCTAGTTCTGATGGGAATCTGATTCACATTAGGAGAAATATGCTGGACATAGAACTGACCACACTATACCTGCAATATGCAAATATTACAGATACAGGATACGGGTGAACTCTACTTCATCTGCCCTAGTAACCATTAGGTCTGTAAGTGTAACTTTAAAAAAAATAATGTAACTTAAAAATCAGTAAAAAGAAATTTTGTATCCATATTTAAAAGTATACTGGACTAAAATTTCTAAAGACAATTGTGTACCCGAGTAAATCTGTTGTAGCTTGTTTTTGCAATGACCCCAAACCACAGGTGCTCATTACGCATGTCATTGTTGGCCCTGCTAAAAAACTGGAGGTTTCTTTTGCCAGCATAGACATGTTCCTGCAATATTACAGTATGCCTAGTATAGTTAGTACCAAATACATACATAAAAGTACACCAATTAAATGTATATGCATCAAAGTATATTGAATGTTTGTATGTAGATAGAACATGGAAATGTATGCATGGCAGGAATACAGATGAGTGTATGTATCGTATGATAGAGGTGAGTGTATGTATGACAGGATACAGATGTGTGTACATATGGTACCTTCATGGCAGGTATGTCTGCCATAAGATTTCCAACTCCCCTGTCAACACTAAGCCAACTATTGTATAAACAGAACCAGGATTCTTGTGTCTGCATGTTCTGAACAAACACGGAGTTCAGAAACCTGAACACAACAAGATGTAGTCGTATAGAGGCCGACAAATAAGATTACAGTTCTAATTGCTGTCATAAGTATCTAAAAGTAAGGCCTAGTGAAATATGTGATGACCAAATATGTAACATGACATGCCCTTAGAAACATCGAGGCTACAACATTGTCAACACAACTTCAACAGCATCTACAATATCTACAAAATTTAAAATATATATAACTTCAACAACATCTACAATACAATATTAACAAAAATCTACAATAGCTAAAATATCCACATCATGACAACATCTGCAATATATACTACTTAAAACACATGTACAATATCTATTTCAACAACATCCATAACGTAACAACATCTATAACAAATACCACATTGAAAACATCAAAAACATTTAAAATATTTACAACTTTCATAGCATCTACAATATCTAAAACATCTAAAATATATACAACTTCAACAACATCTACAATACAATATTAACAAAATCTACAATAGCTAAAATATCCACATCATGACAACATCTGCAATATGTACTACTTAAAACACATGTACAATATCTATTTCAACAACATCCATAATGTAACAACATCTATAACAAATACCACATTGAAAACATCAAAAACATTTAAAATATTAACAACATTCATAGCATCTACAATATCTAAAACATCTACCAACATCCACAACATTTACAATTTCTATACTATCTGTAACATCTATAATACGTACAAAATCTGCATCAATTTCTTCACTATTGACAACATCTACAACACTCACAATATTTACAATTCTACAATTTCTACACTATCTACAATGTCTGCAATTTCTTGCTTCTACAACATTTATGATCTCTACACCATCTACAATATCTACAAGATCTTCAACATATACTTTTAATTGTGTTAAAAATTAATGAGTTCAATGAAGCTTTAACCTTGTGTACTCACCATGAAGGATGTCCACCAGAGAAGTCTGTCCACACACTCACAGTTAAAATCTCACCTAAATCTGATGCTGTAGTCAACACAAACCAGTTCTCAGCTCCTGCCTAGAGCAAAGTTTCAAATCCTGACAATATCATTTGTGTTAAACATTAGCGGGAACACTGTGTTATACATTATGCTATTGCTTTGAGTTTTCTCTTAATAAAACATTGAGTTATATAATCAATTCATAGTTCTCCATAATATATTAGTCAGGGTTCATGCTCAAAAGTTCAAATAAAATTCCAGGAGATTTTAGAAACAAAAATTGCATAAAATAATAAAAAATAATAAAAAAAGCTTACCTTAAATATAAAACATTTAATCAAAATGCTGACTATTCACAAAATACACTAATTTAGTGTATTGTATTAACACCACTACAAGCCTACTGACAAAAGTATTTGTTTAAATAATAAAAGTACAAGTCTGGAAACACCAGAGGTTTGAAAACAACAGTACTTAAGTTCACCATCACCTACTTGTTCTGTCACATAAACAACAGTATTTCAACACTACTTAAGTCGCCAGTTGTTTAGATGCCACTAGGTTTATCAAACATTAGTATTGTAAGAGATACCAGTATCTCAGTACAACATGTGAAAATGGAAAAACACCAGTCATTGTATACCTCCACACTAGACTATCAAAATGTGAGTACCTCAGACAGCTGACATCCTTGAGACTAGACTATCAAAATGTGAGTACCTCAGACAGCTGGCATCCTTGAGACTAGACTATCAAAATGTGAGTACCTCAAACAGCCTGCGTGTGACATCCATGAGACTAGACTATCAAAATGTGAGTACCTCAGACAGCTGGCATCCTTGAGACTAGACTATCAAAATGTGAGTACCTCAAACAGCTGACATCCTTGAGACTAGACTATCAAAATGTGAGTACCTCAGACAGCTGGCATCCTTGAGACTAGACTATCAAAATGTGAGTACCTCAAACAGCCTACGTGTGGCATCCATGAGACTAGACTATCAAAATGTGAGTACCTCAAACAGCCTACGTGTGGAATCTTTGAGACTAGACTATCAAAATGTAAGTACCTCAAACAGCTGAGATCCTTGAGACTAGACTATCAAAATGTGAGTACCTCAGACAGCTGGCATCCATGAGACTAGACTATCAAAATGTGAGTACCTCACACAGCTGGCATCCTTGAGACTAGACTATCAAAATGTGAGTACCTCAAACAGCCTACGTGTGGCATCCATGAGACTAGACTATCAAAATGTGAGTACCTCAGACAGCTGACATCCTTGAGACTAGACTATCAAAATGTGAGTACCTCAGACAGCTGACATCCTTGAGACTAGACTATCAAAATGTGAGTACCTCAGACAGCTGACATCTTTGAGACTAGACTATCAAAATATGAGTACCTCAAACAGCTGACATCCATGAGACTAGACTATCAAAATATGAGTACCTCAAACAGCTGATATCCTTGAGACTAGACTATCAAAATGTGAGTACCTCACACAGCTGGCATCCTTGAGACTAGACTATCAAAATGTGAGTACCTCAAACAGCTGACATCCATGAGACTAGACTATCAAAATGTAAGTACCTCAAACAGCTGACATCCTTGAGACTAGACTATCAAAATGTGAGTACCTCAAACAGCCTACGTGTGGCATCCATGAGACTAGACTATCAAAATGTGAGTACCTCACACAGCTGGCATCCATGAGACTAGACTATCAAAATGTGAGTACCTCACACAGCTGGCATCCATGAGACTAGACTATCAAAATGTGAGTACCTCAAACAGCCTACGTGTGGAATCTTTGAGACTAGACTATCAAAATGTAAGTACCTCAAACAGCTGAGATCCTTGAGACTAGACTATCAAAATGTGAGTACCTCAGACAGCTGGCATCCATGAGACTAGACTATCAAAATGTGAGTACCTCACACAGCTGGCATCCTTGAGACTAGACTATCAAAATGTGAGTACCTCAAACAGCCTGCGTGTGACATCCATGAGACTAGACTATCAAAATGTGAGTACCTCAGACAGCTGGCATCCTTGAGACTAGACTATCAAAATGTGAGTACCTCAAACAGCCTACGTGTGGCATCCTTGAGACTAGACTATCAAAATGTGAGTACCTCAGACAGCTGACATCCTTGAGACTAGACTATCAAAATGTGAGTACCTCAAACAGCTGACATCCTTGAGACTAGACTATCAAAATGTGAGTACCTCAGACAGCTGGCATCCTTGAGACTAGACTATCAAAATGTGAGTACCTCAAACAGCCTACGTGTGGCATCCATGAGACTAGACTATCAAAATGTGAGTACCTCAAACAGCCTACGTGTGGAATCTTTGAGACTAGACTATCAAAATGTAAGTACCTCAAACAGCTGAGATCCTTGAGACTAGACTATCAAAATGTGAGTACCTCAGACAGCTGGCATCCATGAGACTAGACTATCAAAATGTGAGTACCTCACACAGCTGGCATCCTTGAGACTAGACTATCAAAATGTGAGTACCTCAAACAGCCTACGTGTGGCATCCATGAGACTAGACTATCAAAATGTGAGTACCTCAGACAGCTGACATCCTTGAGACTAGACTATCAAAATGTGAGTACCTCAGACAGCTGACATCCTTGAGACTAGACTATCAAAATGTGAGTACCTCAGACAGCTGACATCTTTGAGACTAGACTATCAAAATATGAGTACCTCAAACAGCTGACATCCATGAGACTAGACTATCAAAATGTAAGTACCTCAAACAGCTGACATCCTTGAGACTAGACTATCAAAATGTGAGTACCTCAAACAGCCTACGTGTGGCATCCATGAGACTAGACTATCAAAATGTGAGTACCTCACACAGCTGGCATCCATGAGACTAGACTATCAAAATGTGAGTACCTCAAACAGCCTACGTGTGGCATCCATGAGACTAGACTATCAAAATGTGAGTACCTCAAACAGCCTACGTGTGGAATCTTTGAGACTAGACTATCAAAATGTAAGTACCTCAAACAGCTGAGATCCTTGAGACTAGACTATCAAAATGTGAGTACCTCAGACAGCTGGCATCCATGAGACTAGACTATCAAAATGTGAGTACCTCACACAGCTGGCATCCTTGAGACTAGACTATCAAAATGTGAGTACCTCACACAGCTGACATCCTTGAGACTAGACTATCAAAATGTGAGTACCTCACACAGCTGACATCCTTGAGACTAGACTATCAAAATGTGAGTACCTCACACAGCTGACATCCTTGAGACTAGACTATCAAAATGTGAGTACCTCACACAGCTGACATCCTTGAGACTAGACTATCAAAATGTGAGTACCTCACACAGCTGACATCCTTGAGACTAGACTATCAAAATGTGAGTACCTCACACAGCTGACATCCTTGAGACTAGACTATCAAAATGTGAGTACCTCACACAGCTGACATCCTTGAGACTAGACTATCAAAATGTGAGTACCTCAAACAGCTGACATCCTTGAGACTAGACTATCAAAATGTGAGTACCTCAAACAGCCTGCATGTGGCATCCTTGAGACTAGACTATCAAAATGTGAGTACCTCAAACAGCCTGCATGTGGCATCCTTGAGACTAGACTATCAAAATGTGAGTACCTCACACAGCTGACATCCTTGAGACTAGACTATCAAAATGTAAGTACCTCAAACAGCCTGCGTGTGACATCTTTGAGACTAGACTATCAAAATGTGAGTACCTCAGACAGCTGGCATCCTTGAGACTAGACTATCAAAATGTGAGTACCTCACACAGCTGGCATCCATGAGACTAGACTATCAAAATGTGAGTACCTCAAACAGCCTACGTGTGGCATCCATGAGACTAGACTATCAAAATGTGAGTACCTCAGACAGCTGACATCCTTGAGACTAGACTATCAAAATGTGAGTACCTCAGACAGCTGACATCCTTGAGACTAGACTATCAAAATGTGAGTACCTCAAACAGCCTGCGTGTGTCATCTTTGAGAATGTGTGTATCACTGAGTGCCAGAGAGCCTTTGATGATGATGAAGACATTGGAGGTTGTGGAGGAGCTTGTGGACCAGCCAGTCACTACACACACCAGGTAAACATATGTTTGGTTGACTCTGTTGTCATCAAGAACTGTCACACCTCTCTTTGATACAGATAAAATATTGTAAGCATTTGCATGTTACATGTCTGTATAGGGTAAACATACGTTTGGTTGACTCTGTTGTCATCAAGAACTGTCACACCTCTCTTTAATACAGATATTGATAAAATATTGTAAGCATTTGTATGTTACATGTCTGTATAGGGTAAACATACGTTTGGTTGACTCTGTTGTCATCAAGAACTGTCACGCCTCTCTTTGATACACATATTGATAAAATATTGTAAGCATTTGCATGTTACATGTCTGTATAGGGTAAACATGAAGAGGGGGTTTGAAGCAGGAATTTTTAGTGATAGCTTTATGGACATAAATTATTAGTGAAATAGCAATAAAATATATTGCTGTTACATGACTATTCTAAAAGAACAGAACATACATATAACAATAAAAAAAAACTTTTAAAATCTTTAACCTTCAAAATTGAAGAGTTACCTTTATATCATCCTGTTTATCTTTCCTTCGCCCATACAGCACTCCAGCCACAAATATCATCCAAATAGCAATGACCATTGAAACCTTAAGTTGGATACAAGATTCTTGGTCATTTAAAAGTATTTTACTTTGCAATCCAAACAAAAATTTTATGTTAATTTACCGCATCAATTTGGTACAAGAAAACTTAAACCTGACAAAAGCAGCAAAACAATTCAGTTTTTTAATACAAGCTTTCATTAAATTATTATAAACGTTTTTTTGTCAATTGGACAGCTGTATACATTTTATCTTACTTCTAGTGTTTGAGTTATCAAAAAACTTTGTGTCAGTTAACTATACTTTTTAAAAACAAGTTTTCTATAAAGTGTTAATATATCATGTACTAAATAATGGCCAGTACAATTCATGCTATTTAGTTTAATTAAGTAAAAGATGATTCAAACTTACAACTAGAGGGTTTTCAAAAATCTGCAGGAAGAGTCCAACGTCAAGGGGGTTAATTAGCTTTGGCACAATCACAACACTTCCAGTAAATGCAGCGGCAACAACGCATTGGCAGTGTAGGTGGTGCAAGTTGGAAAACATGGAGAGCTACACAGTTGATTCGAATCAAGATTAAAACCAACATTCAAATCAAGATTCAAATCAAGATTTAAACCAAGATTCAAATCAAGATTCAAATCAAGATTAAAACCAATATTCAAATACATTATAGACTAACAAATACTAGTGATGCTGTATAAGTAACTTTTAAAATCATGCGATGCTTCATTAAAATCCTTTACATTTTTATATATTTGGTAATGTAGATTACTTGTAGTAACTTACCATACATTGATCTGATACAAACTTGTGTTTGTCTTTATCAAAATGAAGACAAGATGCTCTGTAAGGTGTAATCTGGACTGTTAAATTGTGTGTATTGAAGTTTGCTTCTGTTTCATTCAGGTCACAATCATCAGGTTCAAGGTCTGCTTGCCTCAGTGTAGGAAGCTCCAGCCTTTGGTGAAGTTTGACCTTGATTTTTATCCTGTAAAACTGAACTTTTTTCTTTGCCTGTGCCTAAATGATACAAACAAATCAAGATTCATTTTATCCATTGCTCAAAAACTTTCTTTTGTATAAGATTTATAATTGAATGTCAAATACCAATATATCAAGACTAATCTAAATTCTAGCCCTACTAATACCCAAATCTTAATGTTCAAAGTAATGTTAACCATTCACACAATAGAAATATTTTGATATAAATAATTATGTAAAAACAAAATATTTTTACTACCTAAAGTTTCAAAATAATTTTTTTTTTTGCTTGTTTAATTTTTGTGTGTAAAAAATTACACATTTTAAACACACTCAAATCTGGAGTTGGACTATCTGTGTGGCAATGTAACATACTGCTAACATTATTTTCACTTCTGAAATAAACAACTTTCTTTATTCTCCCATTTCAAAGTTCAAAACACAGAGTTTATGTCATAGAAAATAAAAAAAAAATTAAGTGATACTTGCCATAGTTAGCATTGGAAGAATCAACAAATTGTTCTCCCTTGTCAGGAGTCCAGCTGTGGAATTTATACTTTCTACATCGTTCAGAGGCATTTCCAGCATCTCTTCATCATGCAGCTAGGTAAAATATACAAACATCACACAGCTAAGTAAAATATACAAACATCACGCAGCTAAGTAAAATATACAAACACCAAAATACAAACATCACGCAGCTAAGTAAAATATACAAACATCACACAGCTAAGTAAAATATACAAACATCAAAATACAAACATCATTCAGCTACGTAAAATATACAAACATCATGCAGCTAAGTAAAAAATAAAAACATCACGCAGCTAGGTAAAATATACAAACATCAAAATACAAACATCACGCAGCTAAGTAAAATATACAAACATCATGCAGCTAGGTAAAATATACAAACATCAAAATACAAACATCACGCAGCTAAGTAAAATATACAAACATCATGCAGCTAGGTAAAATATACAAACATCACGCAGCTAGGTAAAATATACAAACATCATGCAGCTAAGTAAAATATACAAACATCACACAGCTAAGTAAAGTATACAAACATCACGCAGCTAAGTAAAATATACAAACATCATGCAGCTAGGTAAAATATACAAACATCACGCAGCTAGGTAAAATATACAAACATCACGCAGCTAGGTAAAATATACAAACATCACACAGCTAAGTAAAATATACAAACATCACGCAGCTAGGTAAAATATACAAACATCAAAATACAAACATCACGCAGCTAAGTAAAATATACAAACATCACGCAGCTAAGTAAAATATACAAACATCACGCAGCTAAGTAAAATATACAAACATCACGCAGCTAAGTAAAATATACAAACATCATGCAGCTAAGTAAAATATACAAACATCACGCAGCTAAGTAAAATATACAAACATCACGCAGCTAAGTAAAATATACATACATTATGCAGCTAAGTAAAATATACAAACATCACGCAGCTAAGTAAAATATACAAACATCATGCAGCTAAGTAAAATATACAAACATCACGCAGCTAAGTAAAATATACAAACATCACACAGCTAAGTAAAATATACAAAATTCACACAGCTAAGTAAAATATACAAACATCACGCAGCTAAGTAAAATATACAAACATCACGCAGCTAAGTAAAATATACAAACATCACACAGCTAAGTAAAGTATACAAACATCATGCAGCTATGTAAAATATACAAACATCACACAGCTAAGTAAAATATACAAACATCATGCAGCTATGTAAAATATACAAACATCACGCAGCTAAGTAAAATATACAAACATCACGCAGCTAAGTAAAATATACAAACATCAATATACAAACATCACGCAGCTAAGTAAAACACATCACACAGCTAAGTAAAATATACAAACATCACGCAGCTAAGTAAAATATACAAACATCAATATACAAACATCACGCAGCTAAGTAAAACACATCACACAGCTAAGTAAAATATACAAACATCACGCAGCTAAGTAAAATATACAAACATCATGGAGCTAAGTAAAATATGCAAACATCCTGCAGCTAAATATAATTCAGGTAAAATATACAAACATCATGCAGCTAATTATAATTCAGGTAAAATATACAAACATCATGCAGCTAATTATAATGCAGGTAAAATATACAAACATCATGCAGCTAAATATAATTCAGGTAAATAATACAAACATTAAAATTTTAATAAAACAGGTATTAAGAGGGCGGTTATTACAATTTTTAAAAATTAAAATTGTTTTTATTTTAGCCTGGTATTTCACTTCAAAATTTTAAATTGATTATCGACCCAGCTTATTAAGGAAACTTAGATTTTCTAAGGCACTAATAACATTGCTAAATTTGGCTTCAACTTACATTTTCAAAGGCACTAATAACATTGCTAAATTTAGCTTTAACTTTCAGCTTCAAATTGCCTGGAGGGTTGATTTTTAAAATGGTTGCCTCAGTGGTTGATCTTTGTACAGACATCATTATACAGCCTGATCTACGGATGTACGTGATGCCTTTTAGAGTCTCTGTGGCTACAGCTACGTGGTAATCAATAACTTCACCCGCAGAGCCTAAAACATGGAATGGATACAATTTGTTGGTAATCATTGGTTTCACCTGCATAGCCTAAAAATATGGAGTGGATACTATTTGTTTGAAATTAATTGTTTTGCCTGCTGAACATAAAAGCACGAAGTGGATACAATTTGTTTGTAATTAATTGTTTTGTCTGTGGAAAATAAAAACATGGAGTGGATACAATTTGTAATTAATTGTTCTGTCTGTGGAACATTAAAACATGGAGTGGATACAATTTGTTTGTAATTAATGGTTTTGTCTGCTGGACATAAACATGGCATAGAGTGGGTATTTTATTTGTAATCAATTGTTTTTTCAGCTGAACATGGGGTCTTCTTCTTCTTCGTTCTTAATTTTTAGTGTTGGGAGGGATCGAGCCTTATCTGCCAGAGGGTTTGAACTCGAGACTTTTTTTTTTAATTTATCAACCATGAGCTTTACCGACTCGACCATGGAACATGGGGCGAATACAATTTATTTAGGTATAGCTAATTTTTTTAAACTACAGAAATATGCAGCTGTTTCGTAAAGCTATAGGTGTTAACTTACTGTTGAAGTCAATGAAGATGTCAGCTGGTTTACTAAACTGTACTGTACAAGTTAACTTACTGTTGAAGTCAATGAAGATGTCAGCTGGTTTACTAAATTGTACTGTACGAGTTAACTTACTGTTGAAGTCAATGAAGATGTCAGCTGGTTTACTAAATTGTACTGTACGAGTCAACTTACTGTTGAAGTCAATGAAGATATCAGCTGGTTTACTAAATTGTACAGTACTTCCTGGTTCCTTCCCCCCTTCTTTCTTGTGTCTCACAAATTTCACATTCAGCACAGGCAGATCTCCGTGTACGTTATCTGCAGCTCCAACATACGGGTTTTTCTTGTACAGCTCAAACTGTAAAGTTTCAAGTTTGTAACATACAACACCATTTGTCATCCACAAACACTTTATCAGAATAGCTCGTGGAAAAATTGTCGAATACAAGCAGTGAAGTCATGAAATTTTATCTTAAAAAATATTTTTTTTCACTTCTCCAGACATCTTGAACCATACTTTACTAGTTATTTAACAAAATATTTTTTCTTCTTATAAAAAAGTTATGGCAACCCCCCTATAGAGGTTTTCACCTTATGAATATGTCATCTTATAAATAGTCCACTTTATGACTTAATGCTTATATAATTGTTGTAAGGTACACAAATGAAAAGCTAACACAGATGCCTAATATAGATAAAACAAGGCAATGTGAAAGGTTAGAGGTCAAAGATTACCTCTGTGTCCACTCTCTCATCATTCTCTGCTCCCACCTCTGAGCCAGGTAAGAGAAAATTGACCAGGCCATTTTTCGATGAGTAGTTAAACTGAGACTCTTCAGATAAATTTTGCCATGCCACTGTCAAGTCCACAAATTCTGTCGTCAACTGAAACCATGTAACAAAACAAATCACCAAATTAAAAAAAAAAATAAGCAAACAAGATGGTTTTAGTCTAGACTTGCATCAAATGTATAACTATTCTTAAGAATAGAACTGAAGTAATTTTTTTAATAAACAAGCTTTTTAAAGCAATAATAGTTTGTATTAAAGTTGTTAGGTTGAGCTTACTGAAGCCTTCTAAATATATATATATATATATATATATATATATATATATATATATATATATATATATATATAAATATATATATTACCTCAACAGTTTCATCTTCTGCAGCTAGGGAAGACTGTAAAACCTCTGCTATTTGTTCAACCGATGCAGTGGCTAGAAATCCATGGTTTAAATTCTGCATCAATACAAAAGTAATCACCACAAATGTTGCTTTTTTCTAAACATATTGTTTTAAAAAACAATTTAAAATTTTAAATCAATAAGTACAAAAAACAAGCTATTGAAGAATTCAGACAGAATAAGGAACAAATGAGAAATGTTTCTAATGGATGTATTAAATATTTTCAGCAGAGAAACAGAATTATAATGCTAAAGTAGAGCACAAGAAGACTGATTTTCATAAATTTCTTGTTTCTTTCAAACTGTTTTGATACTAACCGCTCTCAACTTGTTGGTTTTCTCATCCCCTTCCATTTTTGAGTCTGCCACTAAAGTTTTGCCAGATTCCGAAGTTTTTGACAGAAGTGTACTCAGGGCATGGACCTGTACCCTGCCATATCAAAACATTACACTGTTTAACCTATTTCAATGCTTTCAAATTTAGAATAGGTATAATGTTCATTTTATAATTTTTACAGCAGTTATCAAAACTCACAATTATAGATTTAAAAAAGACAAATAATCATAAATCATATTTCAATATTACAGAAGATATCAAAATACATATTTGAATTAGCAAGCATGAATAATAATAATAAGTAGGAAACAAAACAAACATTTAAAACAAAAAGTACTTCAGTGATTTATTATGAGAATTAGTCTTTGACATCAGTAAGCAAAAAGTATTTATGTTTAATTAACTATAATAATAATACTTTGCTACTTGTGAAATGACGCCAGTAAAGAAAAAGTATTTATGTTTAATTAACTATAATAGTAATACTTTGCTACTTGTGAAATAACGTCAGAATTGTCTGTACAAGCTGAGGCTAGTTTGTCACTGAAGTGCTTCGCCGCAACCAAACCACTGTCCTGCAAATTGGTTAATTAAGTAATTTAGAAAAATCCATACTAATCTATATTAATTAGTATAACTTTAAAGTGTCCAATACACCTTATTAATCCATGTTATAATGTAAAATGTGTCCAATATATTATCCGAGTCTGTTATTACAATGTTTAAGCGCCTGACAGAAAGCAGTCCTTACCAAACCATCTTCTTCCAGCTCATTCTCTCTAAACACAGCTTTCATCAGCACAAATGAAACATGCTCGACACTCTCTGGAGTTGATGCGTGATAATTTCTTATTGCTCTCAGCAACATCTGCCGCACCTGTTGACAAAGGCTACAAGTATGACAACAAATTGCATGCAGAATACTGGATTTTACATGACACACAAATAAAATTATATCTAATTCTCAATATCAAAATGAATAACCTTCATTTGCTGAAAGATTTAAAATTTTTAAATTAAATTTTATCATCACATAAGCTAAAGATCTAATTTTGTTAATTATTATATAATATCATAAGTACACATCATGATTTTAAAGTTTGGTCTTAGTCTGGAATTGTGGAATACAGTCTATTCAGTGTTGTTTTAGACATTCGCATTTCATGAGCGGAAATCTAGAGGACATTCAAATTACCAATTTAATGCTCAGGATATTTGGTTCAGTTCGATATAACTGAATTAAAAAGTTTGCTTTTCAGAACAAATTATTTGAACAATATGTGATTGTTTTTTTTTTCTTTAAAATGTGTTTCAACAACCTAATCAATTTTTATTAAAAGCCTACCACCAAGAGCCCAGGTATACTGTATTTTACAAGATTTACAATACGAGAATAAGTTAATTGAAAATTTTGTAAAAACTAACTGCAGATATTAATGCTTACTGCTCTTTTTTCTTCATATGAAGCTGAGTCGTTGAAGCTGATAAGAGTAGCAATATCATTGGCAGTTCTGATGTCTTCTGTAATAAGAAAGTTACATGGAATACATGAATAGATGATGATATTGAACAGATTAAGAAGTCATTTAATCTAGATACTTAGATCTAAAGTAGTATTCAAATATAATGTTTGAACTAAGACATTAGTCTAGGTTTTTTTTATGTGAAGGTGGTCTAGCACATTCTAGTGAAAAAAAATTAGCTACAGTCACCCATACACCCGAGATAAAATCATATAAGATAAACAATGTACAAAGTAAAAGGCAGAAATTTAGAAGGTAGCTGTCACAAGTAGGTTTTGTTTATCTAAGAAAGAGTTTTACTTTTAAATCATCGTCTTTCTTGACATTCAATTTGATTGGTTGTTTACCTTGAGTTCCCTGAGTAAGACTGGACAAGGCTTCAGCAACTTTGCTAAGCAGCTGTTTCTGGTCTTCAACTTCTAGCTTAGTACATGGAGTTAAACATTTACAACGTGAATTTTTGTTCAACTTCTAGCTTAGTACATGGAGTTAAACATTTACAAAGTGAATTTTTCTTCAATTTCTAGCTTAGTACATGGAGTTAAATATTTACAAAGTGAATTTTTCTGTAACTTCTAGCTTAGTGAAAAAACATACAAACTAAATGTTTTTGGTCTTCAACCTCTAACTAAGAACATGGAGTTAAACATTTACAAAGTGAATTTTTCTGTAACTCCTAGCTTAGTACATGGAAAAAACATACAAAGTGAATGTTTCTGATCTTCAACCTCTAACTTTGTACATGGAGTTAAACATTTACAAAGTAAAAGTTTCTGATCTTTCAATTCTAGCTTAGTACATGGAAAAAACATTTACAAAGTGAATGTTTCATCCTTCTCTAGATTACTGTGTAAAATAAACATTTAAATGAAAATGAATAGAGAATGAATAGTTTTGGCTTCTTATTGTAATTATCACTAGCTAGACATCAGCACCCAATAATGCTAATTATTATCCATAAATTATTTATTAGAATCTGTAAATATTTTGTGCATTAGTTTGTTTATAAACACTTATGCTATTTACCTGTACGGTGAGATCTATATCTGTTGATGTCCCATAGATATTAGATATCTCCATTTTAAGTTTGACTTGAGTGCTTTGCTTCCCCTTAGCAAATGATGATGTGAGAGTTATGTTTTCTAAACTGAACTCTCCACTGTAGGCGATCACTGTGACTGTATGGAGAAAAACAAATTGTGTTAGAGGGTAGGTCCATTCTTGTAGGCAATCACTGTGACTGTATGGAGAAAAACAAACTGGATTACAAGTCTATGGAGTGATAAGACTTCCAAGAAATTTAACACTTTGAACCTTTAGCTCCTGACCCTAAAATCCCTGAGCTCCTGAGCTAAACGAATAAAACAGACTCTCAATAAAGAAATAAAAATTATTGCAATACTTGGACTTAGTATGTTAGTCCTTTCAGTAGAGAAACCCTTCTTTTAGACATAGGTAGGTGTGGACATGGGGAGGAAGTCCATTTTTTAAATCTTTAAATAGCCTTTTATTGTAAATTGCAAATGATAAACAGAGCAAAAAAATTAGTTTGAGGAACTTACCACAAGTTGAAAGATACTTTTTTAATATAGCATTTTTATGTACATACTGTTGTTTTGGGGTAAGAGGTCTCAGATAATTTATCAGTTTGCCGGGGCAAATAGATTTTAGATACAGACGAAAAAAGCAATAATGCTAGATCAAAGGCCCGGGTTAAACATAAACATATACAAAACTAAAATTAGAATTTGAAAATATGGTTAGTAAGTAGCTATGTAATAATGTAAATAAAGATGTAGTTACACATTTTTTCTCCAGTATCCAGTACATCCTCCTGATACAGCCTGTACATCAGAGGCTGCTGATTGACTGTGTCCTTGTAGTCAACACAAGCAAAGGTAAACCTAAGGAGGAGACATTACGTCAACACAAGCAAATGTAAACCTAAGGAGGAGACATTACGTCAACACAAGCAAATGTAAACCTAAGGAGAAGACATTACGTCAACACAAGCAAATGTAAACCTAAGGAGGAGACATTACGTCAACACAAGCAAATGTAAACATAAGGAGGAGACATTACATCAACACAAGCAAATGTAAACCTAAGGAGGAGACATTACGTCAACACAAGCAAATGTAAACCTAAGGAGGAGACATTACACATGCAAAACTTGATGAGGAGTAAATACAGATGTAACCTGTATACAACAAACATGTGGGGCATTTGAGGAGAACAAATTACAGGTAAAAGAAATGAGTAAAATATGCTGAGTTATTAATAATTGCTGAGTAAAATGTTTAGTCATTAATAAGAACTGAGTAAAATATGCTGAGTTATTAATAATTGGTGAAGAAAAATGTGTGTCCAAATGAGTGGAAAAAACTCCTAGACATGTTGAACTATCTTTCATTAAAACCTAAAACCAATCTGTCTTTCAATGATGGAGAAACAAGTGGGATTTTACTACAAGTTTGCTTGTAAACACAATAGTAGCTTGCTACACAAAATGGAGTGAGCTTAAGGCACAGGCAACTATTGCTGGCAACAACAACTTGCCACTTTAGTCCAAAGACAATGGGCCAAAATATTGGTGAAAGGTAGACCTCACTCAAAATTTTGTTTTATCTAGCATTTAAGATATTCAGTATAAGGAAATAAAGAATGAAATAAATTATGAAATTGATATATTGAAATTTTAAAACATGGCTAATTGATAATAAAATTCAATAATATTAATTATCGTTGTCATAGTTTTAAAACCTACTTAAAACATTTGATAAGATAAAAATCTGATTAAAATCTTATAGCAATTGTTAAAATATTAAACATTGTTAAAAATAGTAGCAGTTTTAAACCTGGTCAAAATGGCTTTTCCACTGGTGGGTCCAACATGGCATCCCTGGCCAACAGGGGCAGCTTCTGTTCTAAACTCTATTTCTAGAGAGCCTTTTTTCTCTGACTGTCTGCCTCTTCTTGGTACTGATGTTGAGAAATTTAGCAAATTATTTTATTTGTCAGAAATTGTGAATGTCTGTCTTCTCTAACTGGTACTGATGTTGAGAAATTTAGCAAATTATTTTATTTGTCAGAAATTGTGAATGTCTGTCTTCTCTAACTGATCTTGGTGCTGATGTAGAGAAATATTGCATATTATTTTAATGGTCAGACATTTTGAATGTCTGTTTACTCTGATAGTCTGCTTAATAGTGATACTAATGTAGAGAAATATTGCTAACTTTTATTCAATTGCCAGAAAATTTTAAGATTGTCCATTCTATAACAAATTTTGTTTACATACCTCAAGTAAAAAATGACAACATGTAAATGACTAGGGCTAACTAATCAGACACTCTACATAACAGTGTTTAATGAGGAGATTAGAGACCAATATGATGTCAATATATTTTTAACAAAGAGCTTGTTAGCACAACTTGGTTGCTTTTGGAAAAGTTGGTTAAAAGGTTCTGGTGGAAGGTTTTGTTTGGAGTTGTTATTAAGATAAATCTGGGATGGCGTGGCCTAGCGGTAGAGAGCTAGACTGCTAACCCGCGAGTCTCGCTTTCGAATCCGGGTTCAAATCACGGGAACATCCCCCCAACTCAGATGGGTATGTTACTTACGTTAAGGAAATAAAGGCAGCTGGGCATAGTGCTGACCACACTATCCCTTCATATGTCGAGGTCTATGAATCAGATGAACTCTACCTCATCTACCCTGTGTGTCTGCGGCACTAACGGGGTTAAGAAGAAGATGATTTAAGATAAATGCCTGAGCTTTATTATTACAATAGACTTGCCCCTTAGTTGGCCAATTAGAATTACGACTACATTGTCACACTAGACTTACAACTTACTAGTTAATATACATTGAAGTATATATTTTGTGCCAGGCTTAAGTCGTCTGGGGCGGACATAAAATATATTTGTGTGTTTCACATCAGTACGAAGATTACCCACTTCAGCACCAGAAAGCCAGCGATCATTTTCTTGAACATTCCACTCATATCTGCACAGAAGGGGTAACAACATCTCATCTCTATAAAAAACATACACCAATGCCATGTTAGAATGGGTAACAACATCTCATCTCTATAAAAAACATACACCAATGCCATGTTAGAATGGGTAACAACATCTCATCTCTATAAAAAACATACACCAATGCCATGTTAGAATGGGTAACAACATCTCATCTCTATAAAAAACATACACCAATGCCATGTTAGAATGGGTAACAACATCTCATCTCTATAAAAAAACATACACCAATGCCATGTTAGAATGGGTAACAACATCTCATCTCTATAAAAAACATACACCAATGCCATGTTAGAATGGGTAACAACATCTCATCTCTATAAAAAACATACACCAATGCCATGTTAGAATGGGTAACAACATCTCATCTCTATAAAAAAACATACACCAATGCCATGTTAGAATGGGTAACAACATCTCATCTCTATAAAAAACATACACCAATGCCATGTTAGAATGGGTAACAACATCTCATCTCTATAAAAAACATACACCAATGCCATGTTAGAATGGGTAACATCATCTAATCTCTATAAAAACATTCACCAATGCCATGTTAGTAAACATATAAGTGAGGTTCAAACTTAACTTTCAAATAATTACATTATTTTATTTTAAAATTAAGAATTACAGGTCATTAATTTTTTTTCTGAAAATTTCAGTTGTATGATTGTAGGCGTAATTAAAAAAAAATGTGTAGACTATTACGATCCTTAGAGTATAGCGTTGTTGTTGACTATGTAGACAATTAGAAGCTATCAAAAGATTTACTCCTGGACTTACATTTCTTGCCCGCGTAGATCTTTACGGCGTTTCTCTATGAGAACTTTGTACATTATGTCCTGGTGCGTGCCCACCACCTTACCACATCCCTGCAGGCAGCTGATTACATAGGACACATTAGGACATATGATAGGACACATTAGGACATATGATAGGACACATTAGGACATATAATAGGACACATTAGGACATATGATAGGACACATTAGGACATATGATAGGACACATTAGGACATATGATAGGACACATTAGGACATATGATAGGACACATTAGGACATATGATAGGACACATTAGGACATATGATAGGACACATTAGGACATATGATAGGACACATTAGGACATATGATAGGACACATTAGGACATATGATAGGACACATTAGGACATATGATAGGACACATTAGGACATATGATAGGACACATTAGGACATATGATAGGACACATTAGGACATATGATAGGACACATTAGGACATATGATAGGACACATTAGGACATACGATAGGACACATTATGAGATATGGTAGGCCACAACACAGGACATACAAGACATGACAGGACACATTAGGACAAATGATAATGCACATAAGGACATATGATAAAGGTCATTACATGACACATTAAAACACATTACACAGCACATTAAATGACATTAAAGTACAACTAATATCAAAAGCTTGCCCTAACCAAGCATTACTATTTGAGGAAACCAAAGATTAACATATTTTACAAATATGCTAAAATATACTTTAAAAATGTGCAGTTATTAACCTACTACTTTATGTTATATTTTTAAATTAGTTTTGGATTTAGATATTAGTACCACTGTATAGAAGAATGAATAAGCTATACATTTTAAAAAGTATTGTAGAATGATCATTACAAAATAATTCCTTACGTTAGTTCATTCCACAAGCCCGTGTTGACATTAACATAGTTGACCTCAACTTCATCGTTCACAACCAATTCATTGACACCTGGGACTGTCACTTTCAGTTTGACAGTAAACTTCACATAATTGCCATAATTATCAGGAAACACAAATTGTTTACCTAAAGAAAGGTTATTGCAAGTTGGTCTAAAGTTTATATAGATATATGTATATATATATATATATATATATATATCTAATATATAAAGCTCAGTTCTGTAACGTGTGGCAAAAAAGTTTGTCGTTGACACTTCTATGGATTTAAGTGTTAGATTTTTTATCGTGCTTATAGTCTAAATGTACGAGTCAAAAAATTACCATTGACAGTCTTTAAAAACAATTTTCATTCTATTTACTTAGAAGAATAATTTTCAATTATGAACGCGACATAAAATTTTTTAAAAGTGTACCGACGTTTATAAAATTTCTAAAATTGTGTCGGAAATGTATTGACTGCACAGTTATTCCCCTTTAATAAAAAAAATTCTTAAGAAGAAAGAATTTACATTTTATTACTTTGTTTTTGGTGTTAAGAAAAAAAATAATTACATGATTAGCGGGGATTGATTAAGTGCAATGTCGTTAGGTATTTTTAACACTGCCTTTTATTTATTCTATACACTGAACATACTGTTCAATATTTTTTTTAAAAAATCAATAACATTTAATAAGCCAGGTTCTACAAATCCTATATGTTTATTTCTTTCCATTTACGGATAAGCTTGGAGTATTATCATTTTTGTTCACTAAATTGAAACAGGCGCGTCCGCCGGCGCCCTTGCACGGTTCGATTTGGCACCCTGGGCTATCATGTGAGCGCTATGCTGCATAGTTTTGTTTTTAACAGTGCGATAGACTATGGATAAGAAAGGTTACTATAGTCTTTAAGTGAATCGAATCCGGGCGTCCTCCGGCACCCCGACAGGGTGCTATTTGGCGCCCCGGGCCTTCCGGTGTACGCTATGGTATATACGTTCGCGTGAGTTCAAAAGACTATGAATAAGTTATGTACTATAGTCGTTTACTAAGTTCAATCAGGCGGTGACGTCATGGTGCGTCCTCTGGGGCCCAGACAGGGTGCTATTTGGGGTCCCGGGCCTCCCGTGTTCGGTTTCGCGCCTACGTTCATTAAAGTGAGTACAAAAGACTATGAATAAGTTGGGGTACTATAGTCGTTTATTAAGCTGAAACAGGCGATTCCGCCCCGGGCTAGACTCTGAGCACTGTGCGTTTATGTTCGCGTTAGTGTTTTCTTTGTGTTTAGGTTGGGTTTGCGTTAGTGGTTGCGTTTTGATTTGGTTCGTTTTTGTTCATTCTTTTTTCGTTTTCGTTTGTGTTTTATTTTCTTTGCGTTTGTGTTTGTGGTTGGTTTTGCGTTTGTATTTGGTTTGTTTTCGTTTGTTTTTTCGTTTGTGTTTTTTTCTTTGGGTTTGTGGTTGGTTTTGCATTTGGATTTTGTTTGTTTTCGTTTGCTTTTTCGTTTTTTTTTTTTTTTTTGTGTTCGTATTGGTGTTTGTGGTTGTGGTTGGGTTAGTTGTTAGGTTTTTGTTTTCGTTTGTATTTGTAATTGTGTTAGCGTTATGTTTGCGTTTTGTTGTTTTGGTTTTGGTTTGGGTGTGCAATGCCGGGTTTATGATGATTACTAAACACACAGGTAATGGTCTTTAACAGAAAGGTTTTTCACAGAAGCCAGAGCAGGGCCTGGCCGGGACGGCTAGTATATATATATATATATGTTAGGGGTTTGTCGAGAAATAGATATCTTATATCCCACTTCTGACACCAAATGTTAGGGGGGTTTAAACCGATAGGGGTGATCATATTCACTCATCCGTGCACCTTTGTGTGGTGACAAAGGGGTCTAATAAGACCTGAGCAAAACTAATTAAAATCTATACAACACCAATATTAAACTAAAAATAAAACATATTAAACACACATAATATGCATTTATTTATCTTCATTTGACGTCACAAGGTTTATATGGTTAAAAACAAAAGAAAAATACAAATAAGACCTGGCCAGTCTTTCATATTCAAGAAAACATCACTTGAATTTCTAATACAAGTCAAAAAGACACAAATAATCAACTTACATTTCGATGTGGAATTATTCACCGTAGTTACTGACATTAATTCATAGAAAACACATATATAAGTGGGGATAGCAAACCTACATTTACACAACTTAGAATTCACACTTGTAAATGTCATTTCCTCTAGTCCTTACTTAAATACTTGTACTGCCTAAGTAATTTCAGAATCACAAGTGTAAACGTTGTTCTTCCTAGTTCTAATTTCACTTGTACTGCTAGGTAATCTCAAAATCAAAAACTTAAATATCATTGTCTCTAGCTCTAACTTTATTACTTGCACTGCTATGTAATCTCAGAATCACACGAGTAAATGTTATCATCACTAGTTCTGATTCCACTAAGCAAACACGGTTTGAATCCTTCTATAAATACTCATCAGTACTCCCAACAATCTAGCTTGACACTCAAGCGGCAGGAAGTTTTCCAGCCACTGGAATAAAACATTTGGCCACTGGTACAAACATCGGGCCACAAAGATAATGGCCACTGGAACGAAGAACATATCTACACGGCAGGAAGATTTCCAGCCACTGGAAGAAAACATTTGGCCACTGGTACAAACATCGGGCCACAAAGATAATGGCCACTGGAACGAAGAACATATCTACACTGCAGAAAGATTTCCAGCCACTGGAATAAAACATTTGGCCACTGGTACAAACATCTGGCCACAAAGATAATGGCCACTGGAACGAAGAACAAATCAACACGGCAGACGTTGGCCACTGATACATCGGCCACATGTATAAACTTCAGGTCACATATATAAATATCTGGAACGAAGCAAATATGTACAGCAACAAAACATCGACTGGGCCAATAATCCAGCCTTAGTGGCCAGCCATAAGGCTGCCACCATCCGAGGCCTAGACCATGGTGTCTAGCCTATGTGTCTGTCAGAGAAAAGAGACCTCAACATAGTCGCCCTTCCTCATATATAGGTTAGTCTCACCCCCCTTATCATCTCCCTAGAGCTATAGAACCCGAGTTGGGCTCCGTCCCATCTCTCGACGTTTGAGATAACACCGGTCACTATGCACCCATGCGTTGCACACCTGATAATTGACCGCTATAGATCTTCCCGTTGTCTCAGGGCTAACGATCGTGTCATACACCGCTCGAGCTAACGTTCGGCCACACGGCACCCCCGCCGCGTTTCACACATAACGACTGACCACCACAGGTCTCTACGCCGCTCGCGTCTAACTATCCGGCCCAGGCGATAATAAGTCCATAAGGTCATCGGAATCGTGTCTGGCGCCCACCTTCCGATCATGAGTCATGATCCAACCGTGACGTCCAGCGGCATGCCCGGACTCAACTTTAGACATAAATCACCGCGGTGTCTTCCCATCATTACGTGTCACTTATGCACGTGCATAGAGCTCGCAGCCCTTAACGACCAGGATGAGCCAATAACATTTTAATTAAATTTTAGATTTCCCTGGCCTGTTCATCCCCAATTTCTTAGATTAACCCCTTGGGTTTCTGTAACTAGCACCTAGTCACCTTAGCCCCTTTAATAAGCACCCAAGTTACTATTACATTTTGGAATAAACAGTAGTATACCAGCCCACAAACCCAAGTTACTATTACATTTTAGGATTAACAGTAGTATACCAGCCCACATATATATATATATATATATATATATATATATATATATATATATATATATATATATATATATATATATATATATATATATATATATATATATATATATATATATATATATATATATATATATATATATATATATATATATATATATATATATATATATATATATCCTAATTTATAAAAGGCCATGTGCGCTCTTCTCTCTCTCTCTCTCTCTGTCTGTCCGCAAAATATTTTCGCCGGACATCACGTCAGAATCGGCTGCGATATATGGATATCTTTATACGGACTTTTGTTGAAAATAATATGTTAGATGTTTTAAATGTATAACCACAAAATTATTTAAAGAAGAAAAATAAAAAATAAAGGCGTATTCGAATGTAGAGAAACAGTATTATTTATGCAACCGGAAAATTGTATAAACTTGAGACAAGAACGCATTTAACAATGACGTCGCTTATTGTTTAAACTAAAAAAAAGAGCACGAAACTGATGACGTCATCTTCCGAGTTTAGAATATAAAGAAATGAACTATTTCATTCAAATATGATTTAGAGCTATGTACGCTATGAAATGTATACAATACGATTTTCTCGGCCTAAACTTAAAAAAGTTATTTTATCTATTTGGATTCTAGATCTAGATCTAGAGATTCTAGATCTAAATATTGATCTCGATCTAGATATTCTAGATCATCTAGATCTAGAGATTCTAGATCTAGATGATCTATAAAGCTAAGTTGTCGGGTGCCCGTTAGGGCACTTCCCGGCGCCGCAGGCGCTTCAAATTTGGCAGGATCTTGCCTTGGGGCGACAGAACACGGGGGCCGGTTGGCCAAAAAGTCTACGATGAGGGGGTCAAAACTGACCTCGACGACCGGCGCCTTATATGGGCGAATTAATTAAGCATTCAAATTCTCAATGTTTTCGAAAGCCTAAGCGAAGCTGGGCAGCATGCCTAGTATATATATATAAAGCAAAGTGGTCAGGTGCCCGATAGGGCACTTCCCGGTGCCGCAGGCGCGTCAAATTTGGCACGGTGGTGCCTTGGGGCCATAGAACACGAGGGCCGGTGACGGTTTGCCGAAAAGTCTACGGAGAAGGGGTCAAAACTGACCTCGACTGACCGGCGCCTTATATGGGCTATATTACGAAAAAAAATTTCCTCCGACGACCCCCCTTGAAATTTTGTGAGGTGGTAGGAGAACGCCTTGGGGTGTCCCAAAAAACTCGCCATGTCCGGGAAAATTCGTTAAATTGGTCAAAACTGACCAGTCGTATTTCCCTATATTATCTTTGTATTTTATGGGAAAAACAGAGGGTGATTTCAAAACGGATTTTAGGGCACTTACCGTCTTTACATCTGGCTAATTTTTTGCATGCTTTTAGGTAAATGGCTTGACCTTTAGGGAAAACTGTCGGTTTCACTGAAAGCCCTCGACGAGGGCTAAAAAGTGACCGCGAGTGAAATTCTCTTTATATGAGCTCTATTACGAAAAAAAATTTCCTCCGACGACCCCCCTTGAAATTTTGTGAGGTGGTAGGAGAACGCCTTGGGGTGTCCCAAAAAACTCGCCATGTCCGGGAAAATTCGTTAAATGGGTCAAAACTGACCAGTCGTATTTCCCTATTTAATCTTTGTATTTTATGGGAAAAACAGAGGGTGATTTCAAAACGGATTTTAGGGCACTTACCGTCTTTACATCTGGCTAATTTTTTGCATGCTCTTAGGTAAATGGCTTGACCTTTAGGGAAAACTGTCGGTTTCGCTCAAAGCCTTCGACGAGGGCTAAAAAGTGACCGCGAGTGAAATTCTCTTTATATGAGCTCTATTACGAAAAAAAATTTCCTCCGACGACCCCCCTTGAAATTTTGTGAGGTGGTAGGAGAACGCCTTGGGGTGTCCCAAAAAACTCGCCATGTCCGGGAAAATTCGTTAAAAAAAATTTCCTCCGACGACCCCCCCTTGAAATTTTGTGAGGTGGTAGGAGAACGCCTTGGGGTGTCCCAAAAAACTCGCCATGTCCGGGAAAATTCGTTAAATGGGTCAAAACTGACCAGTCGTATTTCCCTATATTATCTTTGTATTTTATGGAAAAAACAGAGGGTAATTTGAAAACTGATTTTAGGACACTTACCCTCTTTACATCTTACTAATTTTTTGTATAAACCTCTAAAGCTGACTACGCCGTATGGAAAACTGTTGGTCAGACTTATAGCCCTCTTAGAGGGCTAAAAATGACCGCGAGTGAAATTCTCATTATACAAGATTTGGTCATTTGGTCTTTGAACAGGGGAGGAAACTTTTTAATGTAATAATTTTTAAATATTTTGTATACTCTTTTTAAGAAAAAAACAAAAATCATAAAGTATAGCATTGTTTTAAATAAATATTTTGTTACGAATTAAGTTTTGCATTGAACTGTAATTGTATAAATTAATTGTGAAAGTAATTTATTATAATATTTGATTGATAATATTAAGAAAACCCTTGCAGTTCTAATAACCGTACAAGTAATAAGTTTGCGAATATTCCATCGATTATTTGAGTGACATTAAATTACTCCACTAAAAATTTAGGCCCTAAGCATTTAAGATAGCAGCCAATCACCTAATAATTAATCATTCAATTCCCCAATTTTTTTGAAAACCTAAGCGAAGCTAGGCAGTATGCCTAGTATATATATATATTATATATATATATATATATATATATATATATATATATATATATATATATATATATATATATATATATATATATAATATATATGTATGTATGTATGTATGTATGTATGTATGTATGTATGTATGTATGTATGTATGTATGTGTGTGTGTGTGTGTATGTATATATATATACCTTTAATTATATGTAGTTAGGTAGATATAATATAGATATAGATAATTGAGAAAAATGGCCCGTTGAGGAAGGATACAATGGGCGCTAGGTTGATAGTGCTGTCTATTTTCTCTAAACTAAAACCAAAACCAAAATCACCACCTTAATTCAATTTAACCGGAAACGAAAAATGACATTGAAAACAGATTTTTATCCAGAATCGGTACTTTAATTTATACAAAATATAGGCATATCCCTAAAGCATGCACTTAATCTCATTCATGACAAAAGTCGCATTTAGAGTTTCTTTCAGGCAACCCTACTTGCCCCCCCCCCCCCACACACACACACCACAAAACATGTCTACCATACCATTCAACAAAATATAATTATATACTTTTTCCAGTGTCCGCCCCCTCCCAGAAAATTCTACCCCCGCCCCAAAAAATTCAAGTACCCCCACCCCTCGCCGGGGAGGAAAAAGTCTGAAAGAAACACTGGTCGCATTTGTAGATCATACAAACTAAAGGAAGAACCTGGGCGGGGCTTTGCCCCTACCGGAAGAGATGCATGAAAAAAACTGTGCACGCTTAACACTTTTTAGATTAGAAAAAGTTCCTCCCTCCGGGGAGGAAAAATTATGAAAGAAACACTGGTGTCGCGCTTAGCCACTACCCGAAGAATTGCATGAAAGAAACTGCAAGCAAACCACTTTTTAGATTAGACACATTAATTAGGCGGTAATTTTATTATAGAGTATCGATGAAGAAATGTCTGTTTAGTTGGGGGGGGGGGGGGGTTGGCTTAGACGTTCTTTCACGAGGGTGAGGCTTCGCCCCTACCCGAAGAATTGTATGAATGAAACTCTTCACGCAAACCACTTAGATTAGACAAAATTGGCTTTTTAATTCAATGTTTACTTGAGAATCAATGACGTCATATTACTGTGTGCACTCTCCGGCTTGATAATATTTTCTACTATATGCTATATGTGACAAAATATTTCGTTTTCGTTTTACTATGAAACTTTTTATTTTGCTTGTGTTTTCTCTATAGCGTTCTTGTCAAATAGATAGATACACAGATAGAAACTATTAGTATAGATGCCTATAATGTAAACAATTTAGATGCCTATAATGTAAACAATTTGATAAAATCAGTATAATCATTTTTGTAATGTCAAGCTTTACCTTCAGGTCTACCTGGGCACCGCTTCCGTCCTTCCCCTTTGCAAGTCCATTCAAACCTGAAAAAGTAGAACATAAGTTATAGAAAAATATTGTGCTGAGTAGCCTAGTCAAGGAGATAGTAAAGTAGATAGTCTTGTATAGAGTAAAGTAGTAAAGTAGATAGTCTTGTATAAAGTAAAGTAGTAGATTGTTAGGGACATTGTACTGTGTAGGTCTACAGCTAGATGAAACATAATTTTTAGTCCTATGAATTTGGATTTTACTCAAAACTTGCCATGGTAGATAATTAGAGAGCAGGGTAGATAGTCAGATAGATAGACTGATAATTAGGTAGATGGTAAAGTAGGAAGTAAGAAAGGCAGGTAGAGAATGAGATAGACAGTAAGGTAGACAGTTGGTAGCTGGTATGGTAGAAAGTAAAGTAGATATTTAAGGAAATAGGTAGGACATAGGCAGGTTGTAAACAACTTACTTTAGTGTAAGTTTGTAGGACATTAGACAGATTGTAAACAACTTACTTTGGTGTATGTTTGTAGGACATTTGCCAAATTGTAAACAACTTACTTTGGTGTCAGTTCAGGGTAGTCAGGAAGATGGTAAGGTAGATAGTTAAGTAGATATTTAAGGAAATAGGTAGGACATTAGGCAGATTGTAAACAACTTACTTTGGTGTAAGTTTGTAGGACATTAGGCAGATTGTAAACAACTTACTTTGGTGTCAGTTCAGGGTAGTCAGGGAGATGGTAAGGTAGATAGTTAAGTAGATATTTAAGGAAATAGGTAGGACATTAGGCAGATTGTAAACAACTTACTTTGGTGTAAGTTTGTAGGACATTAGGCAGATTGTAAACAACTTACTTTGGTGTAAGTTTGTAGGATATTAGGCAGATTGTTAACAACTTACTTTGGTGTAAGTTCAGGGTAGTCAGGGAGATGGTAAGGTAGATAGTTAAGTAGATATTTAAGGAAATAGGTAGGACATTAGGCAGATTGTAAACAACTTACTTTGGTGTAAGTTTGTAGGACATTAGGCAGATTGTAAACAACTTACTTTGGTGTCAGTTCAGGGTAGTCAAGGAGATAGTAAAGTAGATAGTTATGTATAGAGTAAAGTAGTAAAGTAGATAGTCTTGTATAAAGTAAAGTAGTAGATTGTTAGGGACATTGTACTGTGTAGGTCTACAGCTAGATGAAACATAATTTTTAGTCCTATGAATTTGGATTTTACTCAAAACTTGCCATGGTAGATAATTAGAGAGCAGGGTAGATAGTCAGATAGATAGATTGATAATTAGGTAGATGGTAAAGTAGGAAGTAAGAAAGGCAGGTAGAGAATGAGATAGACAGTAAGGTAGACAGTTGGTAGCTGGTATGGTAGAAAGTAAAGTAGATATTTAAGGAAATAGGTAGGACATAGGCAGGTTGTAAACAACTTACTTTAGTGTAAGTTTGTAGGACATTAGACAGATTGTAAACAACTTACTTTGGTGTAAGTTTGTAGGACATTAGGCAGATTGTAAACAACTTACTTTGGTGTCAGTTCAGGGTAGTCAGGGAGATGGTAAGGTAGATAGTTAAGTAGATATTTAAGGAAATAGGTAGGACATTAGGCAGATTGTAAACAACTTACTTTAGTGTAAGTTTGTAGGACATTAGACAGATTGTAAACAACTTACTTTGGTGTAAGTTTGTAGGACATTAGGCAAATTGTAAACAACTTACTTTGGTGTCAGTTCAGGGTAGTCAGGAAGATGGTAAGGTAGATAGTTGAGTAGATATTTAAGGAAATAGGTAGGACATTAGGCAGATTGTAAACAACTTACTTTGGTGTAAGTTTGTAGGACATTAGGCAGATTGTAAACAACTTACTTTGGTGTCAGTTCAGGGTAGTCAGGGAGATGGTAAGGTAGATAGTTAAGTAGATATTTAAGGAAATAGGTAGGACATTAGGCAGATTGTAAACAACTTACTTTGGTGTAAGTTTGTAGGACATTAGGCAGATTGTAAACAACTTACTTTGGTGTAAGTTTGTAGGATATTAGGCAGATTGTTAACAACTTACTTTGGTGTAAGTTCAGGGTAGTCAGGGAGATGGTAAGGTAGATAGTTAAGTAGATATTTAAGGAAATAGGTAGGACATTAGGCAGATTGTAAACAACTTACTTTGGTGTAAGTTTGTAGGACATTAGGCAGATTGTAAACAACTTACTTTGGTGTCAGTTCAGGGTAGTCAAGGAGATAGTAAAGTAGATAGTTATGTATAGAGTAAAGTAGTAAAGTAGATAGTCTTGTATAAAGTAAAGTAGTAGATTGTTAGGGACATTGTACTGTGTAGGTCTACAGCTAGATGAAACATAATTTTTAGTCCTATGAATTTGGATTTTACTCAAAACTTGCCATGGTAGATAATTAGAGAGCAGGGTAGATAGTCAGATAGATAGATTGATAATTAGGTAGATGGTAAAGTAGGAAGTAAGAAAGGCAGGTAGAGAATGAGATAGACAGTAAGGTAGACAGTTGGTAGCTGGTATGGTAGAAAGTAAAGTAGATATTTAAGGAAATAGGTAGGACATAGGCAGGTTGTAAACAACTTACTTTAGTGTAAGTTTGTAGGACATTAGGCAAATTGTAAACAACTTACTTTGGTGTAAGTTTGTAGGACATTAGCCAAATTGTAAACAACTTACTTTGGTGTCAGTTCAGGGTAGTCAGGAAGATGGTAAGGTAGATAGTTAAGTAGATATTTAAGGAAATAGGTAGGACATTAGGCAGATTGTAAACAACTTACTTTGGTGTAAGTTTGTAGGACATTAGGCAAATTGTAAACAACTTACTTTGGTGTCAGTTCAGGGTAGTCAGGAAGATGGTAAGGTAGATAGTTAAGTAGATATTTATGGAAATAGGTAGGACATTAGGCAGATTGTAAACAACTTACTTTGGTGTAAGTTTGTAGGACATTAGGCAAATTGTAAACAACTTACTTTGGTGTCAGTTCAGGGTAGTCAGGAAGATGGTAAGGTAGATAGTTAAGTAGATATTTATGGAAATAGGTAGGACATTAGGCAGATTGTAAACAACTTACTTTGGTGTAAGTTTGTAGGACATTAGGCAAATTGTAAACAACTTACTTTGGTGTCAGTTCAGGGTAGTCAGGAAGATGGTAAGGTAGATAGTTAAGTAGATATTTATGGAAATAGGTAGGACATTAGGCAGATTGTAAACAACTTACTTTGGTGTAAGTTTGTAGGACATTAGGCAGATTGTAAACAACTTACTTTGGTGTAAGTTTGTAGGATATTAAGCAGATTGTTAACAACTTACTTTGGTGTAAGTTTGTAGGATATTAGGCAGATTGTTAACAACTTACTTCGGTGTCAGTTCAGGGTAGTCAGGGAGATGGTAAACAACTTACTTTGGTGTCAGTTCAGGGTAGTCAGGGAGATGGTAAGGTAGATAGTTAAGTAGATATTTAAGGAAATAGGTAGGACATTAGGCAGATTGTAAACAACTTACTTTGGTGTCAGTTCAGGGTAGTCAGGAAGATGGTAATCTGCTGAGAGGGTAAGTCTTTGACCCGAGACCCAGTCCACCTTTTTGTAAGGTGGGTTGATTCGACCAATCAGCTCATAGGCTGGAACTATCTCAATATAGCCCTGAGTTGGAAACACATTCATGTATATATTTGGAACATACTTTAGAACCTTTTACAATGCTTTGTATTACTTACTAGCAGACCCAGACAGATATAACATTTTTAAGGGTCACCAATCGTGTATTTTTAGATGTGTGACCTTGATTTCTAATACTAAGTAATTAAAATGTAACAAAGCCGGGGTGATATTTCTTGGATGGTAGATGTTAGGTGCAGGTTTGTCCACACTACAGCCCCTGGGATTAATATATGAATGCCTTGAATGTACAGGTTAATCACCTTCCATAAAAGTAAGGTTTTACACCCCTTGGCCACTGCACAGGTGTCACTGGCACAGCAGGGTGCTCTAGGAAGCCACAAGTTCAACTAGAGGCCCAGTGTGAGATCCCTGATACTGCAGGATGCTCTAGGAAGCCACAAATTCAACTAGAGGCCCAGTGTGAGATCCCTGACACTGCAGGATGCTCTAGGAAGCCACAAGTTCAACTAGAGGCCCAGTGTGAGATCCCTGATACTGCAGGATGCTCTAGGAAGCCACAAGTTCAACTAGAGGCCCAGTGTGAGATCCCTGACACTGCAGGATGCTCTAGGAAGCCACAAGTTCAACTAGAGGCCCAGTGTGAGATCCCTGATACTGCAGGGTGCTCTAGGAAGCCACAAATTCAACTACAGCAGAGGCCCAGTGTGAGATCCCTGACACTGCAGGATGCTCTAGGAAGCCACAAGTTCAACTAGAGGCCCAGTGTGAGATCCCTGATACTGCAGGGTGCTCTAGGAAGCCACAAATTCAACTACAGCAGAGGCCCAGTGTGAGATCCCTGACACTGCAGGATGCTTTAGGAAGCCACAAGTTCAACTACAGCAGAGGCCCAGTGTGAGATCCCTGACACTGCAGGATGCTCTAGGAAGCCACAGGTTCAACTACAGCAGAGGCCCAGTGTGAGATCCCTGACACTGCAGGATGCTCTAGGAAGCCACAAGTTCAACTAGAGGCCCAGTGTGAGATCCCTGACACTGCAGGATGCTCTAGGAAGCCACAAATTCAACTACAGCAGAGGCCCAGTGTGAGATCCCTGACACTGCAGGATGCTCTAGGAAGCCACAGGTTCAACTACAGCAGAGGCCCAGTGTGAGATCCCTGATACTGCAGGATGCTCTAGGAAGCCACAAATTCAACTACAGCAGAGGCCCAGTGTGAGATCCCTGACACTGCAGGATGCTCTAGGAAGCCACAAATTCAACTAGAGGCCCAGTGTGAGATCCCTGATACTGCAGGATGCTCTAGGAAGCCACAAATTCAACTAGAGGCCCAGTGTGAGATCCCTGATACTGCAGGATGCTCTAGGAAGCCACAAATTCAACTACAGCAGAGGCCCAGTGTGAGATCCCTGACACTGCAGGATGCTCTAGGAAGCCACAAGTTCAACTAGAGGCCCAGTGTGAGATCCCTGATACTGCAGGATGCTCTAGGAAGCCACAAATTCAACTACAGCAGAGGCCCAGTGTGAGATCCCTGACACTGCAGGATGCTCTAGGAAGCCACAAATTCAACTAGAGGCCCAGTGTGAGATCCCTGATACTGCAGGATGCTCTAGGAAGCCACAAATTCAACTACAGCAGAGGCCCAGTGTGAGATCCCTGACACTGCAGGATGCTCTAGGAAGCCACAAGTTCAACTAGAGGCCCAGTGTGAGATCCCTGATACTGCAGGATGCTCTAGGAAGCCACAAATTCAACTACAGCAGAGGCCCAGTGTGAGATCCCTGACACTGCAGGATGCTCTAGGAAGCCACAAATTCAACTAGAGGCCCAGTGTGAGATCCCTGATACTGCAGGATGCTCTAGGAAGCCACAAATTCAACTACAGCAGAGGCCCAGTGTGAGATCCCTGATACTGCAGGGTGCTCTAGGAAGCCACAGGTTCAACTACAGCAGAGGCCCAGTGTGAGATCCCTGATACTGCAGGGTGCTCTAGGAAGCCACAGGTTCAACTACAGCAGAGGCCCAGTGTGAGATCCCTGATACTGCAGGATGCTCTAGGAAGCCACAAATTTAACTAGAGGCCCAGTGTGAGATCCCTGACACTGCAGGATGCTCTAGGAAGACACAGGTTCAACTACAGCAGAGGCCCAGTGTGAACCCTGGTTTGGTTTAGTCACCCATGTAGTAGCCCACCATGTCCCTAGTGTAGGGTGTTCATTGAAATGACAATAAGTGCCATAGTGCTTATAGGGGAGCCCAGGGTGCCTGTACTCAGGTAGCCAGTAGGAAACTGGGCACACCTAACCATACTCTACTGCAGGAGTGCCTGATGGCAGTCCTAGTTTGATTTAGTCACTGAGTTTAGTAGTCCACTGTTTACCTAGTAAGTGTCACTTTTTAAAACTAACATAGGCTCCAGAGAGCTCCCAGGGCAGATGTGCTTGCTACAGCTTGACCATTGAATCAAGTAGTAACACTGACTCTCTGTGCAGAACCCAGGTGCTAACAGCTGCTTAAATACTTCAAAATGTAACCAGTGAAAGACTTACACAAACAACAGATTTTAGCTCCAACTTCTTCTGTATAAAGGCCACAGCACAGATGAAATATATCCCTAAAGGCAAGGTGTTTTTTGGTATGATGTCCTTTTTACCTTTCTGGTCGGTAATTGGAATGGCCCCAGACTTGGCCAGTAGTGAATTAATACTGAAATTTTGATTAAAGACATGGGTTGTTTTTTAACAGAACTTCATCAGGTTAACATTTCTAATAAACCAAATGTAAAAACTATAGAGTCACAACAGTTTTTTAAAGATTTCTTCTAATTGTTTACTCTAAGCAAATATTCAAAGATGTGTTCTTCCTCATCAAAACTAAAACAAACCTGATTCCACCCAAAGAATTCAAACTTAACTAATCTTTTTTACTGTGTAGAACTTAACCAAACCTGAATAACTGTGTAGCCTGATTGATTGGTCTGAATCATAATCAATTCCTGAATAAAAGTTTAAACTTTTATAACACCCAACTTGAGTGATTTAAACTGAACCAAAATCCAGCATTGAAGTTTAATACATAAGCCCTAACTGTTGACAAAAACTAAGCTTGACCGTTGACAAAAGCCTGACTAATGACAAAATCTTAAAAGCCTGACTAATGACAAAATCTTAAAAGCCTGACTAATGACAAAATCTTAAAAGCCTGACTAATGACAAAATCTTAAAAGCCTGACTAATGACAAAATCTTAAAAGCCTGGCTAATGACAAAATCTTAAAAGCCTGACTAATGACAAAATCTAAAAAGCCTGACTAATGACAAAATCTAAAAAGCCTGACTAATGACAAAATCTAAAAAACCTGACTGTTGACAAAAACTAAAAACCTGACTGTTGACAAAAACTAAAAACCTCGCTGTTGACAAAAACTAAAAGCCTGACTAATGACAAAATCTAAAAAGCCTGACTAATGACAAAATCTAAAAAACCTGACTGTTGACAAAAACTAAAATCTGACTGTTGACAAAAGCCTGACTTACTCCACAAGAGCCAGGTCCTCATGTCTCATGCACCTCTTGGGGTTCTTGATGTACTCCTCCTCCATCTTAAAGTAGATCCACTCCAGCCTGGGGAAGTCTTTACACACAGCTTCAGGGGAGAGCTTCACTTCAAACAAGTTGTAGCGCTTTAGAGAGTCACATCAATAAGTTGTAGCACTTTAGAGAGTTATATCAACAAGTTGTAGCGCTTTAGAGAGTTACATCAATAAGTTGTAGCACTTTAGAGAGTTATATCAACAAGTTGTAGCGCTTTAGAGAGTTACATCAAGTACATTGTAGCGCTTTAGAGAGTTACATCAAGTACATTGTAGCACTTTAGAGAGTTACATCAAGTAAATTGTAGCACTTTAGAGAGTTACATCAAGTACATTGTAGCACTTTAGAGAGTTACATCAACAAGTTGTAGCACTTTAGAGAGTTACATCAAGTACATTGTAGCGCTTTAGAGAGTTACATCAAGTACATTGTAGCACTTTAGAGAGTTACATCAACAAGTTGTAGCACTTTAGAGAGTTACATCAACAAGTTGTAGCACTTTAGAGAGTTACATCAAGTAAATTGTAGCGCTTTAGTGAGTTATATCAAGTAAATGGTAGCACTTTAGAGAGTTACATCAAGTAATTTGTAGCACTTAAGAGAGTTACATCAAGTAAATTGTAGCACTTTAGAGAGTTACAACAAGTAAATTGTAGCGCTTTAGAGAGTTACATCAAGTACATTGTAGCGCTTTAGAGAGTTACATCAAGTACATTGTAGCACTTTAGAGAGTTACATCAACAAGCTGTAGCACTTTAGAGAGTTACATCAACAAGTTGTAGCACTTTAGAGAGTTACATCAAGTAAATTGTGGCACTTTAGAGAGTTACATCAAGTAAATTGTAGCGCTTTGGAGAGTTACATCAACAAGTTGTAGCGCCTTAGAGAGTTAAATCAACAAGTTGTAGCACTTTAGAGAGTTACATCAAGTAAGTTGTAGCGCTTTAGAGAGTTACATCAACAAGTTGTAGCACTTTAGAGAGTTACATCAAGTAAATTGTAGCGCTTTAGTGAGTTATATCAAGTAAATTGTAGCACTTTAGAGAGTTACATCAAGTAAATTGTAGCACTTTTGAGAGTTACATCAAGTAAATTGTAGTGCTTTAGAGAGTTGCATCAAGTAAATTGTAGCGCTTTAGAGAGTTACATCAAGTAAATTGTAGCGCTTTAGAGAGTTACATCAAGTACATTATAGCGCTTTAGAGAGTTATATAAAGTACATTGTAGCACTTTAGAGAGTTACATCAACAAGCTGTAGCACTTTAGAGAGTTACATCAACAAGTTGTAGCACTTTAGAGAGTTACATCAAGTAAATTGTGGCACTTTAGAGAGTTACATCAAGTAAATTGTAGCGCTTTAGAGAGTTACATCAACAAGTTGTAGTGCTTTAGAGAGTTAAATCAACAAGTTGTAGCACTTTAGAGAGTTATATCAACAAGTTGTAGCGTTTTAGAGAGTTACATCATGTAAATTGTAGCGCTTTAGAGAGTTACATCAAGTAAATTGTAGCACTTTAGAGAGTTACATCAAGTAAATTGTAGCACTTTAGAGAGTTACATCAAGTAAATTGTAGCACTTTAGAGAGTTACATCAAGTAAGTTGTAGCGCTTTAGAGAGTTATATCAACAAGTTGTAGCGCTTTAGAGAGTTACATCAAGTAAATTGTAGTACTTTAGAGAGTTACATCAAGTAAATTGTAGCACTTTAGAGAGTTACATCAAGTAAATTGTAGCACTTTAGAGAGTTACATCAAGTAAATTGTAGCACTTTAGAGAGTTACATCAAGTAAGTTGTAGCGCTTTAGAGAGTTATATCAACAAGTTGTAGCGCTTTAGAGAGTTACATCAAGTAAATTGTAGTACTTTAGAGTTACATCAAGTAAATTGTAGCACTTTAGAGAGTTACATCAAGTAAATTGTAGCACTTTAGAGAGTTACATCAAGTAAAATGTTGAAGGAATAGGTCCCATTTATCCAACATCAAAGTGTATAATTTTACCAGTTTTAAAGGGAGCATTGCTTACAGAAAATAAGATTACTAGAAAAATACAAAATATTGGATCAGGTGAAACATTTTCGTACATTAAAATCATTGTAAATAGTTTTAGAATTATTAATAAGGCAAATATATCAATAAACATACTAATATATATACAAGTCAATGTATAACATACAAGTATAAGCATGATATACAAGTATGGGCATGACATACATAAAAGAGTAATGTTTCCATACCTGTCTCTTGTACTCCTTACGTTGAGTCAGGTACAATCCAGTACCCGGTAGCTGTAGATTTACCAGGCAGTGCCCTATGTCAACATCTTTGTAACGTACATCAAAGACCAGAACCTTCTCCACATATTCAATGATTCCAGGAACAGCTTTCACCGTAACCATCTCAGGCTTCATAAAGCGCAGAACAAAGTGGATGTAGAAGTGGTAGGTGGTGCGTGACTGAAAGACAACAGTGACATCAGCATGACATCAGATGACATGTCATAAAGTGGATGTAGAAGTGGTAGGTGGTGCGTGACTGAAAGACAACAGTGACATCAGCATGACATTAGATGACATGTCATAAAGTGGATGTAGAAGTGGTAGGTGTTGCGTGACTGAAAGACAACAGTGACATCATCAGCATGACTTCAGATGACATATCACATGTAGAAGTTGGTGATTTAAAAAGTTATAATGCTATGACAGAACACATTTAAGATCTGACTGCCCCATAACTTACATTAAATATCTGAATGAACCACTCACTCCCCTTAATCTCTGAATGAACCACTCACTTCCCTTACATTAAATCTCTGAATGAACCACTCACTCCCCTTACATTAAATCTCTGAATGAACCACTCACTCCCCTTACATTAAATCTCTGAATGAACCACTCACTCCCCTTACATTAAATCTCTGAATGAACCACTCACTCCCCTTACATTAAATCTCTGAATGAACCACTCACTCCCCTTACATTAAATCTCTGAATGAACCACCCACTCCCCTTACATTAAATCTCTGAATGAACCACTCACTCCCCTTACATTAAATATCTGAATGAACCACCCACTCCCCTTACATTAAATCTCTGAATGAACCACTCACTTCCCTTACATTAAATTTCTGAATGAACCACCCACTCCCCTTACATTAAATCTCTGAATGAACCACTCTTTCCCCTTGACGTAACTGTAATCACGATGAAAGTCGATGTCACAAGTCTCAAACTGAGCACTCTCTTCATCCTCTGCTTGCATCTGTAAAAAACATTTTGATTGGTTGACTGTAATTTATTTATAGCTAAGTAGAGCAAAGTTCTCATTGGCTAACTTTATACAGCTTTCTGCAGCAGAGGTAATAAACAGTATTTTTATTAGTTATGTATGTTTTTTGTAGGATATTTTTACTATGGAGAATTGTACTTAATGTACATTCATAACTATTGTAGTTGATTTTTTAGAGGGATATGTTCCTAGTTTTAAATATTGTCTAGTTTAAACAACTAGTTATAGGTCCACAACATGTTCTTTATAAGTTTTATGTCAAATTGATCCAACGTTTTAGAAAAGCTTAAACAGAAAATGGCGCCAATACCTTGTAGATGAAATTCGGAGGACTCAAGGGGTTAGACTGGTATGCTGAACCCAGACTGAACAAGAAAAAAATGTCCACTAAGTCACCCAAAGCTGGGTTCAAGTTGAAGGAGATAAACTCCACAATGGCATCTGTTGTAATAGACAAAAATCACAGCATTACAATAATTATTGATCATCAGACGGTGTGGTCGAGTCGGTAAAGCTCATCGTTGCTAAACCGAAAAGTTTCGAGTTCGAACCCTCAGGCAGATGCGGCTCGTTAGCTGGGGACAGCCACAATTCTAGGAAAGACAACTTCAAAATCAAAACAACTGCTGCCTTGTAGTTTGTTCTCGGTTGGACAAAGGCTATGGAAGCAAATCCAAAAAGAAAAGCAGGCTGAAATCGGAGTCAATGACCTCAATGGCGCATAACCAGTTGACACGTATCCTTAATTTGTGATGGAGGAGTGGTCGAGTCTGCAAAAAGCTCATGGTTGATAAATTCGAAAAAAGTCTCGAGTTCAAGCCCTCCTGCAGAAAAGGCACGATCCCTTCCAACACTAAAAATTAAGAACGAGGAAGAAGATGATCAGAAATTATTTCTTATAATACCAAATGTTGGGGTGGTAGGGGGAATTGTTACCTTGACAGTTTCTATGGAACAAAGGTGGGGGGGATAGGGGGGATATTTACCTTGACAGTTGCAGTGGAACAAAGGTAGTGGGGGGATTGTTACCTTGACAGGTGCCATGGTACATTCTCTTGTTATCACCACAGATGCAGACATATGCACGGTGCAGGTCAGTGCAGGTTTGATCAGGGCAGGGGTCACTCAAACAATCATTTATTGATGTTTCACAGCGCATGCCCTCCCAGCCTGGCTTACAGATGCATTCACCTGAAAGTGACATTACAATGACCTGAAAGTTACATCATAATCACCTGCATCTTACATTAAAATTACATGAAAGTTACAGATACTTTCAGACAGTTAGTGACCTTAAGACAGCCAGTAACCCCAAGATAACCAGTGACCTTAAGATGACCAGTGACCTTAAGACAACCATAGACCTTAAGACAACCATAGACCATAAGACAACCAGTGACCTTAAGACAACCAGTGACCTTAAGACAACCAGTGACCTTAAGACAACCATAGACCATAAGACAACCAGTGACCTTAAGACAACCAGTGACCTTAAGACAACCAGTGACCTTTAGACAACCAGTGACCTTAAGACAACCATAGACCTTAAGACAACCAGTGACCTTAAGACAACCATAGACCTTAAGACAACCATAGACCTTTAGACAACCAGTGACCATAAGACAACCAGTGACCTTAAGACAACCCGTGACCTTAAGACAACCAGTGACCTTAAGACAACCATAGACCTTAAGACAACCATAGACCCTAAGACAACCAGTGACCATAAGACAACCAGTGACCTTTAGACAACCAGTGACCTTAAGACAACCAGTGACCTTAAGACAGACACACATACTACAAGACAGGTACAGTTACCTGTGATGAACTAATTACCTGTAGAGAGCTCACAGGTTACAGTATTTTCAGCCTTGCAGCTACAGGTCTTCAAACACCCAGGTCCATAAGAGTTCCAGTGACATTCTGAATCAGGTTAGACAGTTGATGTTAGCATAGACATTATAAATTTTAAAAATTTTTTTATAGTTTATCAAGTACTAGCCGTCCCGGCCAGGCCCTGCTCTGGCTTCTGTGAAAAACCTTTCTGTTAAAGACCATTACCTGTGTGTTTAGTAATCATCATAAACCCGGCATTGCCCACCCAAACCACAACCAACCAAAACCAAAACAACAAAACGCAAACATAACGCTAACACAATTACAAATACAAACGAAAACAAAAACTTAACAACAAACACAACCACACCCACAAACACCAATACAAACACAAAGAAAAAACAAACAAAAAAGCAAACGAAAACAAAAACCTAACAACAAACCCAACCACAAACACCAATACCAACAAAAAAAAAATCAACGAAAAAAGCAAACGAAAACAAACCAAATCCAAACGCAAAACCAACCAAAAACACAAATACAAACCCAAACAAAAAAAAACACAAACAAAAACGAAAAAAGAAAGAACAAAAACGAACCAAATTAAAACGCAACCACTAACGCAAACCCACCTAAACACAAAGAAAACACTAACGCGAACATAAACGCCCGGGGCGGAATCACCTGTTTTAGCTTAATGAACGACTATAGTACCCCAACTTATTCACAGTCTTTTGCACTCACTTAAACGAACGCGCCTGTTTCAATTTAATAAACAATTTTAATACTCCAAGCTTATCCGTAAAATACCTACAACATTTGCACTTGATCAATCCCCGCTAATTATGTAATTATTTTTTTTCCCAACACCAAAACAAAGTAATTAAAAAGTAAATTATTTTCACGGAATGCAATGGTTTTATAAAGGGAAGTAATTGTGTTTTTCCTAATTTATCAAAGGGAAGTAAGTGCTATAGGACTAAATAAAGACATAATTAGAATTTTTGTAAAAGATGATATTTTTTTTAAAACTTGTGTTTAATGAACATGCCGACAATTATTACTATAATTTGAAAAATGAAAATTATTTCCCAACACTTTCAATAGTAATTTTTTAGCTCATAAATTTAGACAAATGCGCACGATAATTTTCTAACACTTAAATTCGTACAATTCCAACGACATACAAATGCATTACATACAGAACTGAGCTTTATATATTAGATTGATGAATGCCTTTAATCTAAACAACAATGGTTATCACGGTTACTTACGTTGACAGTTTCCATTCACCGACAACGTGTATCCCATCATACATAAACATTTATACGAGCCAGGTGTATTTTGGCAATATGTGTACTGTTCCAAACACGGCCTAATAATTTGAAAAAATATGTTCACATTTTTGTATCTTAAAAATTTTGCAGAATAAAAATTAACAATAATTGTGATAATTCAAATAAATTGTAAACTTTATCCATAAAATACTCTGCACATTAAATGACACAAAAGAATGAATGAAAATAGATAAAAGCACATTTAATGTAGCTTACATTACAGTAGACCTATATACTAAAAGAAATATATAATGCCTGACATATGACACTCACGTAACATCACCATCATGGCATTCGTCAATGTCAATGTTACAAAATGTCCCCCTGAAGCCTGGCTTACACAAGCAGCGTCCAGTGACTTTATGGCACCCTGAGCTGCCCAGCTTGTCACACTTACATGTCCCCTTACACCCTGGTCCATAATGACCAGCTGGACATTCATCTGGAAATGTAACATACCATATCAGTGTAAGCACCTAGTTCCTTCCATCATGCTAAACAATAAAACTATAATAGTTCAGGTTTGTTTGATTACTGTAAAACTTACCTTGGCAATGTATGATGGGTATAAGAAATACACCTAATATAACTGTACAGGATAGGTACCTGAAAATATTTTGATAGAACATATCTTGATGAAAAGAATTTAAAAGCAAGTCAAAAATATTAATATATTTAATGGATTTCTAAAATTTTAGATTGTCAATTAGACAGATGGCACACCATCCCATGGAAGGCCTATTTGCTGTATTTGGGGTGTATATTGTGTGATGGATAATGGCAGGCTAGCTATGAATGTTATGGGGTCACATTTACTGGTATTGACTTTTTTAAATAGAAAATAATAATATATAAACATTACACATTAGAGGACTTTGAAAACCTGAGAACAGAACATCTAAAACAGAACACCTAGAACAGAATATCTGAGAACAGAACATCTAAAACAGAAGACCTGAGAACAGAACACTTGAGAACAGAACATCTAAAACAGAAGACCTGAGAACAGAACATCTAAAACAGAAGACCTGAGAACAGAACATCTAAAACAGAAGACCTGAGAACAGAACACTTGAGAACAGAACATCTAAAACAGAAGACCTGAGAACAGAACATCAGAGAACTGAACATCTAAAAGAGAACACCTGAGAAAAGAACATCTTAAACAGAACACCTTAGAACAGAACATCAGAGAACAGAACATCTAAAACAGAAGACCTGAGAACAGAACACTTGAGAACAGAACATCTAAAACAGAAGACCTGAGAACAGAACATCTAAAACAGAAGACCTGAGAACAGAACATCTAAAACAGAAGACCTGAGAACAGAACATCTAAAACAGAAGACCTGAAAACAGAACATCTAAAACAGAAGACCTGAGAACAGAACATCTAAAACAGAAGACCTGAGAACAGAACACTTGAGAACAGAACATCTAAAACAGAAGACCTGAGAACAGAACATCAGAGAACTGAACATCTAAAAGAGAACACCTGAGAAAAGAACATCTTAAACAGAACACCTTAGAACAGAACATCAGAGAACAGAACATCTAAAACAGAAGACCTGAGAACAGAACACTTGAGAACAGAACATCTAAAACAGAAGACCTGAGAACAGAACATCTAAAACAGAAGACCTGAGAACAGAACATCTAAAACAGAAGACCTGAGAACAGAACATCTAAAACAGAAGACCTGAAAACAGAACATCTAAAACAGAAGACCTGAGAACAGAACATCTAAAACAGAAGACCTGAGAACAGAACACTTGAGAACAGAACATCTAAAACAGAAGACCTGAGAACAGAACATCAGAGAACTGAACATCTAAAAGAGAACACCTGAGAAAAGAACATCTTAAACAGAACACCTTAGAACAGAACATCAGAGAACAGAACATCTAAAACAGAACACCTGAGAACAAAACATCTGAGAAAAGAACATCTAATACAGAACACATGAGAATAGAACATCTGAGAACAGAACATCTAAACAGAACACCTAGAACAAAACAGCTGTGAACATAACACCTAGAAAGAACACCTGAGAACAGAAGACAACAAAACACATTCAGACACTTCACACAGACAAATATGTAAAAAGAGCAACTCACCAACACATCTAGTCAGAGTGATGAGAATTGTCCACTAAAAAACGACGAGCACGCATCACCCAAAAGTTGACCCACAGTCCGCCAACTACCCTGCTTATCCTGAAACAAACAAGACACCTGTGAAGTCGAACTACGCTCAAACAACAATCATAGATCTACTATGTATGTGAATGTATGTTAGTATTCTCAGTATAGTAAAGGGGTAGTAGATTATATATAGATCTACATTATAGATCTAGATCTAGTTGATAATAGACTATAGACAATCTAGAGTCTAGCTAGATCTAGTTCACTGTCTAACTAAACTAAAAACTGCTATGGTCACATTCGATGCAAAATATGGAAATGGACAAGGAATAACATTGTTACCAACATTTAACATACAGTGTTTCTTCCAGACTTTTTTTCTCCGGCGGGGGGGGGGGGGGGGCAATGTTAAAAAGTATTATTCACGACTTTTTGTTCCAAAAACTCTTCTTCGGAGGCGGTGGGAGTGGCACTTGTAACTTCCGGGGTCAGATACTGGTAAAAGTGTAGGCCAAAGTATTTATATTTTCTAGATCTAGAGCTAGATCTAGTATCATGTAGATCTAGATCTAGATATAGATTATAATATTCTAGGATTTAAAAAATGTCTATTTTGTCCCGGAAGCGGGCCACGCCTATTGAGAAACGAGATAGGGCTTGCTGCTAACACATATGATGTTGGTAGATCTAATATTTCTCTTAGACTAGATCGATATCACAATTGATATGAAATCAAAATAATAACTATGCTCAGCTTACCGAAAAAACTAAATTCTTTTACTCCGTCCGTCTCATTTAGATATTTTACCCATCGGTTTTTTTATTCGTGGGAAAATTAATTAAATGTTTCCTCAATATGTTCATTAGTTGTGCGTCTGGTGCTTTTAGTTTTAGTTAAGTGTGCAAAAGCGTGCAAATACGTAAAATGTAAAAAACAGAAGTTGAACAAGCAGCCTATATTACAGAAAGTGTTTCTTCTAGGCTCCGCCCCCCCCCCCCCGATGAAAGTCTAACACCCCCCCCCCCCAAGATGAAATTGAATTTATATAGAAAATATATACTTTCTTTTAACCGTGCCTCCCCCCCCCCCCCCGGAGAAAAAAGTCTGGAATAAACACTGATTACAGAAGTGTGTCAGGTTGCAAAATGTACAAAGCTTAGGGGGAGTCAGGACACAAAGCTTAGCAGAGCTTAGGGAGTCAGGATTCAAAACATATGAAAGATAGGACACGATATATGGGGGAATCAACGAATGTGGTACCTCACTTGGAACTGACTTTTGGCCCCCATCATAATTCAACAAAAGAGGATTGAAACTGCTTTTTAACCTACAGATTCTTTGAAGCAGTGGTGGAACTAGAAAAAGAGCCCCCCCCTCCCCCCTTCCAGCAAAGATTTTTTTTTAGTTTGCCTTATTAGATTTTTTGGTGCCCCGTGTTAGGCTATTAAAGAGGAGCAATAAGTCTTGAAAGTGGTTTGAAGGTTTGCCTGTTTTTCATGTCGTTCTTTTTCCTATGCAACAGTGTGTTAGTTACTGTAGAGCAATCACTGCTGTAGTAGATCTGTTTTATTTATTTTTTACAAAACCATAAGTCAATCAAGGTGCAAAAAGTTTTGTTTGTTCCCCCCCCTCTCCCCCACAATGTGTGGTCTCTTTGAATAGTAGTTCCACCCCTGCTATGAAGATTAAATTATAATTATTGAAACCCTCTTTTCATTCTACTTTAACAATAATAATAATTGTAGGACTATCTAATTTTTTTACAAGATCTATGACATGATAGCTTCATTTATTCATTAGAAATTATGTTACTGGTTAGTTAGGCAAGTTTTTAAAATTTATCATTATACCACAGTTGAACAATTAGTGTAATGGGGCCTATATACAAGCCAATTTCATTTTTTAATATTTTTTTTTTTATTTTACAAACTGTGCTGGTTGAAAAATCTTCAAATCAGTATGGATGTTGAATACCTTAGTATTATCAACAGGATTTCATTGTAGTCAACATACATCCTAAAAAATCAACATGCAGAGAATTCCTCCCACCCACCCCTTCTTCCACTGCAAGGATGAAAGGTCAAGATGCCAAGTCAAAGTTTATTGCATTCACCTCATAATTCAACAACTTCATCAACAAATTTTAATTATACATTTTTATTTTAAATGATTGTCATCCATTATAATGGAATGTTTACATATGGAAGTGTTCATATAATCATTAAAACAAGTAACAATAAAGTGCTTATTTTCAAATTTAAAATACATTTAGTTATATACATAATAGTTTTTAACATGATTACATTGTGAATAATTTTTAACATGTTCAAATAACTAGGTAAATAGTTTTTTAAATGGTCACACATTGACAAATTTTTAAAAGTAATCACAAATAGATATGTTTTTAACATGATCACAAAGTGACAAGTACTTACCTTGATTATAAATTATACAGTGACTAATTTTTAACATTATTAAAGTGGAGATAGGGAATACCAAAACTATAAAATAACAAGAAAAAATTAATTATAAACAACTTTTCAGTTACACTTACATTTGTAAAAATGTTGATCCAGCAGTTGTAAAAAAAATAATTAAAAGTAACTTAGAGTAAATGATGTTATATTCTACAATGAAAACTTGGGGAAGTTATTCAAAAAGACCAACTATCATCAGTATAGAACAAGTAACTAAAGATGCGTTAAACAATCAACGAAGTATAACTTTAAAAAATAAAGATTATGCATTGGGTAAAATAGAAAACAAGGTCACATGTCCAAAAATACACAATTAGTAATATGTTAATGAAACCCTTATAAAATGGTGTGCAATATGTGATGGGTACTCTAGTATAACAAAATGTATATCAAAATTATGGTATGAACAAGTAAATTTAATAAGTATATAGAAAATATTTGTTAATTAAATTACGAATGATTAAATTAAATGCAACAGAAAACATCACTAGATTGACAACTAGCTAACATGTTTGGTTAAATAATCTCTCACTAGCTAAGACACTAAAAACATTTCAGCCCACAAATTTAACCGTCATTCTGACAAATCAGGTATACAATTCTTTAGAGGCTCGTACACCCTGAGCTTCACATTTGTATTGATTAAAAATAAAAGCATAAAATCTACATGGAGTTTATATAAGTGAAGAGTAATGTGAACAAATCTGTGAAGTGTTTGTAAATGAAGAGTTGTGTTTTTGTGATAAAAATTTACATCAATTGTATGTAAATTATATGTTTGTGAATTATATGTAGGTGGAAAAAAAGATTAAATTTGATCTGTTTTTATCCCACAAATATTTTAAAAACTAGTTTAAATACCAACAGATTAGACTCAGTTAACACATCAGCTTTTATGTAGGAGGATAATTAAAAAAAAACATCCTAAAACTGATTGCAGTTAGACGCTTCTTCTATTTGTCTTCTCAGACTTGTAGTTCTTGAAGCATTCATAAAAGGCATCAAGAAGGTCCTGTTCCCTGGGGTCATTGAAGAGATACCCACCCAGGTAGTTGGTGAAGTAGGCCACACCCAGGCCATTAGAGCGGTCAGCAAAAGCATTGTTTCCACCATAGCCTGGGTGACCTACGACTGAAAAACCCTGGAAGTAACAAGTTTACAGGTCAAGTTAAATGCCAAGTTTTACAGGTGGGAGTTAATAATAAAACAGAAGCTGAAGTTAAGAGGTGTATTATTAACAAAACTATTTATAAAGAAGTTGTATGATAACTCAGACTAATGTCTTACTTTGCTAAATAAATGGTAACTGTCTCTCACCTAGGTATATTTGTATCTTCCCTGACTGATATAAACTGTCAATTACTTCCCCTGAATCATTTTACCTATCATGTAATCATTTCCTCTGACTGATCCCACCTATTTATGGTATGATTATCCCCCTTGACTGATTTTGACTATCAATAAAGTATCTCTTTGATTGATTTTACTGACTATCAATAAAATATCTCACCTGAGGCGATGTATAATTCATTAAACCTTTGGCCACTGGTGTAGCTATGAACAGAAAGTTTGGCAAACCATTTGTCACAGTTTCTGTTAAAGATTCAACAATGTTTGGTGACAACAAACGTTTGGCGTGCAGGCTGCCCCCATTGGCAAGATAATCGTACAGCTTTGCAAGTCCTCTTGCTGTTCCTATCCCTACTGCAGATGGTAAGCCAACAGACAGATATTCTGGTTGGTTCATCATCTGAAACAATATCTCACTGTTGCACTTACAAGTTTAGGTGCTAGAAGCATCTAACAATAATTCTAAAAAGGGGCATTATATATTGCTGAGACTGTACTTAGAAGATTGGTTAAGTGGAGATCATGCTCAAGACGGCATGGGGCAGATGAAGTAGAGTTCATCTATTTCAATGACCTTAGCCTACAAGGGGATAGTGTGGTTACTACTACACCCAGCTGCCTTTGTTTCCCTAACATGAGGCAGGTACCCATCAGGGTTGGGTGGAATCTGGGACATCCTACAAATTTGAAATCGGTATCCAGACTCCAGACTTTCCAGATTGCAATTAAGTCATCCCATATAATGTTTGATTACAAGCCCAATAGTCTCAAGTAGTTCATGTCATTGACTTTAAATGATTCTCTTAGTTACTGACTTGAGGTAGGGAAATTAAAGGTAGATGCGCATTGTACTGATCTGGTATTACAATCCCTCATATATTTTATGCTGTCTAAATGGGTACTGTCATACTTGTGATTCAGTTATGCAATACTGATTCCAATACAGAACTCCCAAACTATTCTACAAATTAAATAGCAGCAGCATCGAAACTAATCCTTGTTTAAACTTTGTGTAAGTGTCAATTTTCTAAAACTCAGAGCATTATATGTATTTATAAAAAAAAAAATGAGTAAAAAGAAAATTAAAAACAAATTAAAACTTAAGTGTTTACTGGAAACCCCAAACAACTTGAATTTTTATTTTTAAAAATGTTTACCTCAGTACCCATATCCACAACTTCCAGTGCTATCTTAAAGTAGGGGTTGAAAAATGCATTATAAAAACTACTGTAGAAAAAGCGCTGCTCCCAAAAACTGGCCAGTTTAACCCTTGCAAACCTGTGATACTGCTCTTTTGGCAACCCAATATAAAATTCAATATCTGGAAAAGAGGAATTGCAGATTCTTTATTTGAACAAAAATAATTCATATATAATAAAAGTGTTTACAAAGATATTTTATGAAGAGATATGCTAGTTTTAACAGTACTATTTCCCGAAATATGATAATTTAAAATTTTACAGAAATGATTAACTAGTAGAAGAAACTAAATAATATAATAGTAGAGTTGACTTTGATATTTTATCACTAGCACTAGACATGTTAGTTGAAATCTGTGATTAACTTAAGTATGTTTCTTAAATTATCTTTTAACAAAAATCCTTATACTTCAGAAATGACAGCAGTGATTATTTTGAAATGTGACAAATCTTTTGATTAAATAAAATTTAAAAAAAAAACACATTTATTTTCCATTTAACCCACCTAGTGGCTTTAAAATTTCCTCTTCAAGGAACTGAGATATGTTTCTATGTTTAGGATCCACCTTGCGTACTAATGCGTCAACGTACATTCCAAAAGTCAACCCATGATATCCAACAGCTGTTCCTATAATTTCAATAAACATGTTGTTAATCAACAAGATCTATATATTTGTAAATGTACATGTTTTTTACAGTTGGATTTACTTTTATGTTTAGATACATGTTATTTATATATGAATACATCCAATATTTATATATACATGCATCTGTTATTTATGAATACATTTGACATTTATACATGTGTGTTATTTATATGTGGATACATCTGTTATATAGCAGAAGCAAGTTTGTGTATGTGTTATACACTGCAACTTTTAATTGCATACAACACTTACCAATTCAAGTTAATTAAACAATAAAAATTATCTGACAAGGTGTGAGGGGTGGTGAGGAAGTAAGGAACATAATGATTGCAGGTTGTGTGTAGGGGTGGGGATTTTTGGGCTCATGTTAAACATGGGGGGGGGGGGGGGACATAAACATTTTAGTATGCTTTTCAGATGTCAGATTGTTATACAATCAATAATAAAAGTCACATAATCTTTTTCTTTAAAAAAATGTTATCATAAAATCAACATATAATTTTACCTGCAGGCCAAAATGTTTTCTGATTGGCCAAAAGCTTCTCTACTTTGGTCCAGTTATCTCTGTAATCAAGCAGACTAATTTTCTCATCTAAGCCAATTAGACCAGCCTGTTGAAAAAAAGATAAGACTCATATCACATCCACTTCACACCGACAAACTCAAATGGTCTAACATATTTCACAACAGCTTTGTCAACCAACTTTAACAACAAAGTACCCCAAATAAATCCACTAAAAATAGTAAAAACCAATTCAAAAACTGGGAAAGTCAACAATGTTCTTTTAAATATCAATTAAAATGAACACTAAATGTTAGAAATGTTTAAACCATGCCTTTACTACCAGAAATAACTCAACAAAATAGACAACAAAGATTTCACTCACCGGGTGACTGACCAACAAAGATTTCACTCACCTGGTGACTGACCAACAAAGATTTCACTCACCTGGTGACTGACCAACAAAGATTTCACTCACCTGGTGACTGACCAACAAAGATTTCACTCACCTGGTGACTGACCAACAAAGATTTCACTCACCTGGTGACTGACCAACATCTCTACAGTTATGTTATCTTTGTTATTAGCTCTGAACTCAGGCCAGTAATGGTAAACTTCTTTCTTGTAATTCAGAAGTCCCCTAAAAAGAGTTTGGTAAAACTTGCGCTTTATTCTTTAGCAATATCACATCTCTATACGCACTTAAATTTGAAATAATTTCATGTGATCTATTTAAATAGTGTATTTTTAAAAATCTCATATATTTCATAATCTGCTGAAATATTACAATTTACAGAGGAAGACTTACAAATTAGGATGATGCTAATATAAGACAGATTAGACAACAGTTCGATACTAAAATTATTTACTTGCAACAATATTAATTTACAATAAGTATTCAACATTAACATTTTTTATCCTTGTAAATGTAAAATAAAAACGCAAAACCATGCTAGTTGGTAACCCTGCGTTTTATTAAAAATCTACTCCTAACCCACTCTAAATTTATTCCTGACCCTAACCCCACACTTAACAAGCCCTAAAAAATCACTGACCATGCATCTGATCCTAACCCTAACAGTAATTACCAACAACTAAACCAAAATCATTAGTTTTATATGCCATTATTTAATGCAGAAAAATGTCAATTTCTAAAAATTATTATAAAAACTAGACATACAAATAGATTAAAATAACCTTCCACAACATCTAAATAAATTACTCTCTACTGTGGGCAGTATAAGTGTTCCTTACATATCCCACAAAGTCTAAATAAATGACACGCTACTGATGGTTGTACCAGAGTTCCTTACATATCCACAAGCCTAGCTATCGCTATAGCTGAGACTCCCTTGACCATGGACCAAGACAGTGTGATGGTGTCTTGCTGCCAGTGTTGTTGTAGGTCATGGTCTGCCCATCCTCCCCACATGTCCACCAGAAGTTCACCCTTATAATACACAGCAAAAGCAGAACCTCGTTCTTTCCCACTTTCAAAGTTGCGTCTAAAAACAATTTTAAATTTGTATAGTAATTTTTTTTTCTTTAGGTAAATATTAACATAGTTAGGTATAATACAGCCTTCCATTATATCTGGAGTATATGTTTCTTTTGTCAGTTGATTGACAGCAGATTTGACATTCTACTTCATCAATTAATTAGGGCTGATAGTCTGCTTCATTAATTAACTAGCACTGATTGGCGCTTCATTAATTAACTTGTACTGATTGCTTAACTGAATACACAAGAAAAAGATTTCTTCAAACTCTGGCAATTTGTAAAAAACAAGAATTGTGTACGTGGTTAGATTTTGTATCTGACCACATCTTGAGTATCAACCACATTAAATTATAATCTAAATTAGATAGTTTTAAAATGAGCAACAGTTTAGTTCTGCTAGTCAATTTCAGAAATTTAAAATGTATAATTTGATGGCTACTTCTTAATTTTGAAAATATGGGAAATATATTACCAAAAATAACTCTTGAAAGTATAGAATAATTTTGTTATTTTAATTATTATTCTAACATGAACAATTAGGGAATCTTCAAATTATTGATTGGGCTATCATTGTCAAATCAAATAAGAAAAATGTTGGTATTTTTATGTTAGACTTACTTGTAGGTTTCAGCAACTTTCCTGAAGGAAGGATGGAAAAATCCTGAGACTCTAGGTGGTACTTTAGTGCTTGGAAAATTGTTGACATAATACTGCCAAGCAACTAAACCAACTATAAATGCAATAGCATTTCGTAACATCCCCATTTTAAATACAGATGTTCAAAACAATCTTGACTTGATAAAATAACCTTTTAAATTAAAAGAAAAAAAGATTCATTTTAGAATTAGCGATCCATTGGGCAGATGAAGTAGGTTGAGTTCATATATTTTTGATCTTCGGATATGAAGGGATAATGTGTTCAGCACTATGCCTAGTTAAATTATTTAACAAATATTATTATTTGTTGGCTTTTTAAATGTAAAATAGAAAACAAGTTTCAGTCCTGTCTAAAAATATATAGAATCCATTTAGAATACAACATTTTTTGGACATATGCTCTATATGTCATTTACACACACAATAACACACTCAAACACAATTAAGACAGTAGTTCTTCTACTCAGTTGTTACACTTTTGTGCTGGATAAAAATGACAAAATGGGTTGGCTAGAAACACATCCAGAAATACAGATACATATTATATATGTCTATAATCATGACAGTGTAGGATACCAAGTAGCAAGCAGATGACACTTCAAACTAGAACATACAGTAGCAGTGGAAATCACAACACAAAGACATCCTTTTACTTTAAACATACTATAAGATTTATTTTTTTCACACAGATATCATAACAATAGAAGACAATTGAAGGTGCTCAAGTGGTACTTAGTAAAAAAAAATGAAAACAAGATTTCTTAACAGGAACTACTTACATCCAAGGGCTACACAATTATTGTGGTCAGAATAACTAACACACAGTAGTAGCAAGCACTTAAAACTTGTTTTTGCTAAAACCACTCGAGATGTCAAATTAATGGACAGAAAACAAAAAGGATCTTATCACAAGTGTTTGACTACCAAAAGAAATAATTATTTTAAAAAATATAAAAGTAGGAACATAATTTTTATAACCACAAAACTTCAGTTCATATGATTTTATACACAGCGTTCACATAGAAGAATTGACTTGTTCTTGCTCACCATACTTATATATATATTCACCTATAATATTTAAAAAGTATCAAATAACTTATTAAAGTTTTTAAAAAATTAGTATATCAACATTTTATAGGCTACATCAATTCAATAATTGAATATAGATTTACCAATGTATTATAATAGACTCTTCCAAAAATAGGTGTGTCAGGTTGTTAGTAGTATTGTAATCTCAACTAGTTTTATGGTTACAAATTATGGTTAGGCATATGGTAGGATTAGGGTAAGGTTAGGGTTTTCAGTGACATTAGCAAGCAATGTGTGTATTTTCGTGTGGCGTCAAAACGGCCAATGACAAAACTGCTCCGTCAAAATGACCCCAACAAATCAGCCCCGTCATAAAGGCCAGCGACATATCGACCCCGTCATATAGGCTCCCGTCATTAGGTTCTCGACAAATAGGATCCCACCATTTTGTTTTTCCACAAAACGGTCCCCGTCATTACAACTCCCGACAAATAGGCTCCCGTCATATTGGCTCACGACAAATAGGCTCCTGCTAATTTGGCTCATGACAAATAGGCTCCTGCTAATTTGGCTCCCCACAAAAGGACCACTGACAAGTAATACATTGTATGTATCTCTTGGTCGGCAGGCCTTATTTTTATATGTGTTTATCTATTATAAGAAATAGTATGTTTTAATTTAAGGGTCATCTATGTATGACTTCCATAAACGAGTTGGTTATAGGCAGTTCCAACTCAGTGTGTGGGGAGAGAGATGCACGCTGTACATTCCAACCTGCAGTATGCTAGTAGGTTATCAAAACAAAATGCTGTTATCCTGTAAACATCATGTATATCATGCATTTACACTTCTGTGCTCGCTTTTACGCAACACATCATTACTGTTGTAAATTAAACATTATCAAAATTTTAGAATTGGTGGGATTTAGCTATTAAATTTAACTGTTAAGGGGCTCGATTTGATTGTGAATTGATGTTGGTTCATGAAAAACAATTTCATTCAGGCATTTAAAAGAAATTATAGTGGACGTGGAGGTAGGACAAAATTGAAAATGGTTACTTTTATTTTTTTAATGTTTTATTAATTATTAACTTTTATCAACTTGATTTTTGGTATCTATGTTTTATGAATGCCAATGGACGGCAATAGTAATACTAATACTAATAGTAACAATAGCGATAGATGCTAGATCTAGTTATTAGTAGAACATAGATCTAGAATCTAGTCAATAGTTGTCCAGCTGGTCCAGTCATCATACTCATACTAACATACTTCATAGGAAATAGGACTCATTTGTCTGGAGTCTAGAATCTAGATACTAGATAATATTCTATCGGGAGTCATTTAAGCCTATACCCCTCTAATAATATTAATACATCTACAACTTTTAATTTTAATGGACAACAACAAGTTTATTAGACTAACTATTTATTTAGTTATTTACTATAGCCTAGCAGCTACTGCTAGTGCTAGACCTTGAGCCTTGACTTGACTCGAGTAGTTTTTCGAGTTTGTTTACCTTAGCAGACAAACTTAGTTGCCAGATTAATTTGATGAAATTTTGAAAATAACTTATTTTCTGAAGTAAAAATGTACCAACTGCTGTTTGAGTTATTAGACGGAATATAATTTTTTTTTAAAAATAGATTTAGATCTACATAGCTCTGTAGAATCTAGATCTAGATCTATATCAAAACAAAGCTTGTATAAAACTTTTATCCCAGGCCCTCGCTACGCCTCTGAATAAAACAATACTCCAGATCATGCGATGCCATGTATTTTGTGCATGATTATCCTGCTGGAGTGGAGGTCTATTTTAAATTTAATCCGCTAGATCAATTTTAGTCCTGTGCACATTTTTATAACTTATTATATTATCTTTTGAAACAACATATATGATATTATGTGAAGTTACTGAAGACGGTTTTTTTTTTTTTGAATTTTTTTAGATTGGCATTCATTAAATGTACCCGTATGGCAGCTAGTGGCTAAACAGTGGTTAGGGTAAGGCTTAGATGGTTGCCCGCATACATAAGTTGGCATTACTCATACTCAAAGGGAACAATGTAATCATCCAAAGGTTTAGAGAAATAATACGCTTCTACCGGGGGGGGGGGGGGGTGGACTCCTAAATGTTAGCTATCAAAACTTTATTTCGGTCAAAACTAAACTTAACCAGAATGGACCAGGTTTTACTGTCTCTTAGGCTATACAGAATATACAGAAAGTATTGTAATTGTGCACAAAAGTTTAATGAAATTGACAGTTTTCACCGTTTTACAACTCCATACTTTAACGTACACAGAATATAAAGCATGTATTGCAATCGTGCTAAAAAATCTAAATCGAGATTTTGATACATTTTTGTGTCTTTTAAGCTTCCGAAGCCCGAAAAACTTAATTTTTCAATACTGTCAGTCTGTGTGTGAGTGTGTCTGTAAGCACTATAACTTGAGTACTGTTTTACTAAGGTAGACTAAATTTCATATATAACTATAATGATCTTATACTTGGACTACTCTCAAATTGACACATAGGTAAAAGTTTTTGCTCTCTTGAGTCTTTTAAAATTTTGACTTATTTCCACTGACCGGAAGTAGTACTTTAATTAAGGTATTACCTATTTCTCAAAAATATTACTTCTACTTGACGGATTCGTTTCCAACTTTCCACATAAGTCAAGAATCGTTTACAATACACTGTGACATAAAATGTGACTTAATTATTTGTTTAATTATTTTTAAAAAAAATTATTTAAAGTTTCCGATATAAACTACTGATTTTCCGCTCAAATATTCACACATTGTTTACGTTCATTTGGTGCGCAATTCTTAGTGTTTGTTCGTTCTTTCGTTTGTTTGTTAGCTTGTTTTTCTTATGTCTGAAAAATTGCCCTGTCAAGAAAAACAAAGAATCTGGGAAACTCAAGGGAAATCGATACATTCGAGGTAAATAAACATTGATTTACAAAATTTGCCACAACCCACAAATAGACAAAAAATAAAATGCAAATTGTTATTGTGAACTAAAAGTTTATAATAAAAAGTAACAGGAAACTTGGTTTTTTATCTTACATAAATTGCATGATATAGGGGCTTGTGCCATATCAGTCCCACAGGACTGACTTAACTCCAACGCTTAGAGCGGTAGTATATAACGACACCATCAACTGAAACAGACAACAGACTTGTATTGGGATCGACTGAAACGAAATCAACACAATCACTAAACATGTATGTTGGGCTATGTGCTGCAGTGTTGGTTGTCAACATTTTTCTCTGCACTGGTCAGTTCAATATTTTAATTGCAATATCATTTTTTCTCTGTTCTGCTGAGGTTTATTTTGAATGACTTTATTTTAACTTTAAATGTGAGTGGAAAAAACATTTTGAGCTTGGAACAATGTTAATGTTTAAAGTATGTTCCTATTCAATAATCCTGAATTTATCTAACACTTTTGCCAATATAACCGTATTTATTTTCTGTAGTGATCAACGCAACAGCGGCTAAACCTTTTAATTTAATAACCTCGAAAGCTTTTGGTAATATCCCTTTTTACTTTCTCGTATATACGAAGTATAGAGAAAGTCTTGTAATCGTGCAAAAAAAAAATCGAGATTTTTATAAATCTCGACGTTTTACACCTCACTGATACGGAAAAACATAATTTTGCAATCTTGTCCGTATGTCTGTGTGTCTGTCTGTGTGTCTGTCTGTCCGTGTGTAAACACGATAACTTGAGTACCGTTACAGCTAGGGTGAGGAAATTTCGCATATAAGTATTTTATCAAAATCGTAGATCCGTATCAAATTTTGAGCGATTTCCGATAACCGGAAGTGGTACTTTTTTGCTTTGAAGTTTTCAAAAGCCTATAACTTGAGTATTATTTCAGATAGATAAATGAAATTTCACATGCAAGTAAAAGATCTAATTCTCTACCTTCTGTTAAATTTTGAGTAATTTCCGTTGACCGGAAGTAGTAATTTACGCTACTTCCGATTTCTCAAAAAACGCATGTAAATTTTAAAAGTACTAATAATATTGCGCACTATTATGCGCTTTTTTATTTGGCGTTCACTTGGTGTGCAATTAATTTGTTTACGAGATTTTATTCTATTTTAAAAACTTTAAGTATTTAAAATGGATTAAAAATCATGTCTATAGCCCGAGTTCCCATCCCCTGTTATTTTATATAAGAATATTCAAGAAAGTTTAGGGGAGATCACTCCGGTTTATTATATCATGCTTGGTTTTTATACGCAGGAGATGACATTTTTAAGAACACTTCTCATCCTGAAAAGGTAATTAAAAGATTAAATTAATAATTATTTTTCATTCGCTCCGCTATCTGTATTAATCATTTGATTAAAATTGACATTCACATAAAATATAAGGTAACGGCGTGGGCGAATGGTAGGGCATACGCAGTGGCGTAGCGAGGTCGGGTGTCACGCGGTGCGGCACTTAATGGTGTCACCCCCCCTCCCCCAGAGAGGCGTAGCGACCCTTCCCGGGGATAAACTTTCAAATTTTCGATTTGCACACCCCCCTCGCTACACCTCTTGGCATACGACTACTAACCCGAAATCGCGATTTCGAATCTGGGTTCGAGTCCTTAGAACGTCTCTGAGTCCACCTATCTCTGATGGGTATATGACTCACATTAGGGAACGTACTAAGTACTAGCTATAGGCATAGTGCTGACCACAAGTGGCGTCGCTAGGTCGGGTGTCACCCGGTGCGGCACTTTGTGGTGTCACCCCCCCCCAAAAAAAAACGATATATATATATATATATATATATATATATATATATATATATATATATATATTACTAAATTTGTACTTAAAATTATAAATGGGACAGGCAAAAAAGCATTTATATATTTATAAAAGAATATATATATATATATATATATATATATATATATATATATATATATATATATATATATATATATATATATATATATATATATAAATGGTGTCATCCGGTGCGGCCCGCACCCCCGCCCCGCCTTCCCTACGCCTCTGCTGACCACACTATCCCTTCATATGCCGAGGCAACACAAACAAGTTATTTCTTTATCACTTACCTCATGTTCCGTCATGTTTGAAAACGTTTCATCAGGCCAATTGTGACAAGAGCTCAATGAAAGGCGATATGCTTGCAAGATCCCTTTTGAGTTCTCCTGTTGGTTTAGACCAACTTTGTGACACCAAAACTGATGGTGGAGGGTGGATTCTGCTGATGGTAAAATTATAATAATCTTAAAATTGTATGTTATAAACCGGGCATAGAAGAATGTGTTCATTGCGGGGAGGGTGTTGGGTGGTGGAGTTCGAGGGTTGTGTAAAGCAGCAAAGATCTTTTCCAATAGGTTAACGCGGTTATCTAGTATAGTAATGAATGTTTTTATTTTATATTTGTTTATTTAATTGTCCGATTTTAAAAATCTCACTAATTAATTGTAAATGAATCGCATTTTTAAATTAAAAGCTAAGGGGAAAATTTTAAAAATATAAAAACTATTAAATAGTAGTGATTACAACATTTTTAGTTAAGGCAATGTTAAATCAAAATTTATTTTTAATTTTTTTTTATCTTTGGACGGTTATCTAGCGCAATACTTTTCTTTTTCTATTGTTTACGATTTTCTAAAGTTATTTTTTAAATATTTTCTTTTCTCAATTGAATAAACATGACATCAGCTTTCAGTGGTAGCTTAATATTTGTTTTAAAAACAATTTTTTATTGGTTGTATATTAGCCATACACATTTTTTTTTCTAAAATGTAATTTAATTTATCCGACATTACATAATAATATATCTTATAAAGCTAAAGTCAATTCTTATATTTAAGTTTAAGTATTTCAAAAATGTTTCCAAAGTAAACAGAAATTTCATTGTGTTTATATAATTACTAATGCATTGAATAAAAAAAAATGAAATATGTTTGTAAAAACTGTAGCAAAACTTAGAAGTACTATGCGATTTTATAGACGAAATTTTATGAGGTTATTTTTCAGCGCCGGTCTAAAGGTGATGTATTCTTTGCAAGACCTTGGACCGATTATAGGTATGGATTTGGTACATTCTGTGGTGATTTTTGGCTAGGACTGGAAGAAATTCATCAATTAATGTTGGTACGATATTCTGTAACACGTTTATCTAAATCATTTCATGTTGTTGTTTGTTTTTTTTTGAGATTACCTACATTTTACGGATACATTTATGTAAAAATAGTACATATACATATAATAGAAAACTAACGTATACAAATACACAAACATATTTGTTAACTTATACACATACATTTACTACACATACATATACGCCTACACGTACAACGGAGCTGGATACCCCCCCCCCCGTTAATACACCCTGGAGCAATTACCCCCCGGGACATAACCTCCCGCCAAAAGCAATGTGGTAGGACATTAACCCCCTGTCAATCGCCCCCACCCCCACCCCTTTTCAACTCTGGTCAACTAGAGATAAGTTTAGGAAATGGAGATGGATAGGAATACTGATGTTTCGATATATAATGTTTTCTAAAAAGATGAAACTGATACTGATGTTTCGATATATAATGATTTCTAAAAAGATGAAACTTATAGTGATGTTTCGATATCTAATGTTTTCTAAAAAGATGAAACTGATAGTGATGTTTAGATATAGAATGTATTCTAAAAAGATGAAACTGACACTGATATTTAGATATAGAATGTATTCTAAAAAGATGAAACTGACACTGATATTTAGATATAGAATGTTTTCTAAAAAGATGAAACTGACACTGATATTTAGATATATAATGTATTCTAAAAAGATGAAACTGACACTGATATTTAGATATAGAATGTATTCTAAACAGATGAAACGTATAGTGATGTTAAAATAAAGAATGTTTTCTAAAAAGATGAAACTGCATTCCCCTAAAATGTCACTGTTACCTATCAGCATGTTAAAAATGAAATGAAAAGAACCAGTGCTGGACGCCCCGCCTATTTCAGCTATAATGGACTAAGAACAACCCGCGATGAATGTTGTTTTAAAATGTTATGAAGTTACCCACAGCCAAGGCTGTTTTTTTCGTTTAGCACAGAGCCTACAAGGAAAGGACACGCTGATTCACGAATGACTCAGATATAGCTATGTCGGTAAGGTTGATTGGCGCTTTGGCTTTTGTGCCGCTTGCAGATATTCCAGATGTTTTTGAAGAACTTTGAGAAGACCAATTCAACGAAATGTAGCAACTCTTGAAATATTTTGATGATTCTTATATTGGCAATAAAGCTTTTCCCCTTTACTTGCCTAACATCTGGAACATCGCCTCGTTGAAAATAAGTTAACTCGCATAAACTCAACGTTACAGGTTGTGTTTTGAAAATTGTAAGCTGCAGTTGATGCTGACCAATTTCTGTTTTTTAATTATTGTTCTCTAAAGAGAGAATGGTTTCAACAAAGAAATGATCGTTCAGCGGTTTGGTGGACATTCATTTGAACGAATATGGAACGGAGTGGTCTAGCGGTAGAGAGCTGGACTGCTAACCCGTAAGTCTCGAGTTCGAATCCAGGTTCAAGTCAGTAGACCGTCCCTGAGTCCACCCAACTCTGATGGGTACCTAACTCACGTTAGGGAAAGTAAAAGCGGCTGGGCATAGTGCTGAGGTCATATGCCGAGGTCACAGAAGCAAGTGAACTCTACTTCACTTGCCCCACAGACCGGCAGGTTTGAAAGGGAAACGTTTTTTTACATTTGAACGAATAAGCAAATAAAATATCGCGACATCAGTTCTCGGATTCTAACATTGTTAAGGACTATGCAAAAATAGATCGCATGGGCTTTTTTTGGTTGTGTCAGGACCGGCCTTAACTAAATCAATATTCAGAAATGTATAATTTACTTTACATTGTTAATTTTATTTCTTTTGAAACTCGGATTTTGTGTATGTCATTTTGAGCGGGGGGGGGGGGGGGGGTGACGGTGTACTGATGGGGTAGATGCCAGGGGCTATTGACGTGGGGGGGGGATAATGTCCTAGAAACCCACATACACATACAAATACATGCACCAATACATTTATAATACACATACCTGAACAACAATAGCTATGTATAAGAATACATAATCGTTTTCATATGAATTGTTTAAAATATGTATCGCCTATTTAAATCGATAGTTAGGACGATGGGAACTAAGGGTGGATATAAAGTTCAAAGGTAAAGATTACTACGCACACTACAATCTGTTTGAAGTCGAAAGCGAGGCCCAGTTCTACAAGCTGCACGTTGGTGGATTCTCGGGGAACGTCGGCGATTGTCTCTCTTTTCACGACGGTATGAGGTTCTACACATCAGACAAACCTACCAGCAACGACTGTTCTGGAAAGTTCAGCGGGGGGTGGTGGTATCAGCAGTGTCATCGGGCCTACCTGACAGGTATATGGGGGTCGAGAGAATATGCTAAAGGGATCTATTGGAACTCCTTGTCCCCGGGGCATGAGAGCCTCGATTCAGTAGAAATGAAAATCAGAAAATTGTAGTTTTCCTGTTTAGACCTCCATAATGCTTGTTACGTTCCCCACCCGCCCCTATGCTTCACACCATCAACAATATGGCAAGTTTCAGGTATATTAAGTTACAAAAAAAAAATGTCTACAGTTTACTAAGAATATGATTTTGAAGAAATTTTTTCTTAAATAACACTAGAGAATTCTAGCAAAGTCGTAACAAGATGTAAAACTTATTAAAAAGTTATTTCGATTTACAAAAATAATTTTAACATCGAAATAACAACTTTTAAAGAAAGTCTATTTATTTCATAAATGCAACATATTTCTTCATCCACGTTTTTCTCAAACCCCTCCACCCCTACTCAGTGGCGTAGCGAGGTCGGGTGTCACCCGGTGCGGTACTTAATGGTGTCACCCCCCCAGAGGCATAGAGACCCTTCCCAGGGACAAACTTTCAAATTTTCGATTTGCACCCCCCCCCTCAAACTTTCGATTTGCACCCCCCCCTCGAGTTTTCGATTTGCACCCCCCCCCCCTCAAACTTTCGATTTGCACCCCCCCCCCTCGAGTTTTTCTCTATATATTTTGCTATTTTTTGCCTTGGTGTCACCCCCCTAAATGGTGTCACCCGGTGCGGTCCGCACCCCCCGCCCCCCCCCCCCCCCCCTCGCTACGCCCCTGCCCCTACTCCATCTCATAAGTGTGACGTTAATTAGGAATGAATCTTGCACTTTTAAATTAAACTCAGAAACATATTTTGATCCTACTGGTACTTGTCCAACAAATCACTGTTTTTAATTTATACAATTATTTTGAATTTATTCTTTAAAATAAAGTTTATGTCACGCTGTAAAAAAAGTGTTAATAAAAAATTGCTTTGATGCTACAAAATACTCTTTCTTAAGTTTGTTTCGTTATTCTTTAATCACCTCGAATCTAAATTTATTAGAAGTCCTCCTGGGCAGTGCCGGTCCTTCGTTTAGCTGCGATAGAAAATGACTTATGAAGGTATAAAAATTATAAAGGTTTTTAAAGGAGGGTCAGTCAAACAGACATCTTATGGATAGGTAATGTGTAAAAGTAAAAACGCTTTATTAAAACAAAAATCATTTTAGTGTGTACAAATCCGAACATTGGTTCTAAAGTCGTGTTTTAGCGTCTGTATCTATAATTTAGTTGCTGGATATAGCTTATAATATGTGTGCTTTAGGTGTAGGATCGTTGTTTAGTGTGTACTCAAACGCCCCATTCCATGATGATGATGATAAAGACAACATATTATGTTGTCTTTATCATCATTCCTGTGGAGCCAAGGGACACAACCTATGCGTCGTACTCGGTTCCTGGCGATTCCTGTAAGTTGGTTCCACGACATTCCGGCTCAGTGATTCTTCCAAACTTTTTTCTCCGGGGGGGGGGGGGGGGGTAGACTTTCTTGGGGGGGGGGGGCGAAGAGATGCCTAGAAGAAACTCTGTTCCGGCTGCTTCTGCTTCACTAACAACTGACCTTTTTCAATTTAGTTTTGGCCTAACTACTTTCCTCTTTCCTTGGGGATTTCAATCTAGTGTCTGATGTTGCTAATTGTTTAAATTAAGTTTGCGCAAATTGTGTCCAATTCATCCCCATTTGCGCTTTTGTATTTCTTTGCCATCACGGTCTTGCCCAGTTTTATCCACAGTTCGGCATTGGTAATTTTTTTCAGGCCACCTGATTTTTAATATGCGGCCAGGCATCCATTTATGGAAGTCTATAACCTAGCAATAGATTTAGGATCCTTTCGTAGTGACCAGATTCAGGGTTTGTATAGTGAGATGAGAAACAGTGTCTGAGTTCAGTTTCTATGTAGTTTTGGAGATAGGTGCAATGAAGTAGGCACGGGGCGTTGGGATTTGTAGAATGTGTTTAGCAAAATGGTTAAAAGTTTCGGGATTTGATGAAAGTGTTTCTCTAACCCGTAGCTCCATAAAGAGCCGACATCAAAGTTTACTAATGCAGTTCACAGTTGCATTCTCTTCTTGATATAAGTCCGAGTATTTCTTTAAATTTTAATTGGACGTTTCTGTAGTAATTAAGTAATGGGGAAGGGTTAATAGCTGGGCTTGTGATAGGCTAAGGCGGAGCTAGGTGTTTAGAGGAAAGGTTAACAGCTTAGATTTATGAGGATGATGTTCAGTGGGATGATCAACATCTTTGAAATGTTGACAAAGTGCTTGGAAACGTTCAAAACTTAAAGACGTAAAACGATGCTGGAATAAGGAAGTTTTACAATTGGAAAAGGAAAGGTTTCTCTCCCGGGGTACCACTACCTTAGCACGGTATAGAAAAACATAAAAAATATTTACTTTCACCAGTATCCCAGTATCCGCCACCACCCTATCTGCCCCAGGGGGGGAAATTCTGGAGGAAACCCCTAATTATGTGTGAATACATATTAAACATTTTAAATACAGGACCTACAGGTTGTACCGAAAACCTTAAATCAAGGCTTGCAGCATGGGACCAATAAAAGATAATACAATTTAAAATAAAAAAAAAAAACTGGTCCAAAAAAATAAAATTGCCCGAACATAATAAATTACAAAACTAAAACAAAATAATTGAGATGCGAGAAATGTGCATGAGATCACATTGTCAGATCTAGATCTAGATATCAAAATCTTTTTAAAAAATCAGAAACACTAAAACAAGAGGTATTATTTCTCAAAGTTTAGTTGAAAGTGCATTGTTATACTTTCAGTTTGCATCGTTTTTTAAAGATCGTTCTGATGTTGAACTTCTCGTTTAGCTTCACTTTTTTTCGTAGGATCCTTCGTTCTTGTAGCCCTGGACGTACCCTGAGCCGCTGTCCACATTTTCTCGACCCTCCAGGCCTTTCCCCTTGCCCGACTCGTCGAAACGTTCCTTGTGTGTGCCGGTGTAGTTGCTCGTGTCCGTCAGCCTCGCTGTGGTAGCGTCAACTTTCATTTCCTGTCAGATGATAGGTCACGTGACAAAATGGACGGATTCATTTTATTTTTCTGCACAAGAAAGCTACATAGAGCTATTATTAGAATATGCTATGATATCTTTTGTTTTGTTTTTGCAGTATTCTAGGCTAAAGCGTTTTAATGTCGTATGTGTCATCTATAAAATATACAGGATATTTCCATGAAACTATCGAAATGTAACCACAAGTAGTCTAAAACAAAACAGACCAGCCCAAAAACTTCATAAAGCTCACATTAATCATTATTCTAACGTATTTTTTTTTTCAAAATCATTTGCGTTTTATAAAACACCCAAAAAAAAAATGGCTCCATTGTTCAAATACATCGTTAAAAAATCTGAACCCTTCCTTCCTGGTATCTGAAATCATTTCTGGACGATCATCTTATAAATTTTACCCAGCATTGTTGTGTTGTCTACCTTACACAAAGTCTACCTAAGTTATACACATTGTTACACACTTAATTTATAGCACTTTCCTTTGGCAGTAGTGTAGTTCTGCGCCTGGTCTTTACGTCTTGATCTTGTATTACCTACCTTTGTTTTGAGGTCATGCTTAGCCGCAATTTTGCCCTTGAGGTCATTGCAGAACTGGACCACCTCACCGTCTGTGAGCTCTGGACGTTTGGGAAGCTTCTTCTTGTTCTGTATGACGCAAGCGGCCAGTTCAGACAGGAAGTCGCCGAAAAACACCTCGAATGTCAACTTTTTCCTAGAGAAGGAATACATTTTTAGGAAATTGACGAAATTTTTTAATAAGAGCAAAAAATGTAACAAAATATAAGTGTTTATTTTTAGAACTACTATTTTTTTTTTAATTTAAAAATGTAAGCAATCTCCGTGTAGGGTAAAAACAGGCTATGCTAGGTTATTTCTGGAAGATTCACAATTGTAGTTAACACTTGGTCTAGTCTTTGCATTTAGCACTGACATTTTTTTTTTAAATTTTATTTCAAAATCCTATGAAAACTACTGGAATTTGAAGAGAAAAAAATTAAGCAGAAAATCGTATAAAAGGCAAAAAACAAGCTTCTATAACAGCCAAGTATATAAAAAAATTAAACAGGCTGTTTCAATTATGAATATGTCTTCGCCAATAATTAAGTAAAACTCTGTTTAATTATATTCCTCATGAAAACATTTGAAATCCTAGTAACTAAATAAAATACATTTTTTCAACACACTTCTACGTTCAAACATGAAACAAATTTAGAACGTTGTTTTAAATGACTCGCAAGATGCAATATGTAATAACAAAAGCCCCTTGATCGAGTTACATTGCACTTTATCGTCCCCATAGCTTTATGCGATGTTTTATTAATATGCCATGAGCTAAGCTTTATCTGAACCAGAGTCTGGATAACAGAATATTTTTACGTCGCATTCTGCGACATCAAAGGTAGGATTTTGTTTTGAAATTATCTGTGCTTTCTCTGTCCTCGTTCACAGAAGGACACATTAAAATATAAGGTGCTTCATCAAGATAGTAAACTAACCAATAGTATAAAGTTTAGCAATATAATATAAAATACAATAATTTAAAGATAATATAGTTAAGCGGTCGTCGCTAAATGACGTCACACTCGTAGGGGGAGGGAGCCCGTAATTTTGTGACGGTGTGTGATGATGGGGAGGGGGGGGGGGGGTTCAGATGATGCGACTAAACTCTTTTGCATTATAAAAAAGCAATGTTAGAAAACGAGTTTTTAGCCGTTATTTCGCGTTTTGGATAACTGTTTTAATTAACTGTGATAGAATTTTATTAAAATACTATGTTAGTTCAGACAAGATTATGGAAAAATATCCATGTTTTAAGAAAAATTCAATTGCAATTTTGTGTGTGTGTGTTTGGGGGGGGGGGGGGTTGTAGGCTGAGGTGTGACGTCATTTTAGGTGAAGGGGGGGGGGTCTGGCTTTTTGTTACGATGTGTAACCGGGGGGGGGGGGGGGAGGAAGGAAAAATCGTCAAAAAAGCTTGACGTCATTTATGAATGACCCCTTAATACTTAAGTAATCCGTCATACCGCTACATCGACAACTTGAGAGGTTGAAACTGCAAACCATTACTGGATATTTCTCGTAGACAAAAGAAGTGCACACCAAGTGAACGCCAAATAAAAAGTGCATAATAGTGCGCAATATTATTGGTACTTTAAAAATTTACATTAGTTTTTTTGAGAAATCGGAAGTAGCGTAAATTACTACTTTCGATCAACGGAAATTACTCAACATTTAATAGAAGGTAGAAAATTAGATCTTTTACTTACATGTGAAATTTCATTTATCTATCTAAAATAGTACTCAAGTTATAGGCTTTTGAAAAATTCAAAGTAGGAAAAGTACCACTTCCGGTTATCGGAAATCGCTCAAAAGTTGATACGGATCTACGATTTTAATAAAATACTTATATATGAAATTTCATCAACCTAGCTGTAACGATACTCAAGTTATCGTGTTTACACACGGACAGACAGACAGACAGACAGACAGACACACAGACATACGGACAAGATTGCAAAATTATGTTTTTCCGTATCAGTGAGGTGTAAAACGTCGAGATTTGTAAAAATCTCGATTTTTTTTTTTGCACGATTACAAGACTTTCTCTATACTTCGTATGTACGAGAAAGTAAAAAGTAAAGTACACTTTCAACCCTGACGGTCTGGAAAGGTAGGTGAAGTAGACTTCGGCTGTTGCTGTGAACTCAATATGAAGGGATAGTGTGGTCAGCACTATGCCCAGCCGCTTTATATTCCAAGACATGAAGTAGGTACACATCATAGCTGGGTGGAATCTGGGAGCTTCTACTGATTCGAGCCAGTATTCGAGGTTGAGACTTTCTGGTTAGAAGTCGAACGGTCAACCGTTTAACCACACCCTCCCCTTTAACTGAATACTTGCTGCTTTATATCACAGTAGTTACACTTACGTCTTTTTATCGCAGTATTTCGGGAAAACTTGAGCCTCGGCCGCTTTAGCCACATCGTCACCACAACACTCTTTCAGCATCTTGTTGACGCCTTTGTCCTTGATCTCCTCCTTGTCGGCGTCAGACAGCTTCTGGCCCACTGACGTCACCTCCACAAAGTGATGGAAGGTCTGGTGACAGTGCTGTTTCACCTCGCCCATCTTTGCTTCAAACAGCTCAACACAGGATGTACAGTGCTAGTCCTCACTACCGAGATGTATGCGTGTTTGTGTACGTCTATTAGATGTGTTCATTTGATGGTTTCTTGTACAAAGATGATGACCTGATGTTTGTTGAACACATTTTAAAAGTTGGATGAAGAATATTCGTTATACATTGACATTTCCACCTATTAGCCATTCCAACTTATCCGTTAGCCATACCCATATATCATATCAGTGGCGTAGCCAGGATCGTCTCAAGGGGGGGGGGGGGTTCCAATTTTTACCCGGGGACAAACTTTCGATTTGCACCCCCCCCCCCCCCCTCTCAAACTTTCGATTTGCACTCCCCCCCCCCCCCTCAAACTTTCGATTTGCACCCCCCCTCATACTTTATATATATATATATATACCGAGGGGTCTATGGGTGGGGGGTTATGACCCCCCCTAACCCCCCCCCCCCTGCCTACGCCACTATATCATATACTCATTTACCCACTTGTCATACCCGCCTACCCATCAGCCATAACCACATATTTTTATCCCTAATATGAGATCAACCTCAGACAAAACGTTTCATCTAAAGACACGGAAGAACAATTGGGTATCGTATCTAGGGTTTTAATCTGCTGATATGGCCGAGAGTGGGACGGGTTTAGTGTGATTAGTAATAAGGCCAAAATAAAGATTAGGATTAGCAAAACAGGTTGGATTTGACCTCGAAAATTCTAAGGGGGAGGGGGTAATTTTGTCAGTATTGGTGATTCAAGGCTAGAAGAGGTGTTATGCAGAGGCTAAAGTCATTGCCTAATGCAATACTTAGCGTTATTGTAATGGCTAAGGTAATCATTAAGGCTAGAATTGGAATTATGTATAACGCATAAGTCATTGCTAAAGCTAGGATTAGAGTTATAGAGAAGGCTAAAGACATTGCTAAAGCTAGGATTAAGACTGTGAAAAACATTACAATCTTCTCCACAAATGACCAAGTTTAATATATAGATAGTACCGCCAAAACAAATCTTCTGACTCGAAACCTAATGATAAATTACAGAAGTAATGGACGTGACCGAGTTGTCGAGAATCCTCCCATCATTATTGTCGACAAGGATGAAAAACTGTTGTTTTTTCAAAAGCCTATAACTTGAGTACTGTTTCTGATAGATACGAAATTTAACATACAAGTAAAAGATCTAATTATATGTTCTCTGTTTTTGAGTAATTTCCGGTGACCGGAAGTAGTACTTTACACCCTATTTCCGATTTCTCAAAAAACGCACATGCATTTATAAAGTACTAATATTTTTGACTTTTGATTTAAATTTTGCTTAGTTACCGACAATACTAAAAACACCAATTAGATCCAATCTTTAGTAGATCTTGAGTTCAACAAATATCATACGGTCAGATTATTATAACTATATTTATTTTAACAACATCGTACATGATTTAAAAAAAAAAAATTAATGGGCCTTTCTAATACTTCCGAGACTATTCTCGGTTGTGTCCTTTGACTAAGCTCATCACAAGAATTTATGGATATGACTAACTTATATAAAGAGAACCCCATAATGTCAAGTTCAAATGTAGAGTCTACATCTAGATCTACCAGTGCAAAAAACTCGGGCAAAACTAGGCTTCAATAAATAAATACAATAGTTAATATTATAGTGTCACTTCCTAGCAGTTAAATCACATAAAATGTAGGACAAGATAGAATCACAATTTGTTTTTAAAAAATACTTTAAAAGGACACAAAAGGTCGGCTAACTTACAGTTCCTAGTTTGAAGCTTACTTTGAGGAAAGTTTTCAATTTCCTTAATCAAAAAAGTGGCTTGTTGTTTTATTTAGAGCACAGTCAAAAATTGTAATTTGACGTCATCAAAATGGAAAGTATACATTCGATGGGAATTGTGTGGTATGTTTATACTTATAGACTAATTAAAGCAGAACCCTGAAAATATCTCTTACAAGACATAGAAAAAAAATCTGCTACTCTAGGGGCCTACATATTGTGGTTTCTCCACTTTTCAAGCAGTTAAAAAAAAAACAGAGGTGTAATACAGTTTGATCATTTTAGTTATGTCTCATCATGAAAGTATGCCCAAACCTTTTGGTGTTTTTTTTTAAATAAAGTTTGGTTAAGTTTAGGTGCACAAATAAATTTAGTATACATTTTTAAGATTTTGAGTTTGAAAAAATGTAAGTGTGCTTAATATGTTAATGTCAGCTTAATTTTTTTAGTGAGCTACAACATAAATATTTAAAATATGTTTAAAAGTTTGCTTTCAGACAATTTTTATTGCACTGTAAAATATGCTCAAAAATTTAAATTCGACCAAACTCGAAATTATCTTGGCTGTGTTGAGTGTGTTTGAACAAAGGGGCGTAGACTGACAGGAAGATTTCATCCGGAATTAATTTAGAAAGTATATACTTTTAACAGTGTCCGCCCCCCCCCCCCACTCCGAAAATTTCAAGTGCCCACCCCTAACCCTAACCCCCCCCCCCCTCCAGGAGAATAAAGTCTGGAAGAAACACTGATTTCATCTTTCAAACCAACTTATTGCCTATGGCGAAATATCAAATCGTTAAAAAATCATTAGTTATAGATCATATGCAATAATTATACATTAGTTATATAAGTATTACTTTATAGCAGGTATCCTACTTTAAGACCTATCTATGCTGAGTTGATACATATCTACTCTTATCACATTTCAGTTAGCTTTACTAGTTGTTTTGAGTACGCGTGGTCGAATGGTGGAACATTTGTCTGCTAACCCGTAAATCTCGATTTCGAGTCCTTGGCTAGGGTTGATGCACTTCCCTGAGTCCACCCAACCCTGATAAGTACCTGACTTACCTTAGGGTGAGTAACATGTGTAAGAGATCTAATGCGCGACCAAAGCTTTAATTAAAGACAGCAACGTTGTTTTTTCTTCATATTTCAGTGCAATAAAGGCTTGTTATTATTGATGTTTTTATATTTGTTTTATTGATAATAGAAATAATGCTAGTGAATGCATCGAGCTTATTATAGATGTAGAGGGTGATGATTGGCCACAGCGTAACAGCCAATTAACGAAAATAATTAATCACATAAAAATAGAAGTGGGATGAACGAGCAATTGGCAAAACTCCAGATGTATTGAACATGAGAAATTTATCAGACATTTATTTCCTTATCTCTGGTCCTCTTACATTTTATTTCAGCTTTTTCTCTTATTTCTTTTTTTAAAAAGCATTATTTTCTAAAATTGTATGTTATTAATGCCTGTATAATTTAAACTGTGCTTTTTAAAATGTAAGACCTAATCATTGAAATGTCTTTGATCATTAGTTAAAATCTCTCTGCATTGAAAAAAAGGAATATGTAAAATATCACTGTGTACTGAAAAACAAACAGCGATAAACACAACAGTAGAATCGTTTTAAACATGTATTTAAGCTCTGGAATCTACGGGATGGTGGGGGGGGGGGGGGGGGGGGTGGAGACACGGACATAAATTAGATCTGTAGTTGACGCACAAAAACCTGAGCTACTGACAGTTATACGGAAGTAAGGTTTGAGACAGACATAATTAAAATTAATTAATATCACACGATCCTGACAAATTAACATCAACTGCTAATTAATCGAGTTGTGTCAATTTATTAAAGACGTCTTTAAATAGCTTTAACTTGAACTGCACTTTTCTGACGAAGGGAAAGATTGCAGAACTCAACACAACAATAAATATTTTCTAGGTGGTCACCATGTGTCCTAGACACACAGGGCAAAAGTTGATATTTTCTAGACGCAGACCTACACACAAGGTAAAAGTTGATATTTTCTAGACATACAGGGTAAAAGTTGATGATATTTTCTAGACACCGACCTACAGTTCTACGCCAAAGCTCGATAATTAGGCAACAAAGTGCACACACAAGTGCTGATAATATTGACGTAGCTATATTAAATGTTTGATTTTTAACTTAGCACCAGATAAAATTGATTTTCCTACGTCAGGATGTACTGATGTTGCTGGTCTTGTCTGAAGTTAATGCAGAGCTAATTACTGCCAGGAAGGACTGTTGATGTCAGCTCCAAGGTCGACATTTGATCAAATTTGATGCTTGAATTAACGAACGAACTCCTGATAGCAGCAGTTTTAAACCTTCACATTTATCTTTCAGCCCTTTGCTCCAGAAGGCCCACAAGAGAATACGTCCAGTAAGTCATTGACCGTGGAGCAGGTAGAAACTAATAATGTTCATATTTCCAGAGCCACAATGACACAAATAAAGAAAAATAAAATCTCAAAATCTGATTGGCAGCCGCAGCTTTTGGAATAATTTGCAAATAGATGGAGTAGAGCCCAATAAATCATAATACGATTATTTGCACACAAAAATAAAATATGGATAGGAAAATGGCAAAATAAATAAACTTTGGAAAATCAAAGAGAGTGCACATAGCCTCGCTTTGTGTGATGCAAAGTTCTAGTCGTATGTTACACCTCAGAAATTGCAGTCTACAATGATCTTGTACTAGCGTTGTGGTCCATGGCATAAGTCCTGCTGGTGACTGTCAAACGGTCAAGCAGGTTGTTGACAGGTAACCTGTAGACGGTCACTTGACTTAATCCTCTGTACTTCTCACTTCTAACACAACCCGCCATTTTATCCGGCCCACGGCTGTTGATTTTGCAGCCTCCCAAGACATCCCTGCAGGCTTCAGTTCTTCAAGAAGGCTCAGCTGTCATAATATATATTGTTGACCGTTGGTTTAAGGCTCCGTTGTTTTTGTCAGATGTCCTTAACTTCCGTCTTTTCCCTATCGCCCTTTGTATTCAGCCTTTATCAGCGGCCTGAACAAAAAATGGATGTTATCAGTTAGTCAAAATGTTAGCACCCTCAATGGGAATATGAAGTGGGGTTTTATCTGTCTCTGTGACCTCGATAAGGAGGAATAGTGCGGTCAGCTTTATGTAAAGTCGGACTTACTTTATCTAATTTGAGTTGGGTATTTATAAGAGCTGGGTGGACTCGAGTTCGTCCTAAGGTGCCAATACCAAATCAGACTTTCGAACTCGAGACTTTCGGGTAGAAGGCAGGGGCTCTAACCATCCAATCACAAAGTCCGGTATATAAACAAATTAAAAATAAAGTTATTATTCTCTTTTAAGGGGTAGGTTTAAAAATTCACTAGCTAATCGATTTTTTTTTTTTAAATCTGAAGATTACCTTAGTCAGCAAGTTTTGGTACTGCCCTATTTTTTTACAAGTTTACTAGTTATTGTGTCATTGTTATACAGTGATGTAGAACTTGTCATGTTTTAGTTTCAGAGTTCTCTCGCCTGCCTCCACACTCCACCCCCGAGATTTGCGACTTATGAGAAAGGGGGGGCGAGCAAGGGGACAAGTGTGTACCCGAGTGGTGTGTCCTACTCGTGTGTCCTACATTGATTTGTGTAAACACGGGGACGAGTGTGACGTACTACGTAAGATACGGGGTTCCCACGCAGCCCGTGCCGCTAGCTCGCGAGAATTATCGACCTTATTTCCCGCCATTCCATCCCTCTCTGGATGGCATTTTCATAATAAGATTCAGGGAAGGCCGGCTCAGTGAGGGGGAGAAAAAAAATCATGCGACGTCATATTGGTGCCATGAATATTCCAGCGCTACCTGCCATATTGGAGCTGGTGGGGATGCTGTAGTCACCGTTCTGTTAGGGATTAACATGAGTATTTTATTTCTTTGAAATTCAGGATTCTTGTAGGTCCGGGGGGGACGGACAGACTCTCATAATGGACAGGGTATCCCTTGTGTTCATTCTAGTGTTAGGATCGCTGCTAGCTGACCAAGGCTGTAGTTCTGGAGCCTCGCTCAACCCTTTCCCGCTAGGCACCATAGGTAAGCATTCTCAAAACACAAGAACAAACGCTTTAAAAGTAACCTATATTTTAAAAATACACATTCCTATTTTACAGTTCAGTGATTTTGTAAACATTTATAATTGTAATAATAATTTGAATTAATTATCTCGGTGAAATAGCCGGGTGATTTTGATCAAACCGTAAACAAACGCTACCATATGTGTCGAGTAGAAGATGTTTACTGATGTTCTCCGCACGGTGTGGGTGGTATGACGTAATGGGTGGTGGTGTTCTTTCACTATCGATCTCCAAACTTAAATTTAAGCGATTGATTGACGGCTGTGACGTAAGAGGTGAGCGTGTGGGTGGTGTGTGGGAGGGTCGGAGGGGGGGGAGGGTCTGGGGGTGGGAGGGTAATTTCGGGCGCTGGTTTTTTTCCCTGCCAGTGTGCTGTTTGTTGTGTATTATGTGTATTACGTGTGATGCATGTTGTGTATTATGCCTGGTGTGTGTTATGCCTGGTGTGTGTTATATCTGTGGTGTGTTATGCCGGTTGTGTGTTATGCTTGTTGTGTGTTATGCTTGTCCTCATTCAGTATGGTGTGTCTTGTCACTGTGATTAGTGTGATACTCTTATATGTGTGCTGTACCGAACTAGTCTACTATATTTATCATTGTGTATCCAATTCTATGTACAGCCCATTCTCTTTGTTGAACTTTTAGTGTGTATCCCATTCTCTGTGTTGACCTTTTAGTGTGTATCCCATTCTCTGTGAATTGTTATGAGTGTATAGTTTATACAGTTTATACATTAGTTCCCCTATTAATGTGTAGCCGTATCAGAATAATGCCCTACCACTGTAATGTACTAACTATTTCTATGAAAAGAAATCCTTTAGTTTGAATGGCTTTAATAAACATATGTTTTCTTTGTTTTTTACTGAGTTGAAACGAAATATTTAATTAATTATATTCAAACGTTTGTATAAAAATAACACTACGACATCATCATGTCATAAGAACAACAACAGCAAAAAACAACATCATTTATCATGCACATTTCTATGTATGTTTCACCTTTGGAATTGGTAGTCTGTTTAATAGTACACCGTTTAAAAACTTCAAATTTTTCTTTTTACACATTCTTATCAGGGCGGTGTGTCACTGTGGTTTGTCACTTTGGTGGGTCATTGTAGTGTATTACTGTGGTGTGTCACTTAGATGGGTCACTGTTGTGTGTCACTGTGGTGGATTAGGGTGGTGTGTCAATGTGGTGGGTTAGGGTGGTGTGTCACTGTGGTCTGTCACTATGCTGGGTCACTGTGGAGTATCACTGTGTTGGGTTAGGTTGGTGTGTCACTGGTGTGTTATTGTGGTGTGTCACTGTGGAGTATCACTGTGGTGTGTCGCTATGGTGTGTCACTGTGGTGTATCACTGTGGTGTGTCGCTATGGTGTGTCACTGTGGTGTGTCGCTATGGTGTATCACTTTGGTGTGTAAATGTGGTGTGTCACTTTGGTGTGTAAATGTGGTGTGTCACTGTGGTGTGTCACTATGCTGGGTTAGTCTGGTGTGTCACTGGTGTGTTATTGTGGTGTGTTAATATGGAGTATCACTGTGGTGGGTTAGGGTGGTGTGTTACTGGTGTGAAAATTTAGTGTGTTACTGTGGTAGTTTAAAATGTCAATCTAGGGTATAAAACAATCTGGGTTATAGTTCGAGGAAAGTTATTTATAAGCTTTACATAATTTTGCATTGTCAAGCTAATTCTTTCTAGGTATATCATGTCGTCATATCTCACAATTTCTCTTTAGGTCTATCAAGTCGTCATATCTCATCAATTTTTTTATTGCATAGCCATCTTATTACGTTTGATTATATTCAGCCACGTTCCAAACAAGTATGTTGGTAATGTGGAGAGTTGCTTATGATGGTACTTTGTTGTCACTAGGTCTAAGATCTTTTCTGGTAGTAGATAAAAGTTTGTCTAGGATGCTTAATGTCCTTATTGAATAAGAAAGTCTGACATTGATATTATTGTCTGATTTCTTATAGTTACTATTTTCTGTAAGGTTGGGCTTGATACGTCATAGTTTTTTTTATAAATAGGTAAACTCTACTTCCACTGCCTTACGTCTTCCTACAAGTAAAACGTCATATAACTGCTCACCATCTACAATATCTGGTCTATAACTGCTCACCATCTACAATATCTACTGGTCTATATCTGCTCATTATCTACAACATCTGGTCTATAACTGCTCACCATCTACACCATCTGGTCTATAACTGCTCACCATCTACAACATCTGGTCTATAACTGCTCACCATCTACAACATCTGGTCTATAACTGCTCACCATCTACAACATCTGGTCTATAACTGCTCACCATCTACAACATCTGGTCTATAACTGCTCACCATCTAAAACATTTAGTCTATAACTGCTCACCATCTGCAATATCTGGTCTATAACTGCTCACCATCTACAATATCTACTGGTCTATAACTGCTCACCATCTACAATATCTGGTCTATAACTGCTCACCATCTACAATATCTGGTCTATAACTGGTCTATAACTGCTCACCATCTACAACATCTGGTCTATAACTGCTCACCATCTACAATATCTGGTCTATAACTGGTCTATAACTGCTCACCATCTACAACATCTGGTCTATAACTGCTCACCATCTACAACATCTGGTATGTATCTGCTCACCATCTACACCATCTGGTCTATAACTGCTCACCATCTACACCATCTGGTCTATAACTGCTCACCATCTACAATATCTGCCAACATCTGGTCTATTACTGCTCACCATCTACAACATCTGGTCTATAACTGCTCACCATCTACAACATCTGGTCTATTACTGCTCACCATCTACAACATCTGGTCTATAACTGCTCACCATCTACAATATCTGGTCTATAACTGCTCACCATCTACAATATCTGCTGTCTATAACTGCTCACCATCTACAATATCTGGTCTATAACTGCTCACCATCTACAATATCTGCTGTCTATAACTGCTCACCATCTACAATATCTGGTCTATAACTGCTTACCATCTACAATATCTGGTCTATAACTGCTTACCATCTACAATATCTGGTCTATAACTGCTCACCATCAAAACATCTGGTCTATAACTGCTCACCATCTACAATATCTGGTCTATAACTGCTCACCATCTACAACATCTGGTCTGTAACTGCTCACCATCTACAATATCTGGTCTATAACTGCTCACCATCTACAACATCTGGTCTATAACTGCTCACCATCTACAACATCTGGTCTATAACTGCTCACCATCTACAACATCTGGTCTATATCTGCTCACCATCTACACCATCTGGTCTATAACTGCTCACCATCTACAACATCTGGTATGTATCTGCTCACCATCTACACCATCTGGTCTATAACTGCTCACCATCTACACCATCTGGTCTATAACTGCTCACCATCTACAATATCTGGTCTATAACTGCTTACCATCTACAATATCTGCCAACATCTGGTCTATAACTGCTCACCATCTACAATATCTGGTCTATATCTGGTCTATAACTGCTCACCATCTACACCATCTGGTCTATAACTGCTCACCATCTACACCATCTGGTCTATAACTGCTCACCATCTACAATATCTGCCAACATCTGGTCTATAACTGCTCACCATCTACAATATCTGGTCTATAACTGCTCACCATCTACAATATCTGCCAACATCTGGTCTATAACTGCTCACCATCTACACCATCTGGTCTATAACTGCTCACCATCTACACCATCTGGTCTATAACTGCTCACCATCTACAATATCTGCCAACATCTGGTCTATATCTGCTCACCATCTACACCATCTGGTCTATATCTGGTCTATAACTGCTCACCATCTACACCATCTGGTCTATAACTGCTCACCATCTACAATATCTGGTCTATAACTGCTCACCATCTACAACATCTGGTCTATAACTGCTCACCATCTACAATATCTGCTTTATAAGTGCTCACCATCTACAATATCTGGTCTATAACTGCTCACCATCTACAATATCTGGTCTATAACTGCTCACCATCTACAATATCTGGTTTATAACTGCTCACCATCTACAACATCTGGTCTATAACTGCTCACCATTTACAATAGCTGCCAATAACTGCTGGTCTATAACTGCTCACCATCTATAACATCTCGTCTATAACTGCTCACCATCTACCACAGCCTATACCACCAAGTAAACACGTCGAGTCTATAATTGCCTACGATGACCTTTGTGTTCGAACGTCACCCATTACAACCGCAGCATCGTGTATGTGATTGAACACTTCTAGAACGGCAGACAGGCTATCGGCTGGCATCGTACAAGCTGACGTGTGCCGTAACTGCCGGAGGGTTTGCCGCGACTGTAACCTCAACGATGGTTTTAACCTCAATGGTTTAGTAATGCAGTTATTTGTTATTTATTCAGTTATGTCGGTCGCTTTCATCGCGGTACTTACACAATACATTAAGTGGTATTTACCCGGAAATGGCTTGCTTTTGTTTTTTGCTGAAAATCAACCTTCAACTTAGCTAAACGAAATGATTGTTGTGAGTTACGTTGTAATTATATATATATATATATATATATATATATATATATATATATATATATATATATATATATATATATATATATATGGGGAGTGGATGTGGGTGTAAAAGTAGCAGCTACAGTGTACATATGTACGTGTACTTGTACGTGTATGTGCACGCACCAGTATACATGAACATGAATCATAATACATACATATAGACATGTAGTTGTTTTATTGAGCACGATCGTGTTATAAAAGACATAGAAATCAATGGAAGCACCAACAACCAACCACGCTAACACCGGTCTACCCTTGCATCTTCTCCACTCCTATAGATTTTTTCTCCGGTGGCATAGCTGCTGGGGTCAAGGACTATTCCAGGGGTCAAGGATTGTGTTCTCACAACTCGCTAGCTTCTTGGTCTAACAAA